GTGTGACCATATAGTAATAAAAAATAAATAAATAATAAAATTAAATCACTGTTATATTCTTAAAATGCAATGTATGTTTTATCTTAATACGCCATCTAGAACTAGTTACATATCTTTTTTCAAAATCTACTCGCACGCGAACCAAGTTGCAGGCAAAAACTAGGTTTAAATATTAGAATTTAGAACGTGAAATGATACATCAAAAATTGCGACTATTCTATATATATTATAGGTTATATTACGGTTTGGTTTGATGAAAAACCCCAAATTTTTTTTTATAAAATACCTACCAATTCATGTTTTTTATACAACTTAGAATGGCAAACAAGCTGACGGCCCACCTGATGTAAAGTGCTAACCGTCGCCTATAGACATGAGCAGTACATGGACATAACAGAGTATACTGTTTCGCCTATGATACCCCCCTTGCGTTGCCATTCCTGAGGACTCGGGTGTTATTCCTCTGTACCCAGTAAATTCACGCCATATCCCATCTTTCAAACCGAAACAAAGCCATGCAAACACAACTGCTTCGCGGTTGAAACACAAATGGGACAGAGGCGCCCAAGCAATCGACTTTTGTACAAAGTCTCCCTCTGGTCTACAAATTTTAAGCTAATTGTCAAACAACTACTCAATGCATCAAATTTGGTTTTGTTAAAAACTATTTAACCTAATTCGTTGAATATTACTACGTACATAATGTAATTGCTAATTGCACTAAGTAACCGACACCCACACGATTCATAACATTTTTTTTTAATTAATGCAACAGAGAAGAGAATAACAGAAACAATTATATCATTCAATCAATTACACATAATCGTTATACATACAATGACACCGTGTAAAGATGGTATGTATTACGCGACAACCGCGTAGCAACAATCGCACGTAATTATGAGGTAACGTTATTATCGATTATCGACCGGAGTCGATTACTCTTCCGAGTATTCGAGTGTTTAATGAGATCGTGACTGTATAGTGCGTGGTTTTGTGGAGTAATCTTCGCTTGAATTACCACTGTGTCTCGAGATAGCAACGTAATAGGATTCTAGGATGGAACTGTAATTTTGCTATTTGCGGTTTATTTGATTTTCTATTTGTATTTACCGGTTTGTGTGGGTATCTATATGTGTATGTACATAGTTACTATAGTTATTAAGAGCTCCATTCATATTACAGAATATTATAAACATAATGAATGTTGAGGTATCCCTTCATGAATTTTCTTTAAACTGTTTGATGTTTTAAGTTACTTTTTAAATTGTTGACATTATTCATTCATTCATTTCATTTCATTTCATATAATCTCTGATCGATGAATATTGTCTGCTAACAACACTCTTACTTTAATAATATAAATATGAAAATGAGTGTATTTGTATATATATTACTTCTAAGCGTCTTAACAGCTTAACCAATATCTATGAAATTTGCTATACACGAATCATATGAAATGGAAAAGGATAAAGGCTATTTTTTATACCGGTTAGTGAACCTGTCCCTGCCACATGGACGAAGTCGCAGGCAATAGTTAGTCTATTATAAAACTTATTAAGCCGGCAACTAAATATAATTATATAGTAGGTAGATAATTATATTCGAAGAATATATCCCATTTCTTAAGTCGGGTATATAGAAAGTAAGCTTAATAATAGACGCAGTAAAACCAAGCCTGGGCAGATCTGCACTGTCTCCACCGAGATTAGGCAAGGAGATTAGGTGTCGAGATTGAAACAAACAACTATCTCGATCAGAGAACCTAAACAAGCGAACAAAACACTGGTTATAAAGTTTACGATGATATAAAAGGGGTTTTCGTACTTATATGGCGCTTTTGGTGGCGGTTTTTATGTCGTACGAAGAAAACGGGTAGAGACGACAAAGTTTTTATAAAGCCAGTTTTTATTTTTTTTTTATGGATGAAAATGGAATGGTAACCCCGCCTGCGCTAACGGGATACGTTGGCGGAGCACCAATGAAGGGTGATAGATGAGAATGAAAACAGGCCAGTTAACCCATCATGATGAATTCATCAGGAATTAACCATGATAGTTTCCAGGGGGAACCGCGAGGAGGTCGACCTGGTTGGGTATATTGCTAGCAATTGGATTCTCAGTCTCCATTACTAACAATCCCTCCCCCCCCCCCTAAGAAGCCAGTTAGGTACTCAAATTTAGTATATATTATTATATTTTATTGAATTAAGTGCTATCCTGCAGAAATCCATATCACTGTTTACTTGCAAATCATAATTTTTCACAAAGTTCATCCATCTTTTTTTTAAGTCTTCCTCTACCTTTATAGCAGTTCGCATCCATACTTAATACTTTTTTTCACTAACTCCCAATATGTTCAATCAATAAAATTTTCATTAATAAGAAAGCCAGTATCACTTTTAAATAAAATCGAAATACGTCTCTTAACAATAGAGTAAGCATTAAAAACCTATAAAATATCCGAATGATCATCATGATTTATATGTAACATACACGCAGTTAACACACTATAAAACTGGTTGCCCCATTAACACCCTATTCCAAGCACGTTCGTCACCCAACGCTGCTTTTTAGGAATGAGTTATTTTTTCGTAATGAGCTTGTAATTTATCATTCCATAGGACACTTGTTAATCACTCAAGAGTAGTTCTGTAAGGGCATCTCGATTCTGTATGATGACATTGTATGTACTTTTTTAGACTACTAACAATATCTAATACTTGTAATTGGATTGTTTCAATCAGTCATGCATTTATTCGCAAAAATATTGGGAGTTAAGTGTACCTATATATAGATCTATATTCTTAATATTTATGAGGTCGCTATATTTTATTTATAATATTGATTTCACTGTTCACTTTCACAATAGATTATGAAGATGTTAATCATGTCACCGGAGGGACACTTTGTACAAAAGTCGATTGCTTGGGTACCTCTGACCCATTCGTGTTTCAACTGTGAAGCAGTTGTGTTTGCATGGCTGTGTTTCGGTTGGAAGGGTGGGATATGGCGTGAATTTACTAGGTACAGAGGAATAACACCTGAGTCCTCAGGAATGGCAACGCATGGGGGGTATCATGGGCGAAACAGTATACTCTGTTATGTCCATGGTACTGCTCATGTCTATAGGCAACGGTTACCACTTTCCATCAGGTGGGCCGTCAGCTTGTTTGCCATTATAAGTTGCATGAAAAAATTGTAACTCCAGATATTATATCATAACCCTACGCATATCATCAGACTTTAATTCACTACTAAACATACATCTACCTCATACGGGGTGGTTTTGCCACGCTTGGTTGGCGGATTCGGAATCGCAGTTTGACTTTTCGTGATGTTTTAAGAGGGACGCTGTTGCTCATCCTACTACTATAACATTACGCATATATATGATTTTTTTTTTATGGATGAAAATGGTATGGTAACCCCGCCTGCGCTAACGGGATACGGACAAAAGTAAAATTTGCTGTCTTTAAAAAAGAAAATCTCAAACAAGTATGACGCGTGTGTGCCTCAGATAAGCGGAGTCGCCCTCAATCTCAATTTTGTAAAAACCCTCTCCCTCCATATGGAGCCCTGGTACCGCTTCCCGTCAAATGGGCTATCAAGCATGTTTGCCGTTTCGTATATAATAAAATTGTTAACCTCGGTGTTACGAAGTGATGTTTCGTGCAGGCAATTTGTATATCGCATTTAATAAGAGTTTATTACACAATCTACTGCCATAATGATATGTAGGTACGTGCGATTTGATAAGCTCCGTGCGTTAATATTAAAATACATTTCGTGCAGAAAAATAAGTTTTTTTTATTTTGGTGTAAGAATTTATTAGGGTTCTTCAGTTAAATAAACCTTTGGTCTTTTTTTATACAACTTACAATGGCAAACAAGCTGACGGCCCACCTGATGGAAAGTGGCAACCGTCGCCTATAGACATGAGCAGTACCATGGACATAACGGAGTATACTGTTTCGCCCATGATACCCCCCATGCGTTGCCATTCCTGAGGACTTAGGTGTTATTCCTCTGTACCCAGTAAATTCACGCCATATCCCACCCTTCAAACCGAAACACAGCCATGCAAACACAACTGCTTCACGGTTGAAACACGAATGGGACAGAGGTACCCAAGCAATTGACTTTTGTACAAAATCTCCCTCTGGTCGTCTGTCTATTTGTCACAATATTTGAAACTTCTAGGGGCTTTTTAATTTCTCGTTTTCGTGAAGATATTGCCAACGTTCTCAGTATAAATTCAGTTACTACTCTCACCATTGAAATAATGATATTTCAGTCATTTACCGTCGTATGGTCCCGTCATAGAGCAGGTCACCCCTCCCGTGGGTGTCGTAAGAGGCGACTAACGGAGGGCGAGGTATGAACAGCAGCTTTCCTCTTAAAACACCTCCAAAGCTGCGGTTGCCAATCCGCTTGCCAAACGTGGCAACTACTGGCAAAACTTCCCCAAGGGGGAACCTTATGATCAACATTGGACAGTTAAAGGTTAATATAATCGTCGTTATATTGCTGACCATGCACAGAGGACGGTGCTCAATCACTTCACTTATTTATCATGAATATACACAAGAGGCTGTCCATTGACGACCTGAGGACAGGCCCATAGGCATATTTAGAGGGAGCTCAGGTGGGCCATGCCCATTTCAGAATAGTTTGGTGGCCACACCAGGAAGCAAAGCTTCTTCACAACATGTCTGAGAGGATGTATGTGCCTTTTTAAGGAGCCAGGCTCTTTTTTAAACGAGTCATCTTGTAGTCATGTGACTAAACATATCATGTTTTTAGCTGTTTGTAGTTAGACCCATGTTTACCAATTATTATGTATATTTAAAGGCATTCCGCCCTATACAAAATTTTTTCCATGCACAAGACCGCCTCTCGATACGTATTAAAATCTATTAGGGTACATACAAATTAAAACAATTTACTGAAATGGAATTTCGTATTTAATAAATCAATTTCATGATCATATTATATAATTTAATGCCGATACCACACCTGCACAGATTTCATACGTTTGATTTTCTTCTGGAGCTGAAGCATGCCGTATAGCAGGGCCTCGGCTGTAGGAGGACACCCTGGTACGTAGATGTCCACCTAAAACATATAAAATGTATATGAACAAATCAATCACGTCCATTCAAAACCTCTTCAGGCTTTGAAGATTTTGATGATATTTGGTACGTTTTTTATCTTGATTGAAGCAGCCAAATCTACGGGATCACACTTAATAGTTCTGGTCGTGATTGCTTCTTTATAATAGGTTGTATATTATTATTGACATATTGTATCAAACCATTAATTGTTTACTGCTAAACATAAATTTTGCCAGTAGTTGCCACGCTTGACAGGCTGCCAACCGGAATTAGGCTGTTCCCTTAAATGTCTCTTACGATAGTAGATAGACGTCTCTACAGAAAATGTAGAGGTAGCTCTTTCTATGCCGAAACTACGCGATATATTATTATATTAGGTGCTTAAATTAAAGAGTACGGAGATATAACATCTCAGTTGTCTAAACTGGCAACGCATAAGGTATACTGTGGGCATTATAGTACATAATTTAATGTACGATTGTATTATTAATTTTCATCAGACTGGCCATCAGCTTGTTTGCCATTTTAAGTTGTATAAAAAACAACAATACCCTTCCATCTTAGTTGTTAAAAAAGGCCCGATTTCCACCAAACATAATAAATAGGCATTCTTATTATGTTTGGAACCATTCTTCCAATAAAAAACTTAAATTGGACCTACGATGCTCATACTAGACAAAGTCTGATAACTTATAACACTCCTCTTTTTACGTCGGGAGTCGGGAGCTAAAAATAGTTTGCCTTTGTCTGGTGTTGTTAAATCTGCCTCCCCTTGCATGTTAAGCCAATTACGAGCTGGTCGTTTAGCCTCTCAAGTACAGGCTGCGTCATGAGGTACTGACGTAGCATGCTGACGTCATTCGCCATTGTTGCGTGCATATTGTGTAGTGTAGACCTTTGTGGAGTTAGAAAAATTAAGAAAATACGAGTCGGTGTTACGCACTGCTGATACCGTATTATGAAATACAGAGTACTCGATCTTTTTTTTTTTTATACAACTTAGAATGGCAAACAAGCTGACGGCCCACCTGATGAAAAGTGGTAACCGTCGCCTATAGACATGAGCAGTACCATGGACATAACAGAGTATACTGTTTCGCCCATGATACCCCCATGCGTTGCCATTCCTGAGGACTCAGGTGTTATTCCTCTATACCCAGTAAATTCACGCCATATCCCACCCTTCAAACCGAAACACAGCCATGCAAACAGCTGTTTCACGGTTGAATCACGAATGGGACAGAGGTACCCAAGCAATCGACTTTTGTACAAAGTCTCCCTCTGGAAAAACTATCTACTTCCAAAGGTAGGAGATACTTAATTCGTTTTTAAAAAAGTAGTCAACGATTCTATCGGTATATATGTTTTCGCTAGCATATACGCATAAGAAAGAATAAGACTGTGTAGTTCTGTTATGCATGCGGTAGCAATAACTTATCTATCCATAGATTTATTTTTTCAGTTGCATCCGATTTCATAATTTATTTCACTCATATATACTATCATAAAACGTTTCCAAAGCAAAGTGAATTTACAGGGTACAGAGGAATAACACCTGTGTTCTTAAGAATGGCAATACATGGGGGGTATCATGGGCGAAATAGTATACTCTGTTATGTCCATCATACTGCTCATGTCTATAGGCAACGAGCACCACTTTCCATCAGGTGAGTCGTCAGCTTGTTTGCCATTCTAAGTTGCATAAAAAAAGCCTAACTATGGTTACCAATTCGACTGCCAAGCATGGCAACTACTAGCAGAATCCCTCAAAGGAGAGGCTTGTGTTCAGCAGTGAATAGACTGATATGATGATGATGATGATAATGATAATACTATACAAATCCTTTTGTAAAATCTTTATTTTCCACATGTACATATACGCGTGAATAAACACCTACTATAGCATTATAATTTTATTCCCAACAATTTTTCTGCGAGTAGAATAAATAAAATTTCTTCCTGTTTCGGAACTTCCCTTCAAACAAGGCTTTTTATAACTTTCTCTTTGTACTGTACATTTACATATCCTGTCTGTCATTTGCCAGAAGAATGCGTATAAAATTTTCCTTGTTCGCACTTATAATGTTTATTCGAATTTTTTGTTCAGTCCACCGACAAACAATTAAAACTGTTATTGCTTAGGGAGTTGTTTTTCTAGTCTTTTTTTTTAATAAAAGTTCATCTGATGAAAAACGACCAATGCTCATGAACGCTTCCAACACTGTACTCAGTGATTTCTATTACTCTATGTCACCTTTCAAACCATATCATAGCATGTAATCAAGCATTTCACCAGAGGGAGACTTTGTACAAAAGTCGATTGCTTGGGTACCTTTGTCCTATTCGTGTTTCTACCGTGAAGCAGTTGTGTTTGCATAGCTGTGTTTCGGTTTGGAAGGTGGGATATGGCGTGAATTTACTGGGTACAGAGGAATAACATCTGAGTCCTCAGGAATGGCAACGCATGGGGAGTATCATGGGCGAAACAGTATACTCTTTTATGTCCATGGTACTGCTCATGTCTATAGGTGACGGTTACCACTTTCAATCAGGTGGGCCGTCAGCTTGTTTGCTTGTTTAAGTTGTATAAAAAAAATGTAACCCGTTTGCTTAACAAGTTATGGAACAAATGGTTTCCAATTAAGCACAAAGTTCACACTTAAACTGCAGAAATTATGATGTTGTGACATAATTGTATAGGTGGAAGGGACTATGAGAATTCAGTTTTAGCAATTTGTTTATTGAACGCTAAAAAGCAAGGTTTCCTACAGGTGTGAACAGCTTATTATAAGGTCGCAACTATGACGTCATTACTCACCTTTCGTGTTAATGTATTTAAGACACGTTATATTGTGATTTAGGACTAAATTTAAACTAATTCATTTGCTGAAACACAAGGTGAACATAACAACAAATCTAGTAAGTGTACAAATAGAAGATACTTAAACAACTTTGTCTGTGTATCTGTTACTTGCTATTGTAAGTTATTGAGTACCGATTACGATGATGTTTTTGCAATAGACAAGGTCTAATTTCATTTTGGTTCTCTAATATTTTATTTTGTCTTGTCGTTTTATAATTTTAGCTCTAAATTGTCAGTGCTGTATTTCAATATGAAATTATTATCCTTTAAAAAAACGGTCGGTGTGATTCAATTCTCGTATACTATTATAAAATATCTATTTTAGATCACTTTACCGGTATAATTCTATCACATCCTCGAACCGTCGAATAAGTGTAATGGTAGTAACCACCACCGTTAGCGCAGCTGCCCATAGACACCACCCACTTAGGTTCCGGCATCAGATCGTACGTCTTCCTTAGAATCGGCGCCATCTTATTGGTGACAGTCCCAGCAACGATGATGACGTCAGTTTGCCGCGGAGACCCGCGAAAAACCATGCCAAAACGATCCATGTCGTATCTATATATATTAAGGTAAATATAAAAGAAACTTGATTAATTGATGAGCCACATAGAGTAATAAAGGTATCATTAAGTAATCTTCAGGGCTTGATTCTCGGAAGTGTTGATTTGGAAAAGGAACTACGTTGGTTGACCCCATAGACGTCGTGTATTACGAACAAACAAACTGGTAATGCAATGACAGACCCAATACAAAAAAAGAATTAAACTAATGTAATTCTTTTTGACCTTCTTATTGTAATATGAGAAATGGAACAATATTAATTTTGAAAAAAATTGAAGTTGCAAAGATAATTGATATCCACGTATGTGATTTTTTTTCCAGAAGCCATTCAGAGTTTTACACGTAATAAGATTGAACGTTATCTTGTACATGAATTTTGTAATTCTAAAACATTGTATTTAAATAGTTGAACATTTAAAGCTTACTTACGTGTGAATGTATAATTTGTGGGTTTTATTTCTAATTTGTGTTATACCCGGGTCCTACACACGTGACCCTAACTAATTGCGTCCATTTAAACCAAATTACACTTTAAAACGCTAATATAATTTAAATTCGTTCACAACCCCCGCCAAATCCCTACAGGCTTACATGTGTATGGGTAATCTATTTCGATCTAACATACATGTTTTTTCTTTTATTTTTTAATATATTTTGGTGCGGATCTATTTCAAATATTTCGGGTGCGGTTTTTCAACCAATTTTCATTCGATATTACTGATGGTGACGTCGCCTATGTCAGTCAGAAGTTTCGTAGATTTTGCAGTGTTTGTTTGTGGATTCATCCGTAGATTTCCAACTCTGTAAAGTTCCCTTAAAATCGATCTAGTAGTATAGTCATAAAAAAGCAACAGAACCCTTTGAAAATATTACAAATACATTTTTTTAACTAAATAAGGATTTATGGATTTGTCTCTGTCATTTTTATAAAGTTGCTTTCATCCTCTTTTTTATCATCATTCATCCATCATGGTCCAACATTTTAATACAAACAGGAGGGAAGTCTTATAACAATTTCTATCTCTTGCTTTTAAGTATAACGGACGTTCGGGGGTAGACTGTTGTTGAGTCTCGTCATCAATCATCCATTTTTAGTTAATTCTGAGCTTTATACCCGTCTTCACTCTAATGTAAAAGTATTTTTTATAACATTCCAATCGTGTCGGGCAAGTCTTATGGATTACGGGTATGTTACAAAATGGTACGAAATATTAGCAACAGCCTTTCGAAATTAGACTTTATCAAGATTATTGTCCAACCTTTGCTTCTGAATAGTTTAAAATCTGCGAACCATATTATATGACTAATCTATTTTCATTTTCACGTATAAAATTTTTGAGACAGATGTTATGGATATTCTACCTGAGACCGAAAACTTCAATAACAGATGTTAATGAAAACAGTTTTAATCTCCCCCTATATAAACTGCCATCTTGAGGTACCTGTATCTACTTATCCTATTTACCTTAAATAGGTTTTAAAGTCGTCAATACCTAGTAACGAGTCGGTCACACTCGAGAACCTTATTTTCTCATTAATTAGTTCCTTATCTCATTAAATTACTAATATTAACTACCTACATTTCGATAAAAGATTTTCGTAATGGACGCATTTTCTGTTATCGCACCTACCGCTATTCTACCTCTCGCATTATATTGTTCGGAAATCACTTAAGATAGCGGCTCCTTCACGAAAACCTTTAAAGGTCACGTAATGACATTTTGCTCCGAAATGCCACAGCAATGGGGTTAAAGCATCGAACTCCTGAAGATAACAGGTTGCCGAGTAATGTATAGCCTATAAAACGTGTCTTGGCCCGTACACAGACTGTAAATAATGGAGCCATGAAAATTCCGTTGGAATTTTCTCTAATTTTTTTAATAACTTGCAATAGCATACAAGCTCGTAGTCAAAACACACTCATGCAAACACTGCTGCGTGGAAGCAGATACACGAGTGGGACAGAGATGCTTAAGCAAACAACTTGTAAAAGCTACTTTTTTATTGAAAAAATATAGTCCATAATGCACTTTATTTTCAAAGTGTGCTTAGTGATCAAATTGATTTTATTACGAAGAATTACTGTTACGGACAAATTGTCCAATTTTATAATTTTCATTCATAACCTCAGATAAATAATCCCAAATAAATAAATATTATGTTAAAAGACCAGCTTTAGGAACAACAGTAGATACAATTACCAGTTCGACTCTGCTAAAATTATAAACATTGTACATCAAACGAAGTAGCTGTGTCGACAGCAAGTATTTGCCATCAGACCACGGATGAGACATAAAACACCTTAATTACCCAGCTGCAATAAAGAGCTCAGTAGCGCATGACGTCGAGGCGCTCCGATTCTTTATAGTCCAGTATCGCTTACATTTTTACCGGAAAAACTGATTGTGTTTGAAATAAAAACTATACAAGCGGTATTAATAGAGATTGACAAGAAGATTTAGCTCCACATAAAAAGCGACTTCAAAGACATTCTATTGACTAGTATTACATTCTTATTTTATAATAGATAAAATAGATAAAACGCTTCAATGAACGAGATGTTTTGTAGAATATTTGAATTTAGAACGCATAGAATTTTCTGCAACAATTTCCTAAAAAAGAATTTTGCTCGACAAAAAAAAGTTTACTGTGTATTTTCCACCGTCTCCACTAATTGTGAACCGATTTGGAATATTTTTTTTTTGAATCAAAACAATTTACACCTGTATTAGTCGCATCCTAATTTGTTAACACTGAATTAGGTTTATTTTAATCAAATAAATTAATTTCTACTATTACTGTCTCACATCTGTAATTTAGCTTGTTACCGCAGGCGTGTGTTGTTTGATGTCGTTGACTATGGCATGGCATGTATCCTTTATTGCCATCGTTGCTCTTTGTCTAAATATTTGTTTCATCATGCAAAGATAATTTGCGTACTTTCATATCCTCTCAGTAATAATATTATAAATGTGAAACTGTGTGATGTTTAGAACGTCTAAATGTCTAAATAATATATACGGACCCATATTTTATAAATAATGTAAAGGACTTCTCTAATTCATACAGGAAAAACGTATATCTGCAAGAGTTAATATTATTGAAACTTCTTTGTGGCCGTAATGTAAATTTAAGTCTGGCCACATATATATGTTGATATTATTTTTCTACACGGTTTTTGTTTCTATTCAAATGGTTGTCTTGTCTTGTATCTATACGTATATATATATATATTGTTGTTTTAAAGAATATTATCTTACTGTGACCCTCTACAATGGTTATGGGCCTGCACAATAAGTGAGACAAAGTAAAGAACTATATATAATGAGTGATAATTCGGTAAGTTTGTAATTTTTACAAAAGACAATGGCGAGTTCGAGTATAAGATAGTTGGAGGATTCATGCACAGGCACTACTCATAAAGAATGAGGCCTGGTCCTATGTTAGTGGTCGTAAGCCAAGACCGACCGATGTAACAGAATTGGAAAAATGGGAAGCAGAAGATGAAAAAGCACGTTCGGATATAATTTTATCCATGAGCAGTAGCGAACTGCGGCACGTAAAAGGGTGCACAACTTCACGCGAAGTATGGATGAAATTAGAGTCATTATATGCTTCGAAAGGTCCAGCAAAAAAGGCAACCTTACTAAAACGACTCACATTACATAAAATGAATGAAGCCGATGACTTGCAAGACCACTTGAATGGATTTTTTGATGCTGTAGATAAGCTGGGAGATATGAGTGTGACGATACACGAGGATCTGCTGTCGATAATGTTGCTATATAGTTTACCGGCAAGCTTTGAAAACTTCAGGTGTGCGGTAGAATCGAGAGATGATTTACCGAAACCAGACTACCTTAAAGTTAAAATTTTAGAGGAATATGAGTCAAGAAGGCAAATGACGAGTGTACTGGCAGAGGGAGTAATGTACTGCAATCGTAAAAAGTATGGAAAACAAGTTATTACCAAACCTGACTTCAAGTTTAGATGTTATAAATGTCATAGAGTTGGTCATAAGGCTTCGGAGTGTAAAAAGAAGAAAGAAGGTTATAAGGGAAATTATGCGGAAGATAATTTTAAGAATTCTAGTCTAATGTTATCCAATGTTTCAGGTTCAGATGAATGTAATGCTGTAAACATAATGCAGAAAGATGATTGGATATTAGACAGTGGGTGTACGTCTCATCTCTGTAACAATCCGCGCAAATTTCAATTTCTGACCGACGCGACCGAAAAGTTAAAGTTAGCCACTAACTTGAGCACAGACATTAAAGGTAAGGGCACCGTTTGTTTATCGGCGTGTAATGGTAACTCTGTAAATGAAATAGAATTTCATGATACTCTGTACGTACCTGACTTAAGAAGTAATTTAATTTCTGTAGCAAAAATTACTGAAATGGGTTATGATGTTAAATTTAAACGAAATATTGCATATGTCACTAATAGTAGCGGAGAAATTAAATTCACTTGTTACCGCAAAGGGAATTTATATTACTTACGTGAATTTGAGAGTGCGTGCTTAATGAGTAAGAGAAATGAGTTATATCTATGGCACGAACGTTTAGGACATCTAAATGGAAAGGATGTATGTAAACTTTTAAATAAATGTAGTGTGAATGTAAATGTTAAGGAGTTACAAAATTTACATGATTGTGATATATGTATGAAAGGTAAAATGACCATGTTACCCTTTCCGGTTACTGAAGGACCTTGCAACGAGAAATTAAGAATTGTATACACTGATATAGTCGGTCCAATGAGAGTACAGTCAAAAGTAGGATCAAAGTATTTCATTACTTTTATTGATGACTGTACACGTTGGTGCCTTATTTTTTGCACTCAGAAAATATACCTCATATTTTCTGAGTGCAAAAAATAAGGCTCTAGAGGCTTTTAAATTATATAAGAGCAAAGTTGAGAATCTTATGGGTTGTAAAATAAAATATTTACAAAGTGATCGAGGTGGCGAATATTGTAACAGGGAATTTGACGATTTCCTAAACCAAGAAGGGATTTCGAGGAGATTAACAGTGCCTCGTACCCCTCAGCAGAACGGGATCGCTGAGAGGATGAATCGTACAATCGTTGAAATGGCGCGTTGTATGTTACTTTCTTCGGGATTATCCACAGGTTTCTGGGCAGAAGCTGTCGACACAGCTTGTTACATAAGAAATCGTTGTCCTACCAGTAGTTTAGGGGGAGACATCCCCTATGAAAAATGGCATGAGAGAGCAATTAAAATTAATTACATGCGCAAGTTTGGAAGTAACGTGTACATTTTAAACAAAGATCAAAATAAGGATAAGTTTGCCGCTCGTGGTATACCTGGAATTTTTGTAGGTTATTCAAGAACATCAAAGGGATTTAGAGTATGGTTACCACAGGAAAAGAAATGTGTAGTTGCAAGGGACGTGAAATTTCATGAAGACGCAGTTTCAGAGAATAGGTCTTTAGGGCAGGAAGAGAAGCTGATGGATAACACTAGTAAAAAATTTATCGATTTTGAAATTCAACCTTCTACCTCTAGGGATTGTAAAGAATGCTTGCCTGAAAATGAGGTGCCACAGACAGATATACAAGTAGAAATGATAGAAAAACATATTGGTAACAAACCACAGGAGGAAGATAGCCAGTTGCAGTCCATAATTGAACCAAATCCTGAGACGGATCGGATAACCAGTAGTGATGATTCCGGACGTTCAATACTGAAACGAAGCTCTGGTCGACCAAAATTACAGCGAACTGGTCAAGTAGGGCGCCCAAAGAAAATTTATAAAATGGTCGAAGTTGAGCAGCAACAACAGCAACAAAATGAAGCAGATGTTGATATAGAGGAAGTTCCTGTTAACGAATTTGTTGATTTCGTGGGGACGGCACAAATGACTTTGGAAGATGTTTTTCAAAACAAGGATCGAGAAGAATGGGAGAAAGCGATACTTTCAGAAATTAGAAGCTTAGTCCAGAAAGATACGTTAGAAATTATAAGAAGACCAACAGATAGAAATATAGTTGGATGTCGATATGTATTGACGACGAAATTAAATGTCGATAAGACGACTAAGAAAAAGGCTAGACTTGTTGCACAAGGCTTTAGTCAGCGTTTTGGGGTTGATTATTACAAGACTTTCGCGCCCGTTGCGCGATTGGATACAGTTCGATTACTGTCGGCATTAGCAGTTGAGTTAAATATGGAAATACACCATTTAGATATTAATACAGCTTATTTAAATGGATTCTTGGATGAAGAGATATACATGGAGGTCCCTAAGTTATTGAAAGAGTGTTTGATAAAACTTGTGGAGAATGACGAAGATCAAACAGTCGTAGAACGAGCTAAGTGTATTTTAAACAATTTAAATGCTGGATGCGATACTTGTTTGTTAAAAAAATCTTTATATGGCCTAAAGCAAGCAGGTCGGCAATGGAATATCAGACTTGATGAAAAACTAAGAAGTATGGGGTTGAAACAAAGTTTGAATGAGCCATGTTTATATTTTAAAAAGGTAAATAAATGTAATTTATTTGTGTTAGTGTATGTGGACGATATTTTGGTCGCATCTGAACAAATAGATTGCATTAATAATTTTAAGAAAGAACTGTCTAAAGAGTTTGAATTAAAAGATCACGGTCTGGCACGATATGTTTTGGGAATTGACGTGAAACAAAAAGACAGTGTCATTGTTTTGTCACAACAAAAATATATTTCCGACCTTTTAGAGAAATTCGGTATGAAAAGTTGCAATCCATGTTCAACACCGATGGAAATAAATTCTTTGAAGGCTATGGGTAAAGAGCCAGAAAAATATAAACAAAAAGATGAAGTGTTTAAAGCTAAGTGGCCGTACAAAGAGATTATTGGTTGCTTGATGTACTTGAGCGTAGGTACGAGGCCTGATATATCGAATTCCGTTGCTAAGCTTGCTCAATTCACAAATAGCCCTGAAATGTGTCACTGGAAAGCAGCGAAGAGAATTCTTCGTTACTTGAAGAAAACACAAAATTTCGGTTTAATATATAGGAAGACAGGTAAGTCTCTATATGGATTTTCAGACGCAGACTGGGGTAATTGTTTATTGGATAGGCGTTCATTTTCTGGTTATGTTTTCATTTTAGGTGGTGCGAGTATTTGTTGGAAATCACAAAAACAAAGGATGGTTGCGCAGTCGACATGTGAGGCTGAGTATGTGAGTTTGTCTGAAGCGATGAAAGAAGCCGTTTATCTTAATAGTTTATTAGGCGAAATTGGACAACTTAGGTACGTACACACAACTTTACACGCCGATAACCAAGGGGCGCTGTTTCTTGCGCAAGACCCCGTATACCATGCTCGCAGTAAGCATATTGATATTAAATATCATTTCATCAGGACCGTGTTAAGGGACAGTCGTGATATTGAAGTGAGACATGTACCCACTGATTCGATGGTAGCGGATATATTGACGAAACCGCTACCTATTTCTAAACATTATGCGTGTGTGGACAAAATGGGAATTAAACCCATCAGTTAATAATTGTTTTCTTTTAACTGAGACTTAAATTTAAAGGGGCGTATTGAAACTTCTTTGTGGCCGTAATGTAAATTTAAGTCTGGCCACATATATATGTTGATATTATTTACCTCTCCTCTACAAATATGAAAGAAAATAGGTTTTAAATCTTGATGTCTCAAATAATAAACTTTTTTTGTGTATACATTTAGCAGTTGGAATGAAGAGGGTCAAGCTACTTTTTTATCCTGACCAATCAATATGTCCGGTCACGCGGACAATGTCGCGCGCACACTTAAGATAAAATAAATACGAAGAGAAGCAATTGAACCAGTAATAAATATAAATTACATAGAGAAATTGCTTTTCCAAAAATCGTACAAAGAAAAAGTTAAAGCTTCAATGGAAACGCTAGAAATTGTTCGTGTATTTCTAAAGAAGAACATTTTTGTTAACGACATCTGTGTAATTCAGTAATCGCTGAGATTGGAGTGAATGAACTTTCAACTTTTGCTTGCGGAAATAGAAACGAGACCACGACTAGAGCTATGCGATTGTTCAAAGAAATTTACAATTGAATTATTTGAATGTTTCATTTGCATTGATGTAAAAAACAAGATTCACAGTCTCGGACAATGAAATGCTTACTAATATTATAAATGTCAATGTACGTTTGTTATCTTGTAGCGCCTTAACAGTTTAACCAATCACTATGAAATTTCGTATACAAGTATTATATGGAATATAGAAGGATATAAACTACTTTTATCCCGATCTGTGAAATTAACCCGGTCACGCGAAAAAAGTTGCGGGCAAAGCTAGTATATTCCGATCTCGATTCGACTTTATCGATAATTGATCTACTGAATTTCGGTATTTGTTTAATAAATGGTATTAACAAATCTAAATCGATCTATCTCTCATATCCCATTCTATATAATTCGGTGTTGTTTTCCTTTTTTGGGCCTTTGTATATCTAATAATAAATATAGATCGTTTTAGTATCACATATTTGTTATCTTATACTAATCAATAAATCAATAAATATCGCCTTTTATCCGTAGTTGACTATAATAAGTCTGAATAATCTAATGGCTGAGATGATGATAATGATGAATAATAACCTGGGAGCAGCATAGTGCATCATTTCGAGAGCACAGCAGGCCAGGCCGAAAGTTAGGGGCCAGAGGGAATGCTTACGACCCCAGTTTAGGAGATCATCTGTTCTTGCCACTATCCACTCGGCTGTTGACTGAAATGTAATGTATTAAATTATAGAAATCGAACTTAGAAATATAAAAATGAGTTTGTTTGCCACTTCTCGATGGCTGATCCTATCAACTTTCAGTCGTGAAATTCTGTATTACGTACTACCTACTATACGACGGAGAAGGACGTAGGCTACTTTTTCTCTCAGTTACACGAACGGGCGTGCTGGTAAAAATGGTTTAAAGTACAATGCCTGCTGTCTTATGAATTTGAATTAAATTTGGCGTACGGACGGTCAATCTTGTATGGATGTAGTCACTGGGTCCATCTTTTTGGTACGATAAAGGAGAAGGTGGAATAAGGGAATTAAGTTCTTCTGAACACTTCCCATGGAATAGATGGAATATCTTCTACATTGAGAGAGGCTACATATCCATGTAATTGTAGAGGTTCTACAGGTTTGATCACTTTATAGTCTTTTTAATAAACCTAGGAATAAATTAATTGCGACTTGACATAAAAATATTTAGTGCGTGTACTGTTTACAGAAACAAATTTGTTATATGCAACTACTCGTATATTTAAATTTCGCCATATTGCTACTCTATTCTATTTCTGTCAACTTTCTATTTGCGGTTAGTACAAGTCATTGCGCTTTCAGTATACTATAAATCTTGCATTTTTTATATTTTTTACACACCAAAAAACACATGTACATCACACGTACACGGGTATCTCCTCAAATTTTAGATTTATAATATTTCATTACATCATGATGTCGGAAACATCCCATTTTTATCTCTCGCCACTTTTGTCTGCCCATATATTTGCTTATAACATTAATTATTTTATGGATTTTATTGCAATTTTCTCTATTATATGATTCGACTGTAAAAAGTAGCTGATTAATGATTAAAAAATGTATGAGACGTGCCGAACAGATGTAGTAATAAACGTCTGATCAATATCTTTAATCTTGATAGCTCAAAGTTGGTTATTCGACGAGATAAAGTGTCAAAGGTTACAAGTCAACGGCCTTTATTAATCTATAGATATCGCTTTATCGGTAGCGGTAAAATTCTTGGATTTGTAAGTTCGTTCACAAAGTAAAGCCGGGATTTGTCTAAAGATCGGAAGGAGATTTTGTACAAATGTCACTACACGGATTCTATCCCTATATTATATATATTTCAGCCGTGAAGGAGCTGTGTTTTTCCATACTAATTCAGTTCGTGGCAGAAATCAGACAACTATCCGTATTTTCAACTTGAAGAGTGAGGCATGGCAGTATAATTAGGATACGGAAAACCTTAGTTCTCAGTAATGGCAATGCAATCAATCATAGGCATCACAATGTATTCTGTTGTATCCACAGTGTAATTCATGCGACTGTTACTACTTCCCATCGTCCCTCCAAAATGGACTTATGCTTTTTGATGATAGATTGGCAAACAAGCTGACAGCCCATGGGCTGTCAGCATCTTTTTTATAAAAAGGCCGATTTTGACCATGTGGATGTTTCTTTATCCCCCACCAATTTATTTTTCTGTTCCCAGATAATGGAGCATTCTTTGTGTCAGTCAGTCTTTAGATGCTCCATTGCATTCACGGTTTTTTATTTTATTCCTGCATCGTTTTTTCAATTTCAACAAATCTGATTTTGTAGCTCTTTTATTCTGTGTCATTGGATTTTTAATATAAATTTACTTTGACGGATTTACCTCGAAAGTTTAATAAATTCGTTGGTCTAGTAAACTCAGAATTCGTGTAAGAGGTAGGTCTTTAGAATCTGAGATATTCGTTCCAAATTTCATCTCGCATTGCGAACCGAAATCCCATTATGCCACTACCTCGCTCGCCTACTACATTGCCAAGTTGGTAGATAATGCCCAATTTTCAATTGTAATCGAATTAGGAACCAGGGTTGTTGAGGTGCAAATTTTTAAAATTTTCCTAATCCAAGTTTATCTAAAAAAAAACAGAGGCAGTTACGAATCCACAAAGGGATATTATGATTCTCTTAAAGTTTAACGAATATTAGATACAGTAAACGAAAAAAGAAAGTTATAAGGTAGAATCCATTGCGACTATATAGATTAAATGCATTTATTTGATCAATCAATTGATTTCAACTCTTCATAAATTGAGTCATTACTTAATGTTTTATTTAAGAAATAATATGTCATATCATTGCATGAGAAATGTGCAGAATATTTCATTAAAAAAAGTGTTATTATTGAAAAACAATTGCCAGAAACTTCACTTTGAGAATGTGTATGTCATCGCTAGAAAAATGTACAAAATGTTTAGTTTGAGATATAACGTGTACAAAGTTAGTGAAAAAGTGCTAGAAACTTTTGTTTGAGAAATATTTATTCATTTATTTGCTTTCCATTATTATGCTGTATGGTTTCTACATAGAACCACCACCACTTTTTCCATTCCCTTGGGAGTCATAAAAGGCGATTAAAGGATTTTAATGGTCGAGGAATGGGCAGGGCGGCTATCTTAAAATATCATCAAAACCTAACTACTGTTGCCAATCCGCCTGCCAAGCATGACAACTACTGGCAAAACCCCCTAAGATAGAAGGCCTGTTTGTTCAGCAGTGGACAGTTGAACGTTTGATATGATGATAATGATTTTATTAATGGTTATTGGTTATAGCAAGTAACAAGCAAATTGGCGGCTATATTGCATTTTTTATTAAATATAAAAAAGAAAAAAAAATCCGCAAATATTTTGATTGAGAAATAATATAGATAGATAGATAGATAGATAATTTATTTGCATAACTTACAGCACACAAACAAAAGACACAAAAGCAATGTGAAAAAAGATAAAAAAGATACATGTACAAAAGATTAAAAAAAAAAAATAAAACCAAAAACAAAATCAGAATGCATAATAATTTTTTTTTTCTTCATGCGTGTGCCACAGTAATGCAAAATGGGCACAACTCAGCTTTTTGCTTTGCCCTAAAAAGAGCAAAACACTGATATTCTGTTGTGGCCAAAAGTGAGCCGCGAAATACCACTAAAAAAAAAAAATAATAAAAAAGAAAGAAATATAGATCAAATACATAGTGTGCGTTCGTTATACTCGCTATTTAGAAGAAGGGTAGTCAGAAGTTAATTTCTATCAGTTTCAAGCACTCAAAACAAAATGAATACCCAAATTATACAAATACAACTAGTTACATAAAAGCATATTAAAGAGGCAACAGCAGGCATGCCCATCGCCAGACAGCGATCCCTCCCAGACAACCCAAGGATGGAGAGAATTAAATTGTGTCTGTTAAAGGTGTGACAGAAAAGTAATAAGACTAAAATATGAGAGAAAAAATGGGTAAGAATCAATTTAAACACAGTATAAACAATATAAATAAAATAGACTTACATATAATCATAATAATAATTAAATCCTTATAATATACTAAAAAGATAAACGCAAATAAATAATACATATGTGTATATGAGTATGCATATATTGGTGTATTAAGTACTACGACGGAGAAGAATAAAAATGTACTGTACAAAGGGAGACAGCTTCCGCCACCGATTTTTGTTTTTCTAATAGCATTTCTTTAATATTTTTCCTAAACGTATGTAAAGATGTCATTATTCTGAGGGGCGGTGGGATATTATTCCAACATTTCGTGGCCTGATAGCGAAAGCTGCCGGTAAATGCCACAGTTTTATGACATTGAAGTGACAGTGGTGGTCGCACTGATCTAGAATGATACCTATCATAAAAAGTGGAGAACTTCAACTTACTGTAAAGATATTCCGGATTTTTAAATTTCATTACACCAAATAACAAAGTAGCTAAATGTAATTGTCGCCGGGATTCCATATTGAGCATAGACGCCATATTCAAGTAGGGTGAAATGTGACTAATAATATGCATTTAATAGTAATATGCATTTTATCAGTAGAAAGAAATGGTAGAAAATGGTTTTTCCACTTGTGTTTAAAAGAAAATAGTTTTTTCTTTATTAATTATAAATTGTGTTGGGACGCTTTAATTTAATAAATTATATTTGGGATGTTTAAGGAGCAACCCTATGTGTAGAAACGGTATTACAGGAGAGGATCACGATTCCATCGGTTAATTTGTTTTCGACTCGGTTAATCCGGATTGCGTTCTTGTTTTCTGGCATTGCTTTTGGTTGGTTTCTTATTATTTGTTTTCCTTCCTTGTTCAGATTATTGTTTATATGGAAATGAATAGAAAAGAAAGGAAAAGGTATTTTTGTTTTTTTAACTGACTTCAAAAAAGGAGTGTATATATGTTACCACAATATCTTAGCCAGTTATATATATTGTCAGGGTGGTACTATATTTCTATAAGTACTATTATATATTATGAGTTAAATAAAATACATTGTTATCCCGTGTGGTCCTGGCATAGAATAGGGTCACCCCTCGCTTTCACGTGTGTGTCATAAAAGGCGACTAAGGGAAGTTAATGGTCAAAAGATGGACAATAGCTTCCTTTTATAAACATGTTCAAGGCCTAACTACGGTTGCCAACTCGCCTGCCAAGCGTGGTAACTACTAGCAAAACCTCCCAATAAAGGGAGGCCTATGTTCAGAACGGCTGATATGGTAAGATACATTTCAAGAAATAGATATAATTTAAACTGTTAAGGTGTTTTACTTATTAAATACTATATTTTATATTGAGTATCATAAATTTGAATGAAATCAGTATGATTTTGTTCATCGTATCGTCTTGAATGTAAAGATCAACTCAAGGTGCCATTGTAAAAGATCGAATTTAATATAATATTTCTAGCATAGATTTTCTCATTTTACTCTTATATTTTACATGTTATGAGTTTCCAGTCATATGAATAGTTGAAAACATTTTTATTTGATTTATAAAGAAGATTTTTTTCTTTTTTATTCAGATAAAATTTTCGCTTTTAATAAATATGTCCGTTTTCAACTGACATCAAGAAGAAGGCGATTCTAAATTCGGTTCTTTTTTATGCTTGGTGCCTCATAACTCCGTCAGTTCTAAACCGATTTGGAAGATTCTTTTTTTTATCAAAATGGATATACTTATTGAATTGGCCCATAAAGATTTTATTAAAATCGGTTCAGCAGTTTATTTTTAGATCAAAATTATTATTGAAATAATATAATACAAGTTTATTTAGACTGATAATAGGCTAATAAAATTGCTTGAGATGTCTAAAAACAAAAACTAGTAGGTATGTCTATGTTATCTGTGAATAGTCTCAGTGCGGGCATATGACCTAGTCTGACCCCAGAGAATGTCTTATTTCATTACTCTCCCTGGCTTTGTGGTCGACTTTAAATAAGTTTCAAGTGTCTAAAATGCATGCAGTTTGTTTTAACGACTTAAAAAGACAACCGCGACTGACTCGATGTGTCCCTCGAGGTACAGTCTAGGCATCGTCGTAATTGGCATACATGGATACTAGAGAAGCAACATTTTAGGGTCGTATTATAAAAAATAGCCCTTTTAGGACTGCATTCAATTTAGGATTGTTGTTGTAGGTAGAAAATGTATTTTTTTAAAATGGAGATTTTGAACTAATATGCTTACCCATGCTACTATACAGTTTATATCATCATCATATCAGCCTTTGACTGTCCACTGCTGGACATAAGCCTCCCCCACAGGGGGGGGGTTGTCTTTTAATTAGATCGATTTTGAACTATCCTTTTCTAAATAATTTTCCAAAACTAGATTAACTACTAGAATTTAGGTCAATTAAATTTTAGAGCTGTTTTACGCTCAGATATTATTAAAACGAAATTATATGGAGTCTTTAACTGTATTTTATTAACAAAAATAAACAATAAATCAGTGTCTTTTACCTGACCAGAAAAATCGAATGGAGAATACTTTCTCGTTTCGCCTTCTTTAAATATTTTGTTCCCGTGTATGGATACCGGTGGTCGCTTTCGGGATTTGCTGCTGGCATTTCTAACATTATTTTGATTTGTTTCTCTAAGAACCTTTGTGATGGGGTCAGAAAGAACGATGTTGTTTCTATTGTGATTATATATACTGTTGAATGTTCGATTTTGGTTTTTAAAAAACCTGGAATAAGTTATGTGATTTAATAATTTAACATTACTTGGATATGTGTACTATGTAATTAAATGCTTTCAATTAAAAAGAATCATTAAAATGGGTCCACAAGCTGCAAACGATGTCGCGTAATATAAGCATAAAATTATTATTATTCCTATTATGCCAATAAGGCATATACTACACAAGATGGGTCTACCTTCGGAGACATTGTACAGACTGTGCGGGGAGAAATCGGAATCCATGGAACACTTGATGTGCAACTGCGATTCGTTGGCAAGTATGCATATGAGTCTACTGGGAACGGCTTATCCACAGCCAGGGGACTACAGATATCTTAAACCGCGGGATATCGTTAGGGTAACACATAGGATCTATGAAATGATGGTATAAGGCAGGGGGAAGCACAAAAGATCCGTATGGGTCGACGTGCATCGGCTTAGCTGACCCCATATGCGAAAAATAAGATAAGATTTCTATTATTTAAGATGGGCGTAGCATGTTTTTCTTTTCTATTCTAATATTAATTCAGTCTTATCCAGAATACACACAAATTATGCTGTAGGAATTTAGAATTTTGTAAAATACATTAAATACTCGGTTGATTAATTTTTACATTAATTGCTATTAGCTATCCAATTTACGTTGTTGAATCAACTTTAAAAACGATATTGTAACAATTTTATTCTCTTTTCAGGTAATTATGCTGCAGAAAATTTTACAGTGCAGAAAATGTATCAAATTGTTCTGGGTAAGCAAATCAATGGGACTATTACAGTTATATTTCTTCTGAAACTACAGTATATTACGAGAGTTGCATGATATTGTATGATGCAATGTATGCTATCTATAATATTGTTTATAGGCAGCAGCTACCATTTTTTCATCAGGCGAACCGTCGGCTTGTTCATCACGTGCCTATATTCCGAACCAGCATCGCACGAGTAAACATAATTTTCGCAAAAAAAAAAAACAAAATAAATATATATGTAGCACTTTGTATGTGATTTTTTAAATTGATATAGCTTTTTTATTTATGAACCGATTGAAATAAACCAAACACCAAATAGTTAAGTGGAGCGAATCGTAACGCATTAGTGAAAATAGCATTCAAATCGGTTAAGCTGTTTCTGAGATTAGCGTGCACAAACATACAGACAAACAGACAAAAATAAAAAAAAAGTATTTATACTTTATTATACACACTGATGGCACATAAAAATATGTATGTAATATGTACAAATAAAAAAATCATTGTTTTGGGTTCATAAAGTCCCCCTATAATATTATTTCTTATATATTTTTCACATACAGACAGCAACCAGTCACGATTTTATTATATGTATTAATGTCAACGTAAAATTAGTAAAAAAAAAATACCTCTATTTCTGATGTGCGACACGAAAATATGTGTTACCTGAATAGCAAATCTCTCGGCGCCCTCAGAATCCGTATCATAATAAGACCGGTATAATAATTTTGGCTGGAAAAACTCAATATTACGTGTTACATATATTATTCGCCTACGCCGCGATCCGACGCGAATTGTCAACCATGAATCAATGTTTGCGTTCGGAATTCAAAACGAGCATATTCCTGTTTATAAATACAGCAAATAGGTTTTATGTTTACATGTTTACATCGTGCGTACCTATTTGTATTTTATACGGCTGTATTGCGAGGCAGTATGTTAGCCAATTGTGATTCGATTTTTAAAAAATATTTTTACAGTCCATATTATTTCCCATGTTAGTCCTATATTAATTATGTTACGGTACAGACTATGTTTTTATTTATTCTCTTTTTGTGGAGAAAATTCTAAGTGATTAGTCTGTTTTTAGAATTGTGGTATCCCCCAAATATTGATGTTGGCAACATTGTTGGCATACACTTTTGATATATAACCTCTGTATTTTGTTAATGCTTGTCCCATTGTTAATAAAAATATACTATATTAAGTATTGATCAGTAATAGAAGCAATATTAAAACTGTGTATTTCTTATTTCTCTACCCATTGGTGAATTCCACAAGAATAGTCTCAAATTTTGACGTATCATTTCACGTTCTAAATTCTAATATTTAAAACTAGTTTTAGCCTGCAACTTAGTACGCGTGCCAGTAGATTTTTAAAAAAGATATGTAACTACTTCTAGATTGCATATTAAGATAAAACATACATTGCATTTTAAGAATATAACAGTGGTTTAATTTTATTATTTACTGGCTTTCTGCCCGCCGTGCGCAGCATTCAAAAGTAGGAATGATGACCAATGAAATACCACTTCTGGATGACATATTAAAATGAAACATACACAATTTTTTAAGTTAGACCTTCAGGAATACAACAATAAAATCCTCATTCGATTCGGTAATTGAAATTTGGCACGATGATTTCCAGGGAGGTCCACGTGGAGTTCGACCGACAAGGTATGTTACTAACAAAGGGACTGATAGCCCGCATTACTAGCAATCTCTCCCCCTCCTCTGTCCATGAGTTGGCACTTATTAGTTTTGTCAAGTTCGACTTTGTTTTATTTCTTCTCTTCTATTTATTATTTACTCTGAAAATTACATATTAATAAAGCGAAAAGTCTCAAACAGAAATCGAAAGTCGTCAGTCGGTTTCCCGCCAAAAAAATTTTGACATAAGCGACCGTTATTCCGGCCGCGTCCCCGAGGCGTCCATTATTCAACAAGCCGCGTTCTTTTTCCTCGAAATGAAAAGTACTTTTATCATTAAAAAGTTATCCTTTTTGTTGTCTTTCATTGGGGATAGAATATTCTGGAGAGACTTGTTTTAATATTTTTTTTTTGTAATATATAATGGTTAAGTCGCCCATAGACATGAACGGTACCATAGACATTAGATTACCATAGACTACGAATTGCTGGAATAATATACTACTACCAGTAAGATTATTTAATACTAAATATATTTTTAAAAGAGAGCTTATAAAGGTTGTAATTAATAAACAATAAATTGACATAATTAATAGGTATGTAGCGGAAATATTTATCACTTGAATGCTTAAATGTGATCCAGAGTAACCCCTGTCTACCGCATTTCTAATGGTATTTCTTATCTATTAGTTTATAAATTTAGATTAAAATTTTAAACACTAATGATTGTAATAGGCACAGGCAAATTCATTTATTTATATATATTTTTTTTTTGTCAAAGGGTCTCACGGCTGCCTTTTGACTTTTGGCCACAAGAATATCAGTGTTTTGCTCTTTATGCAATAAACTGAGTTGTGATCTTTTTGTATTACTGTGGCACATTCACGAAAAATTATGTTATCTGTTTTATGTATTTTCCTTTTTTTATATACGTATTCTTTTATTTCTTCTTTTTAATTAGGTATGCACTAATATCTGTTGTTATTTGTGTGCGTGCTGTAAGTAATACAAATAAATTATATATCTATCTATCTATCTATCTAACCAATTGCTATGAAATTTAGTATACATATACTTACTATATGAAACTGAGAAGGATAGATTAGTTTTTATTCCGGTTAGTTAACTTATTCCGGTCACGCCGATGAAGTCGCGGATAAAAGCTAGTTCGTCTGTGTGCGTACGCGTGTGTGTGCGCGCGTGCGTACGTGCGAGCGTGCGTGCATGCGAGAATGCGTGCATGCGTGGTCCTATATTAATTTTCACATGATTTAATTTTTTTTATAATTATTATCATATCCACATTTGTATTTAATACTGACAGTTTAAACTACAAGCAAGTTTATAATAAAAATAATAAATGTTTTAAGTAACACAGTAAAGTTATGTAGTGCATTTTATATATACTGTACTCTCATAATTATATCCTTAATTTGTTAAGAAAATTGAGTTGGTCTAAAAAATCCAGTTATGAATCTAGGCCAGTCATGCAGGCTAGTGGAAACGCCGTAAGTTGCTAGTCCAGACTTTCTCTACATCTAAAGTGCTTTATAATCGCAGAGAAAATCGCTAGTAACGATTTCTATCTACGTACTTTTATAGTAACATTAATGTTGCCAATACCTAATTAACCTTTTCCTAATTAATGGTTAATTCCCGTCTCTCAAAACCATAAATCTAGCAACGCGAAAGTCCTCACAGATGTTGAGAATCTGAAAGATTTATTTAAGGCGATTTCTAGCAAGATAATGAATGTAACATTTGTACAAAATGACATGCAACGTTGTTGTATATCCTCAATGTAATTTATATCACCTATTATCTAGAATTATTCAGAGTTATTTATCTAGTGTGTAAAAAGGGTTGTTTTTTGTTCTTGTTTTTAAGTTTTTTTTTTTTAACAAAAATCCTTTTAGGTACAAGTTTTTATAATGTTGTAATTCATCATTTTGGAGACGCGACCGTATTGAATTTGGTGTGATATCACAAAATTTCAGGCCTTATTTGATACCCATAATAAAGAAGTTGAAAAAAATACAAGATCCGCCATCTTGTGACGGCGGCCATTTTGAAAATATAACAATATTGAGTATTGCACATTGTATTGACATCAGAACTGAAGGTGTATGCAAAACTTCGCCTCAATCGGATATGGAGAACAGGTTCTAATTCAGCTTGCAAGATTTGACCTAACTCACAAACGAGTACATTGTAAGTTAAATACAAGCTTGCAAAAATAAGTTTTTAAGAAACAGAAATTAATATTTTTTCGCAAGTACTTATATTTGATAATAATTTTGTTTTAATAATAAACCAATCATTCAATCGTGGCAAAACCAGTTATTTTGATTTAAAATTTAATTGAACTGATTTTAATCTAAAAGTATATTATTTATATATAATTTTCCAATACGGTTTGTAAATGACGAAGATCTGAGATAACAGATTTAAATATACGAATGAATTGAGAACCTCCATTTTTGAAGTCAGTCAGAAAATATCGTCTATGGAACTCACTACCTCTCACTTTAGTACTATTTTCCTGTGTTCTCTCTTCATTTTCCTTCGTCATTTTTTTTCTGTTGTATGTGTGCTGTTAAGTATGTGTATGTTGTGTATATATTTAATTGTGTATATATTATATATGTATGTGTATGTATGTATGTATATATGTTTGTATATGATAATATTTATATAATAGTGCGCCACCTACCCTTTGTCTTTTTCTCAATGTCCTCTACCCAAAGGTTGTCTGGAAGAGATTGCTTAGCGATAAGACCGCCTTTTGTATCACTTCTCATTAATATTTACTGTATTTGTTATTTCTCTTTTTACTTGGTGCAATAAAGTGTAAATAAATAAATATCCTAATATGCCAGTCAAGTGTTGATCAACTCAATAAACTTTATTACCATAACGAACTGCAAATAAAAAGTATTATACTATTCAAATAATAATGAGTATTTGATAATTTAATATTTGATCAAACGTTGTGGTCTTTGACAAAAAAAATCACTTATAAAAGCAATGTGAAATCAGGGTGAAAACGGCGCCGAGTTCCAAGAAATAATAACAATTACGCATTACTTTAATAGACGTTTTAGGAGTTTTCTAATAATAATATAAATTTAATCAACCGAACATAATCGAACGTTACGCCTTCAGTTTACGCCTCGTCTAACCGAAGCCTTTCACGTTTCACATATTAAATGCTTTTAGAGATTTGTTCTATTTTTAAATAATTTCAAAAAGCAGGTTTTACAATTCGACAATATACCTATTTATCTTATTCTTTTAAAAAGAAGAAAGTTTTTTAATTCGGTTGTTATTCTTTTTTATGTTTGTTACCTCGTAACTGCTTCAGTTATAGACCGATTCGGATGGTTTTTTTTTATATGAATGGATATACGAGTACTTATAGATTAGTCCTATAAAAAAATTTATCAAAATACAAAAACAGTTCAGTAGTTTTTAAACCAAAAGAACTGGTTTTGTCACAATTGAAGTCTTATTTTTTTTTGTGGAATACAATTTTAATATTATGTGTGTATATTATTAAATATTTCCGCCCATTATGTGAGGACTGTTCTATTGTAATTTAGGTTGCTTAAAAAAATAATTAAATTGTCTCGAATTAGTGTGTCCAATGCGAGTTTCCAAACGCACCTGACCTCGACCATCGAGAACCGACAATTGGTCAAAGGTTAAAATCGTGAATGGTTATGATTGTGATAGTTGGTTATTTGGAGTATTAGCTGAATTTCGAATTACAGGCGATCAGCGCGTTCGCAAAATATTTTGCATTCCTAGTGTACACTCGAGTACTCAAGGGTGTATTTTGGATTGATTACCAGATTAGTTTCCTGTTTAGTCGGAAATCTCTTAATGGTATCAGGAAGCCCGTTTCAGAGCGTTCCAGTGAAAAATGTAAGATAAAAGAATTTGAAACGAAACCAGTATGGTGAGACGGAATAGATAAAAAAGTATCACAGAAATGTAGCTTTTTATTATTACTTACAAATAAGTATTGTGCCTATAAATTCTACTCCTGCAGAACTTTACCTAATAAATGGGAAAGATGTTTAATGCAAAGTAATAATATTGTAGGCGAATGAAGTTCTGCAAGAAATTGTAAAATGCAATTGAAGCGGACAAGAGCGTGCCTCCTCATTTCGAGGAGAACTGCATTATCTTGTTGTTTTAGAATCTTTAAATTCCTACTTAATATTATATGAATTATAAATACAAAAGTTTGTTAATAAATCTACCATTTGAATGAACTCGAAGTTATTAGTGTCTTTTGAAGAGAGTTCATGTAGCAATTAAACTGAATTTGGTTTTTTTTTTTCGGCAAATTGAATTTGTTTTAGTTACCCTACCGTGACTAATTCAACAAGAGTTAACCACTGTGGTTTCCAGGGGGAAGCATATGGAGGTCGACATGATAAGGTATTGTTATACCCAAAATTGAATATGTTTCCCAAAACTAAAGTAAAATCCCCTACTACACTAACTTGATAACCGTATTTCTACATCTATGGAAGACTTAAAATTCATTGTCGTTTCTAAATCCATATTTCTTTTTTAGTTTAATTTCACTTATATAGCGTTACTTTAATAGTATGCTAATAATTTCAAATACCTTGTGTGTTTGGATGTTTAGATGTTCGTTACAAAAATCTTTATACACAGATAATCTTCTTTTTAAAACTTAGGTTTTTTTTATTCGATGTCTATATTCATATGTAATGGGAAATTAACTCAGTATTTTTCTCGTTTCGGACAATTGTTTTGACTTCATCCGGAACTCTTTTTTAGGGGGCGTTAAACGTTTTGCGTCGCAGCGTCTTGCCTCATAATGCATATGTATATAGATATCAGATAAATACTCTTTGTCCCAATTCATGGTGGCAAAGCCTCGAAAAAGAAATAGTATTGTCTGTTACTTCAAATTATTATGCATGTGCCGTCAACGCCAACTCAGAGCTTTGCAATTTGCAACTGTAGCAAGTCTTAATGACAGGACAAGAGCTGTCTACTATACTTCTCTTCGACTCTTCTGAACAGGTAGGTTTTTAAATGGTTGTATTGATGAAACGATAGATAATTAAACGCTCTAGTTGATTACATTTTTCTCTCCTCGTCTTACTCACTATTGGCGTCTGTTAATTTCCTGTAGGATGTTCCTATAGGATGATATAACTATTGAAATCAGAATTAGCGAGTATATTACATTACATAATATATAACAAAAATAACACATGAAATGAGAATCTTTACGTTTTGGAAGCAGTTTAAAAATAAACAAATCAATGGTCATTATACAATACCTGGAATTGAATCAATTCCACCATGTTTGTTCTGTAATGATAGTTTGAGCTCTATTTTAATTAACAACACTCGTATTGATTATCAGAAATCAATAGGTTTCTTAGAATTCAAAAGTGTATGCCTTGACGCTGTTTATTGCTGGAAAATAATAAGATGGTACTTCTATTTATACAACTCGTGTAAAGGTGTCAGTTTTTGGTGTCAATAATTTCTGTGTTTTACATTATTTACTTTATTATTTACATTTGGTTGTTGTTGTTATTGTATCAGCCATTAACCGTCCACTGCTGAATATAACCTCCCCTATAACGGGAGTTTTGCCAGTAGCTTCCATGCTTGGTTTGGGCGGGTTGGCAATCTCAGTTTGTCTTTTCGTAAAGTTTTAAGATGGACGTTACTGCCCATCCCTCCACCATAAGCTTCCTTAGTCGTCTCTTACGACGTCTACGAGAAAGGGTGGCCTGTTCTATGCTGGAACATATACGGCAATTTACATTAGGTGCTGCACTGGTAATAAATACTTCTCTTAAACTGGCGGTATAATTTGCTGCTTCTTCTTTTATTTATTTTTTATACAACTTAGAATGGCAAATAAGCTGACGGCTCACCTGATGGAAAAAGGTAACTGTCGCCTATAGACATCAGCAGTACCATGGACATAACATAGTAAACTTATTATACTTTATTTTCATCACTTCATCCCTCTGCATCATGAACTAGCTTGTGCTCGTCGCACTGCACTCTTAACATACTATTTTCTTTGTAAGCTTAAATTTTCGAATCTAAACGTATGCTTATGTCATAAAATAAACTCATGTTCAAATTTCAACTGTCTAGGTAGTTTTGGCCGTGTGTTGATAGTCGATCAGAATAAACGATTTTATAAGAATTAATAATATCTAAATTATATAACTGAGTACGAAATCTCGACACATGTGTTTACTTGTCTTAAATAAATTCCTGCAATCCTTTTCATCTTGATCAAAGTTTCTTTTAAATTGTTCTAAACTTCGGCAACGTTCTTAAGAATTTTTGCAACGTTATCCAATTATCTGATTTATAATTCTTCGTTACCACGACTTTATCACTCAAAGTCTTTCTAATGAAGAATTATGTTATCTGAAGTTAGAAGAATTAATAAATTCAAGTAATAACAGGTGTCAAAGTTCCATTTAGTTCCGTAGCGATACAGTTTCTCAAGTCAATTGCGAATTCCCTGAAGACGCCCGTATTTAGTTTATTAGGAAACTTCGTGTTTCGTCTACACAACAAACTTGCTTCGGTTCGCTAGTTGAAGTTTATATGTAATCATTCATCGCTCAAACTATAAATGTTGGAGCTCTTATGACTAATTTGTGGAAATATTTGCTAAGATGATGTACACATTCTTATATTAAATATTTACCGTATATTTACGTAATGGTTGTTATTTCATAGAATTTTATTTCAAACAATATCCGTGGGAATAATAAACCTACTTATTTGTATTCACATCAGTTCAATTACAGCGTAGTCAGTGAGTCAAAAGTCTATCTGGACATATATATCACACAAAATACGATTGTGGTGTTTTTATTTAGGTACTTTCCTTTCTTTTCTTTATTCGTCAGCCGAATATTGTATTAAAAATAGAAACACATTGTTACATTTCAAATGTTATCTATGTCTATACAGTCCGTAATATTATTTCTATTTTTCCTAATGTTTTTTTTTTCGTCAAATCTATTGAACCTTGCACGATAAAGTATATCTGGAAGCGATTGCTTTATATTAAAACTACCTTTTGTGCTTCCTGCCTATTTAGAACAATAAACTGTATAAAATTATTTTTTCTTGGTTGGCCCACATAAAATATTCCAATTTTTTTTCGATTGGATATTACATAAATATCAATGGTGAATCGCTTGCTATGCTGTAATCTCAAAATTCGTGGAAGACATTAATACTGTGGTCTATGATTACAGTGTTTACAAACACTGCTTTAATTTTTTCCCTTGTTATTATTGGAAATGCTCGAACAATGTATTTTCATCTGACTTCAAAAAGCAGATTCTTAATTCGATTTTAATTTTTTTTATATTTGTTATCTCATAACCCCATCAGTTATAAACCGATTTGGAAAATTCTTTTTTGTCTGAAAGTATATATAATACTTACAAATTGATCCCATAGAAATTTTATCAAAATCGGTTCTAATAGTTTAGTTTTTTAATCAAAATAACTGGTTTAACCATGATTAATATCGATTTTTTAGTAGATCACAATTTAATTATTATGTTTTTATTTATAGCATAAATAGTAATTTTCACTTCTCCAAACCTATTTCCAAAATAAGTATAAGCAAGTTTCATTCCTTTATGTTGAAAAATAATAAAAAAAAAATGTGTTTTTTACATGAAAAAGACCTATGTCGGTTTAGATTTTGCGGTCATGATGAATCAGCATGTGTCCTTTTAGATAGATGTAAATGTATACGACATATCATGTAATTTTCTAGACTGACGATCCGTGAAATATTACAGAACTGGATTATCACGTTCATTCCAATAGTGAGTTCCCTTTCCGAGCGAATATATTTATTTATTTATGTCTCTATTAACGAATATTCTTATTACGTGGCGGATATTATTAATATGTAATGTATTTCTTTTATACTATATAGTTTATGCAAATAAGAATGCAAACAAGCTGATGGTTCGCTCAATGGAACGTGGTAATTGTCGCCTATAGACATGAGCAGCAGCAGTACGGACAACAGAGTATACTGTTTTGACCATGATACCCCCCCATGCGTTGCCATTCTTGAGGTGTATATTCAGGTTACAAATTGTATTTAAGTTTATTAGTCATCTAGTGATCTAGTACAAGCTCCGCTTAGCTTACATTTGTTAGACGGTTCTATACGTTCACTGATATTTATTATTGTTATTATTTCTCGAGGCTCTCCCTTTTTGATGGAATGTAGGATTCGTCAAAAAAATAATCTGCAGTATTTTAAAAAGCCTGCAACGCACTAGCAATCTTTTTTGTGTTGTAAGTGTTCACTATGTGTGCCGCTTCCCTACCAATAAAATGAAATGTATATGTATAATATTTTATTTTTAAATTGATAATTTTCAAATTTTTACCTCCTAATTACATTTCTGTTTTAAGGTTGACAGAGAATGCTATGTAGCATTAAGTCCGCCTTTTGTAGCAATTTTTTTTTTGTAATGTTGTCAGTAATGAATAAGTGAATAAAATAATAGTTACAAAATTAAGATTTTTATAAAAGAGCCATTATTTAAAATAATACGCATATAAAACGAAATACGAGTATACTTTGAAATTCTAGCAGCGTGGGTTGTATATAATAAAATGGCAGCTGCAAAATTTGAAATTCATTGAAATGTTATTTCTCTCCAGGCTATGCACGTTGAGGGTGACGCGACTGCGCGTATGTGGGGCGTTAGGCGAGGCGGGTGGCGGGGCGGCGGGCGGAGCGGGCGCGGGAGCGGTTATATTGGCCGCGCGGATGCATAGCAGCAAGCGAACACTGCGCTCCAACGACATCGCCGTGCCGCCGCTCGATGTGGAGCTCGACCTTTGCTTCTCCCTACAGTACCCGCATTTTGTCAAGCGAGATGGCAACAGGTTTGTAACTTCTTTTTTTATAAACAAAATTATTATTTATCTGTTAAAAAATACAGCTCAAATAGTCTTTGATAAATTTGAAAATTGATAAATGGTCTTTGATTTTGCATATGATAGACACTTCGATTAAAATTAAACCGAGTTAATTTAGAAATAACTTATTATAAATTGATTTTACTGTACCGTTTAGGTATAATAGGTGGATAGTGTCATTTAATTTATGTTTGTGTTGTATCTGTTACAATTATTGTTTAGCTCATCATTTTTATTATATCATTTATAAAAATAAATGGTTTTAAAATGTTAGTCTAGATATATCTTAGATAGGTAAGGTACTCTAAAAATCCAGACTTCAAAATCAAATATGAGTCGAAACCAATAAATCAATCTATAAAAAGTTAAAGAAGCACACATGTGAAATTAAGACATAATTCTACTTTTGTTGTCATAAAAGTTTATTTATTCACCGTTGATCACCGTTCACTCGGCTTTACGAGTTAAACTCTGGAATGCTCTTTATTTTTACAATATAAGGCCGAGGTCGAAAGCCACTAAAAATAATCGAGGCGTGTATATCACTATTTTATCGCTTCTCGATGTTTACTATGAAACGGCTTATTTAATGGCCCCATGAAACAAGCCATAACCGCAAATGTTTTTGTATGTTCCGAGGAAATCCGCATCTGAGCGGTGTTGTAGCGTAAACTGTTACAATGGGTGTTGGAAATAATTTAGGAACAATAAAATATTTAGTTTCGGTAATAAATATATTTGTTACTTTTTCTTGTCAGTGTGCGAAGCCTAAAATTAGAATATGCTTTTAGAATTTTATTAGCGTTAAATATGGGTGGTATATGAGGGGGGGGGGGGGTGGACTATTCTCGCTTCAAAATTGTCTGGTAATGTAGATATGTTTGAAAGTACGTGTACATATTGCGTCTCTTTCAAGCGATATTAATAAGGAGGTTTTCTTTTCGGTTGTATTTTATTTTTGTTACCTCATAACTCCGTCAGTTCTAAACTGATTTGGATTTTTTTATTTGAAAGGATATAAATTGGTCCCATTTTTTAAATTGGTACAGTAGTTTAGACCAAAACAACTGGTCACAATTAAAGACGGGTTTTTTGTGGGTCACGATCTTTAATTATTAAGAGACGAGACTCCTGTGGATAATAATCTCGAATAAGCCAATGGCGTCAAATATGACAAATTTGTTACGCACCTTTATAAGTTTTTTCAAAAAAATCGATTTTTCATAAGTAGTTTAATTAGTAATATCAAAATTTCTCTAAACTATTATCTGTATGACCTTAGGTCCCCTGCAGAATAGGCAAAGAGATCCAAGAGCCAACGGTCTCCATTCTGAATAATGTTAACATATATTTATATTCATGAGTATGTCTGTTGGCATTGACCTGGGCGTTTTCTATGTATGTAATATCTATGTATTTACGAAAAAAAAAGTATTTTGCTATGTCTTTCAGTCGTCTAGTATTCATAGTGCAAGCTCTGCTTATAGTTTGGGACTAAATGACAATGGGTAATATGTCCAATAGTATTTATTTGGGTGTATCTATTTCTAATTCGCCCTGCAGTCCTAGTATAGACTAGGCTACCCTATCCTCTCCCGTGGGTGTTGTAAGAGGCGACAACGGGAATTTAATGGTGGAAGAATGGGCAGTAGCGTCCCTCTTGAAACATTTTCAAAGCCTAACTGCAGTTGCCAACTACTGGCGAATATCCCAATAGGAGGAGGCCTATGTTTTACAATAGACAGTAATGGTTAAAAAGTTGATAATCTATTTCGAATCCTTATTCTGATTTGGTACTATTATGTAACTGATACTGCTCATGTCTATAGGCGATGGACACTACTTTCCATCAGGTGGACCGTCAGCTTGTTTGCCATTTTAAGTTGCATAAAAAAAGGTATTTTACAACTTTTATGTGAATAACTTTTTACATAATGTTACTAAGAAAATAAATCATTTGGTAAACTTATTCATCAATACCGTGATATTTGTTTACCTGGTAATCTATGTCATATGTTATAGAGCTTTTTGATTTGAGCTTCATTTCCATCAAAACATGACGTAAAGTATTTACGTAGCTGTTCTTCCTTGACCTGACTTCGGAAAATCTGATCTCGGAACAGTTTTATGGGCAGACTTTATTACTCGGAACATTATGTTCTTTGCCATTTAGTTGGCAACAAATATGTAGAAAGGTTTCACTTGGCATTGAACCTACTGGTAGTAAAATGTAATTGGGACAGCTTTTCCAATTGGGCAGTATCTAGACAAAAGATATTGGCGTATCTTATGAAAAATCTTAAGTGAGAAATCTTATAAAGTACTAATGAAGAAATTCTTTTTTTTTAATACTTTAATTTATGAAATTTATCATAAAAGACTTTAGGTATTTTTTCTATCAAATGTATGTATGCATTCTAAAGTAAGTTTAGTGTTTTTGGAAATATGATTAATGACAATCGAACCATTGAGCCGACTGACATTTTAAAATAAATTTGACTTTGACTTTTTGTTAAATACTAATTATTGTATCTTAAATTTCGAATATATCTCAAATACTGATTTTCGTTCGAAATAAATTTGGAAAATATGCACAAGAAATAAAAACCTTGACTTCTTTATTGATAATTAATAAAAACATTTTATTAGCTAAAATAGGTTCGTATGAGGTTTTAGTTATTAGGAATAAGGGGGTTATTGTTTTATTATATGGAAATATATATTTCATGAACAGATATATAATGTCATTTAAAGGATATAGTTATATTTTAAAATATCAATTTTTATTGCAGACTGCAAATAATGCTGCAGAGGCGTAAGAAATACAAGAACCGCACCATCCTAGGATACAAGACGCTCGCCGAAGGTGTTATCCGTATGGATCAGGTGATTACAATATCTCTTATATACCATACAGTCAGCATTTATTCTACCGTTGAATTTCAATAGTTTTTAAAAAAAAATATGGGAAGGAAATGACAATAAATTTTGAACCTCCAACACTGATGGCGCGTTTTTTCGTCAAGTCCTTTTTATACAACTTAGAATGACAAGCAAGCGACGGCCCACCCGATGGAAGGTGGTGACCGTCATCCATAAACATGAATTATCAGTGATTAAAAAGGTACTTTTTATATTTAAATTCCATCGGACCTCCCAACTGGATTGGATAATCAAGATCCCGTAATTAAAAAGCTCTTAGCTAATTGTAGTCAGAGGCTCACTGCTTGTTAAGCGCCGATCGAAACAGGATTCTTTGTCTTTGTCTCGGCTAAGACTGAAAAAGAAATAATTAATCGGTCGAAATTTAAACACATAAAATATATAATTCGTGTTTCCATTAAGCATTTGTGTTTGCATGGCTGTGTTTCGGTTTCAAGGTGGGGTACAGAGGAACATCTGAGTCCTCAGGAATGGCAACGCATGGGGGGTATCATGGGCGTAAGTTGTATAAAAAATATATATAAATTTAATATTTTGCAAAAAAAATCGAAGCACTTAAGAAAGTGCGGGTACAAATCCTGCCATGCTGATGTTATGAGGTAGTGTTTTACTACTTTAGCTATCACTTTAGCTACCATTTAGCCTGATACCTGACTCGAAATTAACAACACTACATTTGGAGATTCTGAAATAATAAAATTGCTATGTATTGAAATCATGTGTGAAATCGTCAGGAAAATTTGAAATACATATTATATTTGGGATGAAGAAGAATGTAGGCTACTTTCTTTATCCCAGTTAGTCAATATATCACGGCTACATTGACGAAGTCGCGAGTAAAAACTAATATAATTTAAATATTGAGTCATTCTCTAAACTTTACTACGACTGGTACGCTTGGAACTACGGAATCTAAATCTAAAATGAAACGTAACACTATACGTACAAATCATTCTTACCTGCTACTACACAAATCGTATTATTTCGGTCTACAAATAGAAGGTTTCATTCATGCAAAGCGTTTGAATCAGCAATTAGTGATTCATTCAATTGAGATGAGTGACTAATAGAGCGCGCATGTTTCCTGTAAGCTTCGATGCTCGTGTTTTAAATATCTACGTAGCTGACTGTATCGCTTTTCTACTATACTAAATAATCTATTTACTCCCAAGCCAGGTTCCTTCAGAGTTATGCAGGAAATAAAAGCAACTGTCAAAGAATTCTTACTTATAAAAATGTACTGGTACAACAGTGTTTTCTGCAGTGTTGCAGTAGAGAACACTATTACTGTTTAGGGCTGCGGTATTGTCATTGGGTCTGAAGATTAAAATAACCAGTGCAATCTCAAAAACAAAATCTATTGACAATAACCTGCTGCATGCTGGACAATATTACGCTACTCATGTGGTTGAAGATTTATTTTCCATGAGATTAGTTGTCATTTTGTTTGCCATTACAAAAAATGTGACGTCTCCGAGGATTTCAAAATCAGATAATAGTGCATTATCTAAAAAAATATATCTGATAGAAAAATAAAGAATAATATCTAGAACCAACGAAAGAATGCCAACCCTAAATTTTGTTTTCCTCTTCCACTCATTTTTTCTGTCTTTGATTCTTCCTTTACATTTATAACCATCCACATTCAAATAGTGATACGAGTAATTCTTAAATCATTCATTTGGTGTTCTGGATCAAATATTCACTGATATTCCATAGATCAGACGTTTGTAGTATGGTTGCTCATAACACTGACACTCCTTGAGCTTGAAGACCAGGCTGTTAGTCTGATTGTGTAACATTTAATATTATTGTTATAACAGGTACTCCAAAAATCCATGGACATGGAGTTGGAGCTGACAGGAGTGGGCGCAAAAGTGGGCGCGACGGCCGGACAGCCGGTCGCCCGGCTCGCCATCACTGGTCTAGCGTCCACCCCCGTCGACCATGACACAAAAAATAACAACACATTGCTTATTACTGGTCAGTATACTCCATTTAAATTAAAACCTATGTATCATTCAGAGTTAAGTCAGGATATCAGCAGCAGAAACAAATTGACCGATATAAACCGAGATACTGAGCTGGAGTACCAATGTGTTGGTCGTATCTTTAAGAATCAATAATTGATAATGACGAAAGATTCTCTATTAGCAGTCCCATACAGGCAAGTGGTATTAGGAAAGAAACAATTTTGTTTTTCCGGACTTGTTTTGTTCACGAAAAAAAAATCCATTTTGTGTAAGCTATATATGTCCATAACAACGTGCGTATAAAATTTTTGGGGTTGTAATATAACTAAGACCAAATTAATACCGAAGATTAACTCTTGTTGAAGTTGTCGAAGTTAAAGCCTGTGACAGGCGAGAAATGTTGGTCTTGCTTGTTTAAAGGGATCGTTTCTCCGTGGACAAAATAATCCCCGTCTGTTCTTCCATAATAGCTTTAAATCCCATTCATTCAAACAAATGTTTAAGTACAAATGTAATTTTTTACCTAAAATTTCATTTTCAAAATTATAAATAAATTTGTTTGAATGAATTAAATTTTAGAACGAGGCTACTCAGATGAAGAAGAGGAAGGCGAGTTCAGTTCAGTTGAAGAAGCTGATGAAATGACATACGGTGCGCAAGCGCGGCGACGGGCACACCGGCAACTTGCGTTCAACAAAGAGGACCTCTCTTATACCAAGGTAGGAAGATTTTTAGCGTATGATCGACGTTGGGATGATCAGAGTACGCTCGGAAAGAGTATACTACTCTTCCACTATTTCTACTATTGTCATTGGTAATTAAAGGATTACCCGTAACATTCGAGTAGCGAGAGAATTACGCGTTCCCCTGTATAGAGCCAATAATTAAAAAAAAAAAAACTAGAGGGTTGCCAAATCTATAGTAATAAATTCTGTAACAATTCTGGAGCGAAATTGAATTTAAGGTTACATTTGCCATTTTGAATATCACAGTCTTTGGAATTATGTTACTGAAGCCGTAATCAGAATAACGTAAGAAGAATTTATTTGTTATATAAACATTCTTTATTGTTAACTCCAAATAATATATTTATTTTATAAACAAGGGAAATGCACAATGGGCAGCCTTATCGTTGAAAGAATTTAAATTCTATAAATTGAATTTCTTAATTATCTTTGGCTGGATAAGAAATAAAAGAAAATGAAGAGTTGGACTCCATAATTTTGAGTTAACAATATTGTGGTTTACTAGTTTATGTACTCTAAGTTTAATTCCAAAACTTTATTAGATTGGTCTGTCAACTGGCAACCCTAATTGTCATTATTTCGGACTTGAGTTCTCAGCTTGTTACTGACAGAGTACTAGTATTAGTTACAGAGACCCGGCAGTAGTATTCGTTTCCACATTTATCTTCCCAAGTTATAATTTTCTTTATATTTTTATATAGTTCCTTTTCTATGTGCTTTTACAAGTTACTTTAATGTTTTTAATATTATTATTATTAAATTTAATGTTGCTATATTATAGTGCTTTTATACTATGCTTATATTTACTAAATATAATAATACATGGCTTAAGATATTTTCACAATTACTACTAACATTTTGAGAATGCCTTTGTTATTCTTATATTTTGTACTAAAATTTAAATAAATGATTACTTTATGTTCAACAAACTGTCACATTGATAGTTTATAAATGATTTGTCTGGACTTAGTGAACTAGTGCAAATGAATTAATTTAATTAGAATTTAATTAAAGCAAAACATATGTAACTATGTTTATTACAATACACTGCTGTATTGTACTTAATTACAGCTTTATGCCTTTTTTGTGTAAATATCATGTGAATATAGTGAAGCAATATTTATAGACCAGAATATATTGAAATAAATACATATAAAATTGAAATAAATACATGTTTTACTTTTTTTTTTTTTCGCTTAAAGTAGCAATGTTAAGGCATCATTAAACAAAAGCCTATATATATTAGCTTGAGGTAGCGTAATATAGACGTTGCATTGCACGCAGCTGTCCCGCTCTCGCGACTTGAGCTTCATGGAACGCGAAAGAAAGAGACAGAGCTATATGCACTCGAAGGCGAACGACAGGGACAGCGACAGCGAGCTGGAAAACGCGGCCGCTAAGCGCAAGGGCAGCCGCGGAAAGCTCGCGGTGAGCTTCCACACGCGAAATCCCTGTAGCGTTTGAGAATAGAGTTGAAATTTGCTTGCTTGCCCTTTGCATGTTATAGATGTCACCATTAAGACTGTATGTTTTGGGAACTATATTTGGTTAATATAAAGAGTCGTTTAGATCATTAGACGTAATGAACTAGTAACCGCTACAGTTTATTTTTTTTTTATTTTATTTTATACTAGTTATCTCTAATAACTATTACAAAGAAAGCGGTTTACTGTACTATAAAGAACTGATTGAACTATAGTAGGTATAGACTCTCAATTGAGCTAGGACCTAGATTTAAAGTTCGCTTTATACTCTGGTGGTGACATCTGTATACAGTAGTTGAATGTTGCTATAAAATAAGCTTATAATCGTTGTATATGTTATATATGTATTTTAATTTTTTTGGAAATTCTTTTTCTATTATCACATCTTATATAGTATGTATTCGAATTGCATAGAATGCATGCATTATGGGTATATAATTTCTATGCTCTTTTTGTTGACGTATTTCATTATATGTAGTACTTAGTTACAGAGACATTGATTTATTTGAAACAATGATTTACATTAGTAGTTTGTTTTGTGTAATTGATGCATGTGTTTTTATGGGAAGTACAATTAGATATGTAGAATAATCTAATGTAAAATAACGTCTTCTAAAAAATAGCTACTATATTTCTTGCTATTTGTGAGAATTTGTCCTCGACTACCTACTGTACCGAATGTATTCCTCAAACTAGCTGTAAGTTTTTAAATTAGGGTAAAATAAAATATTATCCTTATTTTGTGAATGTGTAAATTGAACCTAACGTAGATTATTGTTATTATTTTTTGCTAGATTTACGTTTGCGACTTCGTTCACGTGATCAGGTTTCACTGATCAGGATAAAAAATAGCCTATGTTTATCTCCATTTTGTATAATGCATATATACCAAATTTCATAGTAATTGGTTAAACTATTAAGGCGCCAATTGATAACAATCAAACACACTTTGATATTTATAATATTAGCAATAATAATATAGAAAAAGTACATCTGCCTACTTATAATAAATAAAACGTCGAGATTGAATGCATATATCGCATTTATTTCTATTTTTATTTTTAACTACTACATTTTTTTTAACGGTGACACATAACAGCAAGAACTTTTTTTAATGGATGATAATAGAATGGTAACCCCTCCTGTGCTAACGGTATACGCTGGCGTGATACCATAGAGGGATGATAGGTGAGAGTGAAAAGACAGATCAGTTAGCCTACGCAGATGAATACACCTGAATTCAACACGTAGATTTCCAGGGAGAACCACGTGGAGTGCGACCTGATAGGGTGTATTACTAGCAATGGGACTGGTACTCCACATTACTAACAATCACGTCCCCCCTAATATCAAGGACTAGGGCAGACCATCTCACTTTTCTTAATTTTTGTATGTAAATTTTAAGTGACATCTTGCACTGTCCACTTCGCGTTATGAAATGCATTATATATACATCTAGGTTATGAAGTATGAAATAAAAATCCGCAGATGTTATGGTACTTTATCATCTCTAAGATTATCTTATCTGTGTACACATATGAACATATTAAATCATGCATTAATAACGTACCAGCAGTGCAAACACTTCTATGGTAATGAACGGTTGTTTTTAAAAGAAATTTGAATAAAAACTTAAAAAGAATGGTTACATTGCTCTTGGAAAAATTCTTGTGTATTTCTAGTGTGTTTCTGTGTGTTTTCGACGGGTGTATTTGATTGGGAATTTCCAAAATAGTGATTATATGGAGGTGATTTAATACTTCAGTCAAAGTACCATAGAGTTCGTTTGGTTGATATTACTATTTTGAATTTAATATCTATCTAATAAAAAAATATAGGAGTATATATTATTATTTTATTCTCTACTGCCACTTACAGAATTATTTTTTTTCCCTATCACGACAAAAACTATCCTAGTCTGAAAGATTAGGATAGTCGAAGTAAACAATACACCTTTACAAATAGTCATAAAAAATAAATCATAAATAATTTCAAAAAAATGGTGTGATTAGATGTCATGGTATTATAAAAAAAAAATTGAGCGGTCTTAGCTGAGTTCTTCACTTGACACCAAAACTTAAGATATAATTTCACGTTTTTAGGTTTAGATATTTATTATATATACATATCGGTCACGCCTGTCTTCCATTGGGGTAGACAGAAACAATGAAACGCCAAATGCTCTAATTCAAACAAACCTCCTTCGCTTCCTTCACATTCATCATGTTCTATTCCATACATGTTCGTTGGTTACGAATACTTTAAATTTAAATACTTATTTTTTTTTTTTATACTTTTAAAACATTGTTCAATATCATAGACCTTTTTAAGTCTACCTGCTTATTAATAAACGGTGTTAGCATTCCATTTGTATTTTCAACCCGATGATATGTATACACATTTTATATTATATGAATAGAACATCGAGTCTCAAAAACGGATCAACTTTTTGTCATCTAATTGTCGAATTAGCCGATTAGTTTTTTTTTTCAGTATTCTATATATTTACACATACAATGTATCTTGACATATCTATATTTAATTATTTATTAAATAAAGTGAGTGTTAACGCATTAAAAAGATTCAAAAATCACAAAACAAAATAAATATATAAGTGATAAAGGCATTAGTCATAACTATTTATCACGCAAAGTTGTATGAAATAGTAGTCTTGCTTTTCTCGAAGCATTTGTATGGAGACACTCTATCTATATAATCATAGATATACATATAAATAATATATATATGAAATATTACCTACATTGCAGCAACGCAACCTGAAGCAGAAGTTCGCGGCTCTGCTGAGGCGGTTCCGTGTGCCCGAGGAGTTGTCGGAGCGTGGAGCGGCGCGCGACACCCACCACGCGCAGAGGGACATCGATGAGCTGTTTCAGGTAAATCATCAGGCCTCCTGTATTCTGGTAACTCAGTATGTACTCCTCCAACCACACCTCGGACATTTTATACAAAAACAACTACAGAATCAACGTCTTCACAGGTTTTTTTTTTTTATACCTGGTATCAGGCCGTATGATGGCAAACAATCATACAGCCTGATACCAGGCCGGCAACACCGAAGGCATTACGCGCGCGTTGCCAACCTGAAGAAACCTCTTTACTCTTTTTTTAAAAAGCACATGCTGTAGTCTCTTGAGAAAATCTCGACAGGGAGCTCATTCCATGAGCGTTCGTGGGAGGAAACGTCTCTGAAACCGCGCTGTACGCGACCATCTAAGCTAAGGTATGAGGGTAGACTCCCTGTGATGGCGTGATGTAAAATGGTAGAAAGTAGCTGTGGGCATCATATTGAAAAATTCCTCTAAGCATAATCCGTTGTACAAGCGGTAGACTACGTAGAGTGAGGCAAAATCTCTCCTAAGAATTAAGGGTTGGGCCTGGTAAGCCTGGGGTTAACTAAGCGTGTCATGACTAATTTGATATAAAAAAAATAGGCATTTAGTAACAGCAGTGTCCCCCCCCGCACTAAATCTTTTAAATAACAATCCATAATTATTCGACATTCCTAAATTTTCCCCATGTTTAATATTACCCATTTCATAGGAATTTCATATCTTTTAAAACGACCTCTTTTATTTAGGAGCTGGATTCACTCTCATGCGGCGAAGGCGAGGACTCTGGTCCGGATCAGATGGACACAATCAGCATAGGGTCCACGCCGAAACCATCGCTGAGGCCGTTCTTCAGCAGCTCCAGGAGTCTGGCCAACCAGGAACATCACAGGCATTCCAATGGTATTTGTTTATATGGAAACGAAAATATTCCTAAAATGCCAGATCATATAATATAAAAAAAATATAAATGAATAAATAGAACATTTTTTTTATGGAGTAAAATCAAACAATAATCCTTCCTATTAAGCGCTATTGATTACGCTAGTAGAATTGGTACAATCCCTTTACTGGTAAGAAGGGATCTTCACTTTAGTCGAATCAAATGATAAATTTACCGAGGATTAACCATGATGGTTTACAGGGAAACCGCATGGAGGTAGTTCTGATATTGCTAGCGTTAGCAGCGAGAATCTGAACTCAGGACCTCGTTAAGCAAAGGAACATGCAAAATTTGATACTTTTTAGGTTTTAATGGCTAAAACCACATGGCATAGTTATAACAGCTAGTGGTATAGATTTTGAGATAATATATTATATTCGCTTGCTAATGTTGGCGAATGCAATCCAATATATGTATAATAAACAACTACATATATATGTAATATTATGATTTAGACAGATATTTTTTTTAAATTTCTAAATAAATCAAAGAAAAATAATTGTAAATATTAACCGAAAATATCAGAAATATTTAATCATTAGCGAGAGGTAGAATTATAATAGGAATTCATATGTATTTATAACAATTGACCATAGTTTAAATGTGTGTACATCACCATTTGTATATTACAAAATAATAATCATATTATAGTATGTAAAACTGAGTAACTATATTAATTTTTAAAGAGAAAGAAGGGTATATGATCTTTCTTTCTTTTTTTATTTTTGCTTGAGCATCATCGGTATACAAAATAACCCAAGATACACATTTCCATAAAAATGTTAGTTTATCCATCCAAAGGTTAGCTGGAAGAGATCGCTTTTAGCGATAAGATCGCCCATTGTTTTCTGATTCTGATTATTTCTTGTAATTGTTTATATCTATAATAAGTTTACTATTGTAATCTTTTGGAGAAAACAATAAAAAGTATCTATCTATTTATTTGCACATAAAAATGTGTCAAAGTTATTAAATAGATTATAATTATTTTAAATTTTTAAGTACACTTCGTCAAATTTGTCACTGGCTGGTTAGAAATGAATGCATAATATGTACAGATGCGCTCTTGGGTTCTTTTGTACATCAATGTTGAGCATCGACGCAATACACTCAGAGTACAGTGCATTTTGTGACCGCTTCGATTTTGTTTTGCATTACTGCATACATAATGAAGTGCATAACTATATGTCGAACATCATACATGACATGAATCTATATATATATATACATATATATTTTGTGATTTTTGTTCACGTAACGCTGTGTGCATAGAGTAGTGCAAGCGTACGTGTGCGGTGGAGTGTGTTTAGAGAAAACCGACTTCAATTTAACAAAATTACTAACTAAACTCTTTTTACAGTGATATATTTTAATTAAAAAATGCATCGACAAAGAGATCTTGAAGTAATCGGTCAATTTACCGAAAACAACCAGAAGTTACTTTTTGATTGGAAGAGATGTCTTATAGAGATACATCTTTGATTAAATTGTTTTCTCCTTCTATTATTACTGTATTTTATATAATAATTCTTTATTAATACAAAGAATAATATAATTATAAAAAATCCCGATTGTTAAATTTATCCAGTTTTACGCGGTTGACAGTCGCCATGTTTATTTTATTAAATAATATATAAGCATATTATCGTCCATTCTTCATTCATTGACAATCAAAAGGAATTTTTGTATGAAAGGATCATACAAAAATATATAATTAATTAATTGCAAAGTTTACATACCAGATTTTTACATTTATATGTAAATTTTTTGAAGTCGGTTAAATGCATATCTTAAGACAATAGTACCCACACACACGGGTACGTATCCACCGCACACGCACGCCCACATGAAGGTACCGCATGCGCAGTGGCCCGGCACTCAAGTCTCGCGTCCGCCGGCGAGCTGGCCTCTGTCCGCGAGCGACACGGCGCCACCGTCCCGCCCACAGGTACCGCTTGTGACGTCACGTGTCACGTCCGCGCGAACGAACGGGGTGCGTGCGCGCAACTAGCCATTGACAAGCCTATTTCAATATATGTATCGGAGTGCTTTGGTCTATACTGTACATCGATATAAATAAAATTAATCGCTAAATGTATTTCTAAGCGCAAAAATCAAGAAGGGTTGAATCAATTAGTTTTTTTTTTTTAATATACTTTGAAATCCGAGGAAGGTCGTTGTGAATACAAAAATTGCCCGGAAAGAAGTGAAAACTCAATTTTCTTTTTCCCATACAAACTGTTCATACCAATTCTAACATTTTAATCAAATATTGAAAGAAATACATCAATCTGCCATTAGTCCAATGGTTGTTGTCACAACGCCGTCTGTCGGATCTGAAAGTAAAAAAAAATTTTAAATATTTTTCGAGAAAAAATGCTGTTTAACATTCAAACTAATATTATAAATGTTAAATTAAGTCGATTATTTTTTGATATCTTAAATTGTCATGAAATTTAATATCACGTAGTATTTATGATGGAAAAGGACATAAGATACTTTTTATTCCAACCAATAAATATATCTCGGTTACAAGGTATAAAAAAAATTTCATACCAATATCAAGGACAGCCAAACATATCTTGGCTTAACTATAGATAGTAAGTTTAATTGGAGTAAACACATCGAAAAAATTTGTAACAAATTAAGACAATTTTTAGCTAATATAGTCATCCTTAGACACCGAATTCCCTTTAAGGTAAAATTGATGCTGTATAATTCATTGGTCAAATCTTATGTTCAATATGGGTTGTCAAGTTATGGCCGCACTTATAAAACATATTTAAATGATATTTTTAAACTTTAACGTAGAATTTTAAGAACTATTGTATCTCCCAAAATTAAGATGCAGTATTATGACGATGATACTGGTCTTTTTCGACATTGCAATATTTTACCTGTACATCTACAATTTAAATACACATTTCTTAAGGAAAACTTTTTTAACAAAAAATATTGGAACGAAATTAATCATGCTGTATATACGAGGGCGGTCGCACGGAAGCAACTTTGTACCAATAGCGCTCGCGTAAATAACTGTTATGGTGAGCGTACGGCTGACTACCTGGTTCCTCGATTTATTAACGAACTACCCACCGATGTACGATATAACATTACTATTAGCAACATCAAGTATAAATTAAAACGATACTTCTTGCATGATATTAACACAATTTAAATAATTTTAATGTATTTAGTATTAATATAAACCTACGTGGTTTCTGAATGCTAATGTAACATAAATTCTGTAACTTGTATTTTTATTGACAATAAATTAAAAAAAAAAAAGTTAGTCAGTTACATAGTTCACTATCTAAAAACGTGAAAGAAATAAAAAAAAAAACATAAATTTCCTAAAGGCCTACTGAAGGCCAGAATAGAACAGAAATAATTTTTGTTCAAATACACTTGTTTACAAGCTCGTTTAAATCGTTACATTATAAGATTCTACTGTTAAGTTCGAAATGGAAAATAGACCAATAATATATGGTAGGAAAGTATAGATCATTGTACTCAATACAACAGCCTTGAAAATATAAAAAAATTCAGTTTTAAATGATATGCATTATATATTTTTTGTATATTCGAGTTCATGACTATTGACCTAAGCTTATCTCCCCGTTTGTTTAGCTTTGCAAAGATTACTAGTGCTCTTATGTTGCTACTGACCAAGATCTGAGACAGAGTTGAAATGTCACTTTACGCTACTGTATTTAGAAATCATTATTAAAGTTTCTTATATATTTTATATAAGTTTTAAAAAGAATATATTTCTTGGTCAGCAGTATTTTTTGTCTAAAACTACTATCTAAGCTTTTGTCTGTCCTGTCAAGTTTTGTTTTTTCTTGTCTCATTTAGCATTGATACAATATTGAAGCTGAGAATATGTTTTGTTTTGATTAATAACTAATAAATCTTGATACTTTTGCATTGCATAATCAAATGTCAACTTGCCTTTATGAAGACGGTTTGTGTTATTAAATTTACATTTATACATTTATATATATACATATAACTTTTTTATGCAACGTAGAATGGCAAACAAACTGACGGCCCACCTGATGGAAAGTGGTAACCGTCGCCTATAAACATGAGCAGTATCATGGACATAACAGAGTATACTATTTCGCCCATGATACCCCCATGCGTTGCCATTCCTGAGACCTGAGGTGTTATTTCTCTGTGCCTTGTAGTTTCACTGTAACTTCTAAACTCAACGTGTATTTAAAAAAGGACCAGGTGACTTTTACTACCTTTTTTTACCTATTCTTCTAAGCAGAAATTGTATACCTAAAGTTTAAGGTTACTTAAATAAAACGTATTATTATTATGTATTTTATTTAATATTTTAAATAGTTATTATTTAGTTTGATAATAAAATTATATAAACATTTTCTCAGTTTCAATCCAAAGCATGAATGCACGCATGAGTCATTTTCATAGTACTACTTAAAATGTTTTTGTACTACTTTTGTACTACTTAAAATTTTCTATTCAATCTACCTCGTGTCCTCTATTTTCAGATATTTTCATTAAATGATTCCTTGGATAATTCAGGATGTCTAGAAATTCTACTTTTTTTGTTTTTGTTTATAACCGAAAAGTCTTGAAGAAATACATTTGTTCTGAATATTCTCTTTGTACTTTAAGAAGCAATATTCCATTAATGTATGCTTATATTAGGAGTACAAATAAGTTTCCGCCGTTTTTTAACACAAATTAAATATTTATTATAGAAGAACGGTAATATAGATTTATATAAAATATTGCCCATCACTTGCAACCACTTTTTCCCATCTCTCAGGCAGCATTCGAATTCCACGTCTGAAGAACTCCTTGTCTTTTGAGGCTATCCACGAATCAATCCAATTTTTGGTATCCTCATAAGATGTAAACCGCTGCGTCGTCAGAGCATGTGCCATGGACCGAAACAGGTGATAATCGGACGGTGCAATGTCTGGTGAATACGGCGGGTGGGGTAACACTTCCCAATCAAGTGTTTCCAAGTACTTTTTTACGCGAGCCGCAACATGTGGACGAGCATTGTCATGCAGAAGAATAATTTTTTCGTGTCTAGAATAGTATTGAGGGCGTTTTTCTTTCAGAGCTCGGCTCAATCTCATCAATTGTGTTCGATAGAGGGCTCCAGTAATTGTTTCGCTCGGATTAAGCAACTCATAATACACTACACCTAGCTGATCCCACCAAATACACAGCATAAGTTTTTTTCCGTGAATATTCGGTTTTGCTGTTGATGTTGACGCGTGGCCAGGTAATCCCCATGATTTTTTTCTTTTTGGATTGTCATAATGTATCCACTTCTCATCACCAGTTACGATACGATGTAAAAAACCCTTTTTTTTATGTCTAGCTAGCAGCATTTCACTTAAGCATAATCGGCGTTCAATATCTCTCGGCTTTAATTCGTACGGAACCCAATTTCCTTGTTTATGAATCATTCCTAATGATTTTAAACGATGTGAGACTGCTTGCTGAGTGACTTCTAATGTTAGAGCAAGTTCTTTTTGTGTTTGAGATGAATCCTCCTCCAATAATTCCTCCAATTCTGCATCCTCGTAAATTTTTGGCCTTCCACTGCGATCTTTGTCTTCTACGTCGAAATCACCGTTTTTAAACTTTTGAAACCACTCTCGACACGTTCTCTCACTCAAAGCACCCTCACCATATGCTTCTACGAGCAATTGATGCGCCTTAGCAGCAGATTTCTTTAAATTAAAGAAGTAAATTAATATTTCCCGCAAATGACGCTTATTTGGCTCAAATTTTGACATTTTCAAGTTATAAAAATTATATTTTACCAATATCAAATCAATAATATTAATAGGTTATGTTGGTCTTGAATGTCGAAACTATTTTTTAAGCCGGTTATCATCTGCGAAAGCTAACCGAAACTCCGTGCCGCGCCATCCACAATAAAACGGCGGAAACTTATTTGTACTCCTAATACTATACTACGTCATCCAAAGTTTTTTTACTGTCCCGATACAGCAGAACAGATGGAAATTGTTTCGATATTATTCATACTTCAGTGCCGGATTTAAACTGCGTCAAATTTTAATTAATCCATCTATATTATTGTAGCAATTAAAAATCCGGCATTGAATTGTTTTCTCCGCTTCAATGAGTCCATGCAATCTTTCCTTTCTGGGGTACTTTCACTTTCAACCTTAACAACTTGGATATTAGAGTTGTTTTTTGAATAATGTGACGGTATGGTTGTGATGGGGCAGAGTCGGAGGCGATCCGCAGCTCGGCGGGCGACGAGCGCGGCAGCGAAGGGAACAGCGACGGGGACGCGACGGCTGACGCGCCCGTCTCTGGAGCTTCGGTGTCCAGTTCGCCGCCGAACGAGACCAAGGTCTCTATGGTTAGTTGTGCTAGTTGTGGCGCCCTCTAGCGTTAAGTGTTTGTAAACCATCTTCGTTAAAAGGCAAAGGCACATTAGACGATGGATTTGCGTCTCTCCCAAGTTACGAAACGATTTTTTTTTATTACCAAAAAATAAACTTATAGAAAGAAAGAATAATCATATAAATTATTCAACGGCACTACTTAATAATAGGTGTGTACCTTGTATTGTATAGTATGTACATTTTTTTAGACCCTATTAATGAATACTAACACCAGTAAGGGTGCGTAATATATAGCAAGCAATATCTATATATTTTAGTAACAATATACATATACTGGTCCAATAACGAATATCTTAAAAATCTGTTATTTAAAAAATAATATTGGATAACAGAATATTAACATATTTGAAAACAGATGCTTGACCGATATGGGCAATATCGAAATGACCTTTTTTCTGCCATTATTGTTCAAAGAAACCCAATATGTAGGTATCGGATTGGTATCCATATTTTTTTTGAATGGGTGATAATGGGTAAATGGTACCCTGCCCGCGTATGCCGATAGCGCAGACGGGGTACCATTCCATTATCAGCTATTAAAAAAAAAATACAAATACGTTAAATAACATACTAAATAATATATATATTGTAGGAGGACAAGCGGTCGCGGCTATTCCGCAGCGCAACTAGCGGCGGCAACCTAACGCCGGCGGGCGCTGCTCGCAAGAAGAATTCACTCGTAATAGGCGGTGAGCGACCGCTGTCCGCGCACGAGCTGCCCGCGCAGAGCCCCACCACCATAGAGGTACTGCCACTACATATGAACAGTATCACTATATTAATATATATATATATATATATATATATATATATATATGTATGTATATGATTTATAAAGATTAGATTCAGGAACAGACACCAAGCACTTCACATGCTTCCATTTTGTAGCATTATTTAGCAGTATTTTCTTTTATAAAAAAAATATTTATTAATCTTAAAATATGGTATCTAATTACGTATATCTGTTTCGCTGCTTAATTGTTCTAAAATATGCAATGGATTTTGATATTATTTGAAGTCCATTATTTGCACCCGTGTGCTGTCGTGCCAATATATAAATATGAAAGTTGATTTATTTCTTTGTTTACCTTACAGCGCCTTAACTGCTTTACAAATCCCTATGAAATTTAGTATACACGAACTATATGGGATGTAGAAGGATATAGGTTACTTTTTATCCCTGTCAGTAACCATATCCCGATCATATGAGCAAAGCTTGTAAAATATATTTATTAGGTTCAATTTCTAGTATTTAATTTTTATTAAGTACATGCCTACATCGTTTTGGTCCTTCGAGCCGGATATTAACTACAACTATTGACTAGTGTTACCAAAGCTCTTTTTAACCGTTTAAGTGCTGACCCGTGCGCATTGTAACTAAAAGTGCCACGAGCGCCATAGTTCTCATGAAATCATTTGCTGTTTAGTTCGTTGTAGACAAATTATTAAAATTAGATAATTTTTGCAGAAGAAACAGTTTTTTTAGAGACAATGGTAAATGACATCAACACGACAAAGATTTTTTGGCATTTTTAAGTAGATATTAAGAAAATACAAAGATATAAATATTTCTTATTATTATAAATCAATGGCACTGAAGCGATTAAATAATCACATGTAAATTTTTTTTATGAAAATTGATAGGTAAATTCTGACATTGCCACTCTTCGGTATGAACAGTGTTGACTTGTCGTGCCCTATAGCTGCGGCGCACGACGATGGAGCAGGTGTCGCAGCTGGTGGGCGAGGAGGGCCCGGTGCCGGAGTGCGTGGGCGTGGCGCGCGCCGGGCCGCTGGCGGCGGCGCTGGCCGCGCTCGGCGTGCCCGTGCTGCCCGTGCCCGCGCCGCACACGCCCGACGTGCGCCCGCTGCTGCAGCTGCTGCTGCAGCGGCTCAACAAGCTGTGAGTCGTCACACCCGTCCTATCCGCACTCCTACTTATACAAAATTCGTTTTTACACTACCTCTCCTACTAGTGAAGTTCTACTACTAACTCACGGTATCTGTCCATGTATCTTACTTATGGTGAAACAGTTCAGCGACTCTTTCGTTGCCTGTTCATTTTAAATAATTATGTGTTAAGCAGTGACTTTTTTGACACAATAAACAGCCCAGTAGTGGAAATTTATAAAATAGTGCTCTACTGGATGTAAATTTGAACGTCTCAAAACTGACTGTTACATCTTTTTTTTATGCAACTTAGAATGGCAAACAAACTGACGGCCCACCTGATGGAAAGAGGTGACCGTCGTCTATAGACCTGAGAAGTACCATGGACATAACAGGGTATACTGTTTCGCCCATGATACCCCCCCCCCCCTCCATGCGTTACCATTCCTGAGGACTCAGGTGTTATGTACCCTGCAAATTCACTGCCATATCCCACCCTTTACACCGAAACATAGCCATGCAAACACAACTGCTTCACAGTAAAAATTTAAAATAAATACACGTAATAAATAATATGCCTGTATTTTAATGACGGCCCTGACAAAGTGCGTAACGTGTATACGTGCAAATGGACACCTACAAGTATATAGGAACAAATCTCTGTTAGTTGTATAAAGTATTTCTGCTATTTGCCATCTGAGCATACGCTTTACGTGCGGCAGGGGTTCCCGCCGTCCGATCCGCGTGGTGGTGGCGGGCGGCGCGTGCGTAGCGGCGGCGGCGCTGCGAGCGCACGTGGAGCTGGCCGCCCGTCGCCCGCACGACGCCACGCTGCTGCGCTACTATGTCCTGCCGCTTGGTACGTACATAGTATTATAGTCGACGCGTTTCTGGAAAATATTTTTACTTATTTCATTTACTAAGCTGAGAGTAGAATAAATGAAATATAAAGAATGGTGCTTATACAGAGGTTGCTTATATAGAGCATCCACTGTAGTACGGTGTTTCCCAACATGGGGCCCACGCCCCACAGGGGGGCAATTTGATAATTAAGGGGGGAGGAGCAAATAAAAAATGGGCTCGAAGCGATGTTAACCCTCTTACTCCAAATTAAACAAAAAAAAAATGCTGTAAATATTTATTAGATATAATTTAGTTTGATGTTACCAAAATATCATCTGGGCGATTAGAATCGTCAAGTAAACTTTGTCGGGAAAAATTATGTATGGAGGCATAAAAATTTTAGAAATATTCAAGTGGGGCATGGCACAAAAAAGGTTGGGAAACACTGCTGTAGTATGTTTCCACGTTAATGTCGTCTGCGCGCGCGCATCAGGTTCGAACGCGGTGTCGCGTTACCTGTGCACACTGGACGGCGGCTACGCGGCTCTGTTCGGCGGCGACGCGTGGCCCATGCTCGCCGACCGCGCCGCCGACGCGCCGCTGCACGACCTCGCCGAGATCTCGTCCAGGATTGCCAGGTCAGTCGACGCTTCGTCAATCATAATGGAATAATAACCTCGCTTTTTAAATAAATGTGATTTATGATGCTGCTTGACACAGTAAAAACACAGCATGACTCATTATCGTAATTTAATATAATTAACTCCAGGCTGAGACAGATTATTCATGTTATTCCGCAGGTACCTAAACAGTATCGGCTCCGTGAACAACGTGCCCATCGGCGAGGCGATGGTCGCTTACAGAGACAAGTCGGGTGATGAGGACTCGAGCCAGACGTTTGTGCCATTCATAGCCGTGAGTATTGCCGTTGTTCTACCGATAAATGTAAATTATGACACGCATCTATAGTTGATATCCTCGTAAAAGTGATATATTTCATTTTATATATATGAACTATTTTTAAACCTAATTAGTTATTTTATTTGGAAAACTAACAATTTCTTATTGCACTTTATATATAAATAGTATATAAATAATATAGTCCAGCGAAGTTTCCACAATGTTTCTGGGTTTCTCGGAAAAAACTACCCCGATAAGCTCAAATATTTAAACGATTTCAAAAAGGAGAATTTTCTCATTCCTTTTTGAATATATTTTTTTACCTTATAACTCTCAGTTAGTTATAAACAGATTTGAAAAGTTCTTTTTTTTTTTTATTTATCAAAATTAATTCAGTAGTTTAGTGTTAAAAATAAAATAACTGGTTTAGCCACTATGGAAGTCGGTAGCGTTAATCGTGTGCGATGCGCATGCGCAGGAGGTGCGCGTGGGCTGCAGCGAGGGCGGCGTGTCGTCGCTGGAGCTGGAGGAGGGCGGCTCGCCGCCCGCGCGCCCGTCGCCGCCCGCCACGCCCGCGCCCGCGCCCGCCTCCGCGCCCGCCCATGACTTGCAGCAGCCGCCCGCGCTCGCGCGCACTGAGCCGCTCGAGCTGCAGCTCGACTACTGGCTGGTCAGTTCACGCCCTAACACCATACTTTAATTATAAGATCATACAATGGATTTTCCGTCGCGAAAGATTGGCGACAGAACGCTGGCGCTGCATTCGAATGCCGTCGCAGATTTTCCATCTCCTGCTGAACTTACTGTATCAGCTTAAAATAGGTCCTATAGAAGTAATTGTTAATTATTGAAACCTTAAGTAGTTTATTAAACTTTCACGTTGTTTACATATATATTAAATACACAATCGGGAGGGGGAAAGGGATTGTTAGTAATGGGGTCTAATAGTCCCATTACTAGCAACTTTCATGTTGACCTCCACACTGTTCCCCCTGGAAACCATCATGTTTAATTCTTGTCGAATTTATCGTGGTGGGCCAACTGACAGGCATTCATTCTCACCTATTATCTTCCACTGGTACCTCGTCGGTGTATACCGATAGCGCGGGCGGGGTTACTAATCCATTTTTACCCATTAAAAAAAAATACACAATCGGGATTTAACGCGATGTAAAAGCTTTTACAGGTAAATAATATCTACATATCTGCTTCTTTATTGTCGACGTATACATATATACGGTATGTTGGTACTATTTACCTGTAAAAGATTTTAAATCATCATTCGTCATCATCATTTCAGCCATGATCTGTTCACTGCTGGACTAAGATTCTATCACGCAAGCCTCCCTTATAGACTGCCATAAAGAACGGTCCTGAGCCACCTGCATCCACTGACTGTCCGCAATGCATTTCAGGTCGTCACTCCATCTAGTGAAGGATCGTCCTACACTGCGTTTACCCGTACGTGTTCGCCACTCAAGAATCTTTCTTCCTTTATTTTAAAAGCACTGTTTACTTTAAATAGTGCTAGTATTTGGGTAGTTAGACCTAATAACTAACAATCCCTTCCTCTTTCGGGACCAATGTTACCCATGCCTACCTTAATGTAATAATTTGATTGATGTGCTTGGCAGGTGCCGGGTCGCGTGGCGGAGGGTGCGGAGGGCGGGAAGGTGACGGTGAAAGCATCATTCCGCGCGCTTTACGTCACGAGGCAGAACACTCACCTCTGCATTACGTACCTCACCAAGGAGAAGAAGCAGAAGAGTAAGTCGACATACATTTGTGTATTTTTTAAAGCATTTACCCTTATACTATATCCATGGGATTTTTAACCATTTGTACTGAGCACGAACCTGTGCTTGCGCTTGCGGCGTCACAAATGTAATGTGTGCTTACGAAAATTTTAACAATACAGTTACGATATTGTTGTTTTGCAACTCCCTATTCTTATTACGTTGTGACCTCATCAAAACGGCCACACAGCAGTCTATTGTGGAATGCTCTCGCTCGGCTGTGAGCAGAAGTAGATGGAGACATGTTGCGAGGACCTCAGTCGCGAAGGAGAGCCTCACCGACGATCCACTGTCATCATAAAAACCACGGCCACTCTGTCTAGAGTGTACGACTGAAGAGAGATGCTTATTAATTTTCTATTTTGTCCCTAACAGTAATGCGGCTGGGCAAGAAAAAGGAAAAAACCGGCGAAACAGAAGTTGGTCGCGCGCAGAGCGTGGACGGCGTCGCGCGGCTCATCTGCTCCGCTAAAGGCTCACACAACGTGCCGCTAAAAGGTCGGCCCACGTCGCTTACTGCCTTACTCGCTTCATACGAAATTTGAGAACATTCTAAAAATATATTGAGAAAATTTGAGAACTTTCGAGATAACCTGAAAATATTCGAGATAATTGAGAATCTTTGAGAAAAATTTAAAACATTAGACAAAATCTGTGATTATTCGAGTAAATGGAAATTTATTGAAAAGAAATACTAATCCTATTCATATAATAAATGCGAAAGTTTGTGAAAGATGAGATGGATGGATGAATGAACGTATATTTGTTATTCTTTCACGCAAAAACTACTGAACGGATTTGATTGAAATTGTAATGATTATAGCAAACACAAGTTCTTTTAATTTGGGAATAAAAATAGCACTGTGTATGTATTATTTTTTTATTAACTAATGATAACATATTTGACCCTAAATATAAATTGAAAATACATTTAAATATCCCAATTTATTTTTCCTTAACAGTGTACATCGACGGCACTGAATGGACCGGCGTCAAATTCTTCCAAGTGTCCACGCAATGGCAGACACACGTGAAAACATTTCCAGTGGCAACGACCGGCGTGCCGCTAGCACCGCCGGAGACCTAAACATCTCACCGACGCGCTTTTGGTATCATGCTTACGGCCAGGCTTATGGCCGCGCCGCCCGCCAAGCGGTCTCGGCGGCTCGCACCAACGGCCCGTTGTCATTCGCCCGTCGAATTTCCGTAGCTTTGCTACACGAAACGAGGCTCTAAATGTACTCTGTTATTGTCTAAACTCCTTCGGCGTATCAAGACAACTCTTATTCAATGTGTTTATTTGCGGATTGTAAATTTTAATATTTATTACGCTATTGAGCTGCCATGATTTTGTTAGCGCATAGACAGTATAGCGCTTTTGTTATGTATTTTGAATATATATACATATATATTTAGGTATGTTCGTTGCCGAATATTCGGCTGTAGGTGTTTTATAATAATGGCAGATTTACATCGAGTCAGTTACTGGAGTCAGTGCTGGCGCTAACAACTGACGCACTGTTTACATACAGTCAAGTAAAAGTAGTGGTTATTATCTCATGGTGTAAACATGATTAAAGTCAGTAACGAAAAATGTTTTCGGTAAGGTTGTGGTCAAAGTCAGTTCGGCGCGTGCAGTAAGAGTTTGGACTGACTTCAGGGTATTTAGTATGCTGTCGCGTCAGTACTGACGATGGGATGGGGTCGATTCTGAGGTGTTATTTCTCTAAATTTATGTCTAAAATTAATATTTCAATTTGATATTACAACGAAATATTTATGCTTAAGACTAATATGAACTAAATTTCTAATAGATTTAAATCAAAAAAATTATAAATTTAATTTATAATGTTCCATAAAACAGTAATTTCACGTAACTATCAAATTAATATTAAGAAATAAATTTACAGATGTAGTGTCTCAGAATTGAGCCCAATATTAAAAATTAAGTTAGCGCCGACTTAAAATCAATTTACACGATGATAGTACGTGGTCAGGACTGATTCAAGATTTAGTAACTGTCCTAATGTAAACCTGCCTAACAATTGCATGCTATATACGTCGTGGAACTAATATTCAAGTTACATAATAAAGGCTCAATAATCACGTTAACTATCCATCATAGTCATTCATTGTAGTTAGTTGATATTTAATGTTATATTTATATATATATATACATATATATAACGTAGGTATTCGTGTACTCAACATATTATATCGAAAAATAATGGTTCGTGACATTTCCAACGTGTATGTAAGTTAGGTTATGTGTGAGGAGTAGGCGAAACCGAATTTTGGAGCGTAATGTATGCACATATCAGTCTAGTATCGTGCCGAGCGGAGAGCGCGACTTTTTTTTATTTAAATATCTGTGATTCGTGAATGCAGTTTTTTTTTAATACGATGACAATGGATTGTCGCAGTCATTTTTTGTATTTTTTTATAAGCAAGTTAAAAGAGCATTAGCCGTTTGTGTATATTAATTTTCAACGGTTACAAGTTATATGTAAGCACATGTAGTTTGTCGCACTAAACGTTTGTTTAACTGGTAAATATTTGTTTAGTATGTTAATTAACGTAACCCATTACTTGTAATTAACTACATAGTGTCAGTATTCATTAATAGGGTTTAATTTTTTTTAATATATTTCCAAAAACTAAATAAAAAAATTATAATTTTTAAAAAGGTTGTAAGAGATTGCCCTAACAAAAATGTTTTTTACCTCTCTATGTATATTTTAATCTGTAATTTATGCTACTGTATTTCAGTTGAATTGTTTATGTTATTGTTTTTGGTGCAATAAAGAGTTAAATAAATAAATAATTCTAAAAAAAAAAATGTACTACAGTCAGTACAATGTATGTACGTATACATACTTATTATTATGTAGTATTGTTGATACAAATATAGATTGTTCTTTTTTCAAAGTATTTTTTTTTTTAGTATAAAAATGTTTACAAGAAAAAAAAAGACCTTATTAATGAATACTAACACCAGTTTCAAGGAATAAATTACGTTAATTAACATACTGTGTATGCAGTTATCAGTGGTCTTACTGCGACAAAGTACTAAAGTGTCTACGTATTATAACGTGCAGCTGTGAAACGAATAGATCCTACAGACTTCATATTTAGTGTTCGTAATCCCTTATCTTCCCATTGTACTGATTTTTATTTGCCAGTTACCTTGTCAGTTCAACGCGCAAAGCCAAGTATCCTTATTACTTTGTCTTCGTAAATAATTCCGAGCCAATTTTAGTGATTTTATTTCGGCTAGCAACAGACCTGGGCGGGTGTCGACGAGATGTAATTCAAAATACGTTTACACTATGATAAGCCTTGTTTACACTCGAGTTAATTTTTGTAACAATATGTATGGAAATATGCATGGAATGTGAAATAATGAAATCTATTCTTTGCCGCCATTGTTCTAATCCTATCTTTTTACCTAATTTTAATTTGATAGTTTCACGTAATTATTGTAGCGAACTCCTTGCTACATTTTTATATTCTTATTGTCATTCGAAATATTTTTTTTGACATATTGTATTTTTTGACATATTGTTTTTACATTCAAATATATTTTGCTAATGTCTGTCTCCTCATCTTTTCTGTAGTTTTCCATTCTAAAATCCTCTCATTGCATATTAAAAGTATTATCTCCGTTTCAATTATTGTTTTACGTACTGTCTCTATAAACTAAATTTATATACGTTCTATAAGCGTCTCAGAGAATTATACAGATATGAGAAGTATTTTTTTTTTAATATTTAAATAATTATTCAATCGAAACAGGACGGCGGCAGCAACAAATACGTCCTGCATTATCCGAGGCTGAATGCGTAATGAGTATATGCGCACCACATAAATAAAATAATAAATACTTTTAAAAATAAATGTAAAAAAGTTACAGTATGGACTATTCATTTTATATTCTAAGTGTAAAAATATAAAGATCATTTTGCTTTGCTCGTGTAAATGTATTTAGAATTTGCCTCGTTTGCCACCTGTCAAGGCGTTGGTTTTGTTTAAGTGGTGTTTAACATTGGGACGCGCGCGTCTTACTGGCCAACGACTGTCTCTTTATATCATAGGTTTAACTTCAATATTCTCAATTTTTACATGTCTATCTGTAATGTAGGTAGTTGTGTGTTATCTTCATATTACTATTGCACGATTGTGGACGTATGAGTGTGTATGGAACACGGGTCTCGAAATGCAAATTATCGGTAAAGACTTAATTTGGACTGAACAAATAAAATTTCACCTAATTTCCTGTACAGTAAGGTTCAGTTTTGAATGTCAACAATGTTGATTTTTAATATTGAGCCCTAATGACAATGAACTATACGTTCAATTTTATTTGTTAGTCCAAGAGGATGGTCGTTTGGTGAATGGTGTGTCGCACAAACGATTCTGTAACGGTTGTGGAAACGAAGTTTTTTTAAATTGTCTCGCATCAGGGTTGTGGAGTATATCCCAAATGTTGTTTTTTATGTGTGAATATGGACTGGTGACCCCGTCTGCGCTGGCGGGCTATACGTAAGTGATGATAGATGAGAATGAAATCGGGGTAGTTGATCCAACGTGATTAATTCAGAAGGTATCAACCAAAATGGTTTTCTAGGAGGGTTTGATAGGTAGAGGTCTCCTATACAGAGAGAGGGGGCCCTTCTAAATTTCTTCGTGTGTGTGTCGTACAGGTGACCCTGTCGCTGTGAGATCATGTTATCAGTGTTGTCTGCCAGGTATCTGTACATATTATCGGGCTAAAATGTCGTAAGCACTTTGAATCTTTCGAGATCCGTGTCAGGCAGTCTTTCCAAATATTTAATGTTCTATTTAACCATAGGTACTTCTGTGCCAAACCTAGCTTAGAAGTAGTGGATTTTTATCATAAATGTACAGTAAAAGGAATTAGAATAATAATGTTTTAAAAATTGTTTTTTTTTTAAATGCTTAAATGCATGTTTTATAATGAATTAATTTGAACAATTATGAATTTCGAACGCTGCCCTTCATTAATAATAATATAAACAATGGACCCTATATCTTGAAACACAAGGTCGTCTTTTAACAATCTGGGAATATACATAAAATAGTGAAGAAAATAGTAACAGAGATTTGCACAATTTTACACAGAATGTTGCCATTTTATTCTATTTGATACGAGTCTATTATCACTAGCGATAACGATTCTATCAATAGATTCGATTGCCACTTCTCTAGGAGGGCAGGGTTGTCGATCCGAGGACAAAAAGAATCGTCCTCTTCTAACCACTACATGTTAATAAGATGTCTCTTATTATCAAAATGAATTTGTACATTTTTGTGATTAGAACAAAAAATCGATAAATATATTTGGATATTTGGAAGGGATTGCGTGCGAATGTAGTCTCTCTGTGTATGTGTGTGTGCGTGTGTGTATGACTGCAACAGGTAATTGGACAATAGTTGCGTATGTGCGTGTTCGCTTTACGAGTTACTTGTAGAGTAAGTGTGACGTTAGTACGTTAGGCCGCTCGACAATCTTCGATATTACTCGATTACCTTTGATTAAACCAAACGTCCGATAGCCTCCGATTTTGTCATGTTAATAATTTATTATTAATTGCTATCATCGATCAACCCTACAACATTAACTAAATAAAACTTCAACATATAAACAATAGTCTGATTTTTTTATACAATCGAATTGGAATCAAATCGAAATGTCGTCAAGTACATTAGAAATTGCTAAACTCAAATGTGACTTAGCTATATTGGGATAAGATTTAAATTGAATGCTAATAGAACGTCCACTAAGGTTCATTATACCATATCGTTTAATTCCCATTCGATTGCTTCTAAATTCAAACTGTTGAACTCAAATGTGACGTCGCTAAATAACGCCTCATTCGTTTTTTGACCAGATTGTATTGTTGATCGAATTTTTTTTAAGTTTTTCTCATCGACTGTAATATTTGCATGTTTTTGTATGAATTGTAATGATAATTAGGTATGTGCCAAGTCTAAATTGTTTTTGGTTACCAAGAGAATTATTAAGAAAAAAAAATTGTAAAAAAAAAAATAATTCCAAAATTGAAATGTAATTAAATTATACTAGATTCTTTATGAAACATTTAAAATTTTCGGGCGCTGGAATCGAGGTTGTTGTTTTCTTTTAATACATATATGTTAATATCAACTCGAAAAAACTCTAGGAACGCTACACAATCAAATTATAAGTAAAAAAAAAATGCTTGCGAGACTAAATAACGCTATCCTTATTATAATCACATTCCATTTTATAGCAATAACTGTGTAATTACTGTTTAAACAATCTATTTGTACTGTACATAGGTATAATCAAATCGTAGTAAAGTCAAGTCTGTACGTGAAATATTTTTGAAATAGTAATCGCGTATTTAAATAGTTTTAACTAACTTGTCTAGAAATTGTATAATCTCTGCTGGATATCGATGCGGTCCGCAAGCATTTTTTTTTTAATGGGCAATAATAAAATGGTAAACCTATCTTTTCTATCGGTATATATATTGGCTGAGCACCAGTGAGGAATGATAGGTGAGGATGAAAGCAGTTTAGTTGGCTCATCTTAACGAATTTTATAAAAAATAACCACAACCTGATATTTAGCATTCCCCCTCATTAGCGATGTACCCTATATTGCTAATGATGGGGCTCTTAGACCCCATTACAACGATCTATCCCCCCCAACCGCTTCCCAATTTTTTTTTGATGGTTGAAAATGGTATGGCAACCCCGCCTGCGCTAACGGGATACGCTGGCGGAGCACCAGTATAGGGTAAAAGATAAGAATGAAAACAGGCCAGTTAGCCCATCATAATGAATTCATTAGGAATTAACCATGATAGTTTCCAGGGAGAACCGCGAGAAGGTTGACCTGGTTGGGTATATTGCTAGCAATGGGATTCTCAGTCTCCATTACTAACAACCCAATTATAGGCATGTTATGGTATTATACTTTACAAGGTGTAATCAGGGTTTGAAGTTAATATTATAGGAATGGTTAGTATGGATGGGGAAGGATTACATCAAACGAATTTGTTAAGCCAAAATTGTTATTTGTCTGTGTAGTGTTACTAGAGATTTTTAAAGTTTAATTAAAAATAATTGAATTCAATATTTAAATGAACTTATATATACTTGACAATTTAATAAAATAGCTATCAACTGATATATATTATTATATTAATTTTACGTCTGAATATATATGATATTGAAATAACCGTTACTGTTGTAAGTGAAAATTGCATGAAAAAGTAAAATAAAGAAGTAAAATTTATATATATGTATATTGGGTCAAACCTATTTGTATCGATATATGCAGTTTGTTCGATTATATAAAAATATCGATTATAAATCATTATATTTGTTTTTTTTTTTCTTTTTGTTTAATCTGAATTTATATTGTGAGTTTCAATGTAGACTGTGTAAAATACAATACTAATATAAATATATACCAATATGTGTCCATCAATACTGTATAACGCTCATCAAATACGTTTAAACAGGTAATTCGATTATAAAAAAGTGTTTTTCTTCAAAATTAATCACAAATTATATTATAGACATGTAACAAAAATTTTCAAAGATAAAACTGATAAATAACCGGAGGCACACCCTTGTTGTCTCGAGCCTGAGTTGTAAAATGATTCTGTTTTCTACGTAAACGTAAATAAAGGTGATTTTGCATTGCGTTGAATAACAGAATTCAATGTGGGACAGACATACCACATTAGTAGAAACATTAGGGTTCCGTTTACTGAATTATATCTTAAGTTTTAAATCAACTCAGCTCTTGGTTCAAAGGTGTGTCTCTAGTTATCTGTTAGAGAAACACATATATAGTTGATGGGCGTCCTATTTTATAAAACACAGAGCTGCGCCGTCTTTTTCCAAAATATACATAAAATTATGAAAAGAGGAATTTGCCTAATTGTATTGTCCTAATGTTACCATATAGGAAAAGTTCATACCCATCCCTAATTATCGATTCTTGTAGTCCTTGTTACCGGTTATCAAAAATATAAAAAAAAAAAAAAAAAAAAAAAAACATACAAAAAGTACAAAAAACTTTAAGGCACAAGATACAAAATAGCTAATATGGCATAATTATAAAATCCAGTGCCATTTTATTTCAAATCTTATTCTGTACCACATGTATTTGTGTTATTCTAATTTGTACTCTAATTCTGAACATCAAAGTAGATTTTCCTAATGACGGCGCAATCCCAATTTAATTAACATTGTACCTTTAATATCCTACTATGATACTTATGCTTATTTTAAAATATAAAGATCTAGTCTTATCTATTGTATGCAAACCAGAACTCCTTTTGGTATTAAATGCCTATAGAAAGCAGAAAAATTAATATCCACTCTTAATAGCATCTTTGCAGTTAATGTATTTTACAAAACAAGTAAACATGTTGTCTAGCCAAATATTGGACTAAGGAGCGGATGGTCAAAAGCAGCTGGCACAAGGGCGCTAAGAATGAAACGTGGACAAGATGCATTTAGTATTTCTAACAGGGCAAGATACATTTCCTTAACCTTTTGCGCAATAATTACTATTGTATAAATAAAATATCTTTTTAATTTATACAATAATAATAATAATATACTAATAAACACCTGTGTGTACTGTCCCTGTTTTCAGAACTTGCTGTACCATACTACAATGCACACAATATAAGCCGTCATTGGGGCTTGCACACACGCAGTGATTTGCTAAACATTATCTTACCAATCTTATCTCAATTATATAAGTTTTTAGATCGGCGTAATGTTTTTATCCATATAAATCAACGTTTTAGCTTTTAGTTTTACAACTGGCCGTCTGCCTGACGTCAACTCTCCTTGGAAACAGTGATTGGCGGAACATGCCGTTTAATTGATTTGTTACGTTTTTACTGAAAAGCCTACCTAACAATGTCAGCCAGTGTATATGCCTCTATAACTTGCAATTAATACAAAAAGAAGCAATCCGTTATTTATTGTCTAGAGGCCTAGCCAAATGATATGCATATTAAACATTATAATGTCATATTGTAAGAGTATTATGACTGTAATAATATTACAAATTTTAATTTGTTTTTGTATAATGCGTGAAAAAACATTTGCAGATAAAAATATTCAAGTATTGTCACAATTGATTATAATTGTTTTAATACACTTCTGCTCTCAACCTCTCTTACAAGGGGTATAGCGTGAAGGTTGGTGGCATGATATATCCCTTATATCCTTTATTCCTTTCCATATTTAACGGCTTAATATATGTAATCGACGAAATTGTACAAAACTTGAATATTTTCGTCAGAATGTTTTCCGCATTGTATGATTTGATCTCATAGATACGGATTTTGCAATTGATTATATCCTATACCAATTGTCCATTTTCCGTATGTATTGTTTACTAATGCTAATAAATTTATTATAATTAATACATATTAATCATCACAATATTATGCCCATAAATTAATGGCCAAACTTATCTTTTAATTTTAGTTTTATGGAATGTTTTATTAAGTTGAATAATTAGTACAAAAATAATAATAAATTTTATTTCTTAATGCATTAAACAATGTATTCTTTATATTAATAAAATAAATGCAAAATCATAGACTGTGCAATAATTGATTTTGATGTTTCTCAAAAACGTAATATTTTTTTTTTACAAGAAAAGAACTCGCGTCTAAAAAATATAATTTCGATATTTTTAAGTAATGAGATTTATTATTTTATCATAATTTGCAAGTATAATTTGTATTTATTGTACAAATAAAAATTTTGCATTAAAATTATCGAGTCTATTATTATTATTACTTAACTATGTACTGTGTACCAAGCTTTATTTTAATAATTTATTTTTATAAGACATGACTTTTCCATTATCTAGTAATATACTAGGTGTAATGTAATGGATACAAACATCTTTTATGGCTGTGTTTTGGTTTGACGGGTGGGATATGGCAGTGAATTTACAGGGTACAGAGGAATAATACCCGAGTTCTCAGGAACAGCAATGCATAGGGGGTGTCATGGGCGAAACGGTATACTCTGTTATGTCCATGGTACTGCTCATGTCTATAGGCGACGGTTACCACTTTCCATCAGGTGGGCCGTCAGCTTGTTCGCTATACTAAGTTGCTTTTAAAAAAATCTAAAATCCATAAATAATTTTCAATTACTAATTCGTAAAAATGTCTGAAAAGATTTGAAGGTATTTGGGTAGACTATGTCTCAAATTTATGTTCTTAAAAAAGTGTGGTTACATATTCAAGATTAAATGAACAGACATTCATTGTCTTAATATTTATATTTATACATTTATTCACATACAATTCTCAAAAAGTTAATATATCGTTGTACACTTAGAAATAATGAACACCAAATACAGTTAATTACATATACAAAGTTTAGAAACCTTCAAACATTAAAAATTGGTTCTGTAACCCATCCACGCCTCCAATACCCCCTTCTGGAAGTATATATATGAGTCCATCATCTTCTCTTGTAGGAGAGAATTCCACCAAATTTTTGTTACTTTGATCTAAATCATATAATTTCCATATAGCTAAGTGTCTAGACTTGCCCTGTTTACACAGTACATACACATTGTCACTGTCGTAAGTGTTGCCAGGGTTATTTACAATGATAACTCCGCATACCAGAGCCCAATGAGCCGTGTGACCAAGTTTTAGACATGGTGAATGGTTGAAGTCTGCATCATAACTGATCATTTTGTTAAGGATATGTGGATGTAATTTAATTAATTTATTAAAACATTTCAATTAAAATAAATTTCAAAGAGTTATTTGTTTACTGTTGGTGTCATGATGAATATAACATTTGAGGGGGAAAGAGATTGTTAGTAATGGAGACTGAGAATCCCATTGCTAGCAATATACCCAATCAGGTTGACCTCTTCGCGGTTCTCCCTGGAAACTATCATGGTTAATTTCTGATGAATTCATCATGATGGGCTAACTGGCCTTTCATCCATAAAAAAATATATAACATTTGACATACCCACATGTTCCTTGGTAAAGGGTAACCACCCCTATCTGTACCCCTAACAGTATATTGATTTCGCCTGAGTTACTGCCACTATCTAATCCATTTTTATTAATGAAGCAGCAATACATATTGTATATTGTCAGCTTTCATTACAGTGCATATGGGGGTTGTATGACGTGACTAAGGAAATTTAATGGTCAAGGGGTGGGCAGCAGCATCCCTCTTAAACCACCACCAAAGCCTAACTACAGTCGTTAAACCCCCTATTGGAGGTGGCCTATGTACAGGAGTAGATAACTTTTTTTATGAGTGAAGATGGAATGATAACTCTGTCTGCGCTATCAGTATACGCTGACGCTATGATAGCAGGTTAGTTGGCCCATAGTGACTAATTGAACAAGAATTATTCATTATGGGTTCCAGAAGGAACCACGGAGAGGTTGACCTGATAGAGTGTATTGCTAGCAATGAGATTGTTAAAACTCATTACTAACAATCCCTTTCCCCCCGCAGTAGACAGTTAACAGCTGACATGATGATGATGATGACATGATGATGATGATGGCATGATAATGATGATGATGGCATGATAAAGATGATGATAGCATGATGATGGCTACACTATAGAGTGTCATGAGAGAGTGTAAGGGTGGGCGGTTTAAGGAGTGTCAATTCTACTTCTCATCACAGTGCTGATGATATAGTTTGAAGGGTAAAGCAAGAGAAATTTAAGATATATCTAAAGGCATCAATTGACAGTTCCATCAGGCCAGCTCAATGGTGACTTATACTAGTAAAATGTCCTAATAGATTGAGGAAATGTGCATGTGAAATATGAAAATTTCCCCCTTTTCCTTGGAAAATAATCTTAAATATATTAGTATAAATTGAGGTAACTTCTAATACAGCAGAATAAAATACATAAAAGGATACGGTACTAATAGAACTGCACCATTTAACAGTTTTTCAATTGTTATTTCACTAAATAATCCTCCACACTGCAGATTAAATTTATTATTTATTTCAGCTAAATTAAATACTTTCTCTGCCAGTCGTAGCATGTTTTTGCAACTAAACATCTCGCCATTGCTACTGTAACCCTCCAATTTTGCTATATTTAACATTTCTTCAGGAGTTACTTCATCATTTATTAACATCGAGAGTGCCACCAGCCCACATGTAGGTCCTACTTGTAGTCTAGATTCGAAATACGTGTATTTGTAGTTGTAAGGTGCCTGATACAAACAAATTTGGTATTTTGCACAGGCTTCCCATAATTCTGGATGATCTGAAGCCCATTTACACACATCTGAATATTTCGATGTCGAAGTATTGTATTGGAGAGCTTTCAATGATTTTAAGGGAGAATTTATTTCTGGTAGGACAGGGGGCAGTGGTGGCGGCGGTGGCGGTGGTGGTGCAGGTGGAATAGTACACATTCTTATTCAGAAATTTCTATTTTTCTATACTAATTCCCTATAATGTTAGGTTACGGTATCATAACTTTATCATATTACGTTTGTATATTGTACCTACATTGTTATTACTAATGGAGCATTTACTTAATATTGAACACTTTGTTTTGTTTATTACTTTATTATATTCTTTATCAAATTGCACAAAAATTTACTAGTATAATTTAAAAAAAAAATGTTTTCATTTATGATAATAATAGATTTAGATAGAAGTGTAAAATGTCTAGTTGACATAACATTATAGATTTTTTGATAATGTCAATCATGTAGACAGTAGCGATAAGCGATTTTACTAATCTGACCACAGATTAGAGAAATTGTATCTGACTTGGAATTGTCGATTGAGAATGTCATTCAAATTTGTCTGTTAATTTTATTCGATTACAAATTTCATTCAATGTACGTTTCTCCTAATTATTAAAATAATTCATTAGTAGTTGTTCATGAACGGTCAACAATAACTCAATCAAATTAACGTAGCCAAATTAGACCGATTGGGTCCTTTTTTGTGTAATCATCAAGTGTTTTGTTGATTTAGTATACTTATAGCAATTTTTAATACTTATCAAAGTAAATTATGTTATATGATGTATATTTTAAATGAAAGGCGTCGATAGCTGGTTTTTATTTCAATTTTTGTCGTCAATCGTTATCCATTATGACCTATTGGCAAGGTAATGCATACAGGGAAAAGGCTTTGTTTTCATAATTATTGATTTACATTGAATTACTAATTAGTAAAATCGTTCGAATACAAAATTAGTATATTACTATTTACAAATATAATTATGCGGAAAATTTGTGTATTACGATAGATGGTGCAACCACCATCATAACCCAAAGTGACATGATTAACGCAGTAGAGCACTTTTAATTTGCAACATTGTCACATTTCGTCAAGCTAACGTTATAAGCGCTTGAGTATGTACGTAGACGTGTGGGTGACATTTTACGTGGGCGTACATTTTCATCATTACATGAGTACTAGCGATTCGTGAATGATTTTATTATTTAAGTAGCTAATAATTACTAATTTTATAATAAAACTACAAAATTAGTAATACAAAAATTTCCGTATTTAAATGATTTTACTAATTAAATACAATAAAGTCCTTTTCCTGTATCTGCTACTACCAAGTCCATTCCCTGTATCCACTATGTCACTATGTCGGTGACAATGAGCAACGACCAACAAAAAACCTGTAGGCATATACATAGACAGTCGGATGACATTAGTAGTCAAAAATAATTTGAAAATTTGAATGAATTTCTCAGTCGAATAATTAGTAGTTGTATTAGTAAAATTGCGCACCCCTTCTTCACTATAAGTCTCGTAAGAGACGATTAAGAGAATAATTGTAGAGGGATGGGCCACAGCGTCCTTCTTAAAACATCATCAAAAGTCTAACTGCGGTTACCATTCCTCCTGCCAAGTGTAGCAGTTACTGGCAAAACCTTAGGAGGAGGCCTATGTTTAGCAGTCGATAATTCACGACTAATATTAATACAAAAAAATATAGACCGACCATGGTTACAACCAAAGCCAGCGAAAAAATAATTATTTTTTTTCATTATCGAAATACGATAACAAAATAAGTAATTCAAAACGATTAAAGTCGCTTATGTGTTCAATTATTGGTTCTACAACTCGGGTTTCTTGTCACTTTACTATAAAAAGAGGGCGTGGTCGAATCTATCACAACTCATTCATCTATTCGTGGTATTCCATTCATATTTTTTTTCATTCGTTCACTTAACAACAGATGGTCGATCGCTTTTAGGTACATGTCTGCGGAGATAATTCAGCTTTAATTAGACCAAAGAAAGTGCTTTCTTATTATTGCGGAACCGGTTTAACAAGTAATTTATCATGTCGGAGCCGCGGAAAAATCATCTCTCCATAGATGGAGGGCAAGTGAAAGAAGACGAAAACGTCGCCACTTACAAGCCCATACCAGAGTCTGATACGGGTGAGTTAATTTATATTTATTATCATAATTATTATTTGAATAATGTAATTTTTCTCATATTAATCGTTTTATTATTTTACTATTTAATCTTTTACCAGTATTTTTTATTAAGCGCTCTTTTTTCGATTTTACAGAAGATTTATTATCTTAACATTAATATAATACAACTCATTAACGTTAATAATTCTTATCTTTTCATCAATCAATCAATGATAATAATATGATTTTATTACCATTTCCGCCCAAAACGCGGAATTTAGAAACAGCGATGAAATGTCAAAAAGCTATCTTATAACCTTACCAATTTCAAACTACCATCATATATGACATTACTGTAATCTTATTATATTCTATGATACTATATTAATATATTTTTTTATTGAAGAATTTATTTTAAATTTAATCAGTAATGATTTATGTAGCAGTAGTGCTTGTTTATTTATTATTACGCATTATATATGAAAAAATGAAATACTGTCTCTTGAGTTAGACATGTCACGTTGTCTTTTTAATTTGGCCGGTTTATAAAGCGCTTTTGTGTCTCAAATTCAGCGGCGCCATTTTGTCGATGCTTTGCTGAATGATGCAAGACAACATTGTTTTTACTTATTTTTAATTAACTGCAATTTGTTTACCGCCATATAACAAGAGGATACAACCAAAGTTATAAAAGATTGGAATTGAAGGATTAAAGGAAAAAAAAAAATACAGCAATATGAGTGGTAAATATTAAATTCTAATATTTTTATGAATATTTATTTTAACTAGGATTTGTTTTATATACATTTAAGTTTAAGAATTTTTAAAATAATTTTCAATGAGGAACTTACATAAGATAAACAAATTATATCTTCTAAGGTTGAACTCCTATGTGCCCTTTTATAATTTACTACTTATATCCCATTATTTTATGTGTGATCTATTTATGTAAAAAAATATATGAAAATCTGTTCAGCCGTTTAAACATTGTTAAGTAACAAATGTGCAAACTTTCACATTTATATTAGTAGAATGGAATCAAATCATGACACTACTGAATGTGTTTATTAAATAAATTTCAAATTAAAAGTGTTCTCATACAACTGTATAAGTTGCCATCTCAAATTTATTACGAGAATAAAATCTTATATCTTACTGTGCTATGGTAAATTATAGGAGCGTCCAATATGTTGGTCCCATCATCATGCCACTTATTCAATCATTATTCAATCAAATCTCATTGTGTCCTTGTTAGCTATCAGTAATTCTGTTTGTATGCGTATGATGAGAGAATAGATTGATTCATGTAAATTCTAAAGAGAATTATTATCCAAGAACCTATTTTCAGCACATGAGATTGAATATATCGAGGCTGAAGAAGAATATTTGCAGTTGAATCAATCAGATATTATGGAAACCGAGATACAAGATGAAGCTGAAGACCACTGGGAACATAACAGTATCAAGCTTATGCTAAATTTGTATTTACAGAATATTGATAAATTTAGAAATCCAAAAATGAGGAAAAAGAATGTATGGACGGAAATATCAAACGAAGTTGGTAAAGGGCCCGAGAGTTGTGATAAGAAATTCAGAAATTTGAAACAAACATACATAAGATTGCTTAAGAAGAAGAGTAAGAATAAGTTAGCCAAAGTTAGGTGGCCATATTTTGCGACATTTGAGGAGATATACAGTGTCAATGGTGAATATCAGCCGGAGATACAGCAGAAAATACAAGAGAACAGCACAGAGAATGTAGCTAAAGTATTACTGTCTATAAAAACACCTAAATTTGATGGGGAAATCAATGAGAATGGTGAGGGTTCAAATAGTCAAAATGAAGAGGTTAGAAGAAAAATGAATAAAAGAAGGTATACAGAATTTAAGAAGGCTACATTAGAAATGAGAGACAGACAGAGAGTTGTAGAAAGTAAATTAGATAAACTAATCAGTATAGTTGAAGACTCAAATAACATTCAGAGAGAACGGAATAGATTATTTGAAGAATTTTTAGAAAAATTAAATAATACTTAACAAATTGTTCCAAATTGAAATATTATTGTAATATAATTAAATATAAATATTATTTTTATATGATTGATTGGAAGCTTTAAATGAGGAGACTTTGTTTTCTGCATTACGAATACACAACATGCAAAAAAATTATGAGTGTAATATTTTATTTTCATTTAACCTTTCAATGCAATTTGGTTTAGATTTGCATGGGTGTACTATTTCTGAAATATTTAATTTTATACAAATCTTGTTCTGGTAATTATAAACAACAATAAAGAGAGGGGGAATGGGATTGTAACGGAAATTTAACAGCCTCATTAACATATAATCTATCAGGTGGCCTTCATGCAATTCTCCCTTAAAACTATGAAAATGAAATAAAAAACGAGAACTAACTATGATTGGTTCTTGTGAAATATAATACGATGAGTTAACTGACCTGCTTTCATCCTCGCCTATTATTCCTCACTGGTGTCCCATCATACGCTGATGGGATACGCCGATAGTGTTTTTTTATCCATAAAAAAAAGCAAATAGCTAGTGCATTCATTCTGAAGTGATGTGCTTACCTATAGCAATCGATTTTTATTGGGAGGAAGGTTTGTCAGTAATGGGGTAGTTGGTTTCCATTACTAGCATCATATCTTATCAGGTCGATCTCCGCGTGGTCCTCCCAGGAAATCAGTGTGACCAATTCGTGAATTCATCACATTAGGCGAACTGACCTGTTTTTATCCTCACACACTACGCCTATCATCTCCCACAGATGTGTTGCCAGCGTATACCGACAGAGCAGGCGGGGTACTATTCCATTATGATTTATATAAAAAAAAAAATTATACATATATAGATTAATTAGGCTTAAGGAAATATATTTTTTTGGTGGTTTTGTTGAAAGTTGTGTGACCTGAATGTTTGGTTGATCACTTTCAAACGTTTTATTAAATTTTGATAAGTACTAGACATTTTTTTTATACTACTATAGTGGCAAATAAGCATACGGCCCGTCTGATGGCAAACGAGGTTACCGTAGCCTATGGGACTCCTGTAATACCAGGGTTGTCACGCGCGCATTGCTGAGCGAACATACTATTTTACATAGCGTGTATAAAGACATATAGAGCGCTTATATTTAAAAAAAATCTCGCGGAAAGGTAACACAAAACCCCATGGGGTGAGTTGTATTTACAGTTTTATAAATGCTATAGCTGGATATCGGATTGTCTTACATTCTGCATATATTGCACGTAAAAAGTATTGCAATCTTTATTTATACGACCCATGCAATAATTAAGATCGGGTTCCACAAGAAGAAACCGACGTCAATTGTGGCAAAACCAGTTAGTTATTTTGATTTAAATACAAAAATACTGTATCAATTTTGATAAAATGTGTACGGGGTCAATCTGTAAATACATCCTTTTAGATAAAAAAGAATTTTCCAAATCGGTTTACAAGTGACGGAGTTATTAGGTAATAAACATAAAAAAATACAATCGAACTGGTGACCTTCTTCGTTTTAAAGTTTGTTTAAAATAGCGATATAGATGTGACTCCTTCATTACAGTTTAATTGAGTTGATTGTATGAAATGGTTTTAAAAGCCGTAGTAAAACAGTAAAAAAGTGCTTCTTTCCGCCTTAACATCCTATCAAGATCGACATAGTTTACTAACCGATTAAGAAATGGTACGATAAAAGATTCGACTTAAAACCCAACTTTGCCTTTTTGGCACGATACGCATCGAATTTACATTCGACACATCTTTTTTTCAACCGACTTCAAAAAGAAGGGGTTTCGATTCGGTTGTACTTTTTTTTGTTTGTTACGTTAGAATCTCTAAAGCTAACGAAGTTAAGCTTTAGAGATTTTTTAAGAGGGACACTGCTGCCCATTCTTCGCCCTCCCATAGTCGCCTCTTACACCCACGAGAAAGGAAGAGGTGGCCTATTCAATGCTAGAACCACAAGGCTATATATATATATATATATATATATATATATATATATATAAATAATGAGCACAATGATGACAATCTTGTACATGCATACATATCTGTTACTCCTGTCTCCCATAAGGATAGGCAGAAACAATGAAATGCTAAATGCTTCGATTCAAACAAACCTCTTTCGCTTCTTCCACATTCATCAATTTTTTCATACACGCTCGTCGGTTACGGGTACTTTTAATTTGTCCCTTCTTCAGCACATCGCCTATTTGGTCGACATACGTCCGTCTAGGGCGGCCCCTACCGACATCTCCATCCATTCTTGCTCGATAAATCTCTTTCGCAATTCTTCTTTCGTCCATCCTCTCCAAATGGCCAAACCAACGCAACATTCCTTTTTCGATTTTTGTCACTACATCGTCTTTCAGTGCACACTTCTCTCTAATCACACTGTTTCTTACTCCATCTTTTAATGTAATACCACACATAATTCTCAAAGCTCTCATCTCTACAGCATTTATTTACTTTCATGCTTCTTCTACTATTATTATTTATTACAATCTTTTAATAGATAATAATAGCAGTAATCAATCGACTTTGGAAAGATAATATGAATTCAATCTTCTCTTGAAGGAAGCGATAGATGTACAATTTCATATTTAAAATACTTTAATCATTTGCACGCTGTTTTATTTTCTAACCCGTTTTCTTAGAACTGCTGTACGCGGCACATCCATACAGTCGAGATGAATGATAATTGCGCCCCGCTGGCTTTCTCGAATCGCCAATTTATGTTGCCATCGCCGAGGAAATGAGTTTTACTTATTTTGTATAGATTGACTGTAATCTTTGGAATTTAACGGACAAATCTTATTAATGTCAAAACAATAGTATTACCAATAAATAATGACAGTTGGTCGTCTGTTCTCGGCATAGAATAGGCCACCCCTTCCTTTCCCATGGGTGTTGTAAGGGGCGACTAAGGGAATTTAATGGTCAAACAGCGTCCCTCTTAAAACTTTGCCAAATCCTGACTATTGTTGGCAATCCATCTGCCAATCGTGGCAATTACTGGCAAAACTGCCCTAGGAAGAGACCTATGTTCAGCAATGGGCAGTTAACGGCTGTATCATTAATAACAGTTTTGGTTGTCTATCTTCATGACAAGTACTTTACGAGGTAGGTACAGAGAACCGAGTGTCAAAGGCCTATTCTGTCCTTACATATGCCTTTTGCTTATTTTTTAACCCTTTTTTGCATAATGGTGGAAATTTCCATCATAACATTGAACGCTCAAAAATTATATAAAAGAACGTGTTCACTTTAAGTTGATCGTGTCTGGATACCTTTTTAATGTCCATCGAAGAAAAAAAAACCATAGCTGTCAAATTTATTTTTTAACTATTTTTCCTTTAATTTTGAACATGAATTATATCACCTTGATTTATTACATCAGTAAAAAAATCATGCAAAGAAGGGTTAATTCGTCTCATGCATTGTATGGTTTGCTAACCGTACAACGGATTTGATAATGATAAAATTATAAAATGATAGTTTAACGATTGATAAAACAGTTTGCTATTTTAATACTAATTATTGATATACGCGCTTCACAAAATTTTTTACAAAACTTTCGAATATGTATAAAGTCACATCAAGAGATCCCAAAATGTTGAAACTGCCCATCTGCAGAACCACACTGTATCAACAAAACTATGATATAATGACTATTAAAATATATTATAAAATACCAAAATTAACAAGAGAACTACCAGTATGTTCACGCTCACTTTTTATCTTTGTCCGAGCAGTAAGCGCTTTATATTATTCCCAAATTCGTGTACAATATAGTATATATGTGTGTAAGTATATTTGTTATTCATATATATTTATTCGTTTATATATGTAATTTTAGTATGTATGTATATCAATAATTAGTAGTACCGCATTCAAGTATTCTGACACTTCCCTATGGTTGACTGGGAGAGAATGGACTCGACTCGTAGACGTGCTCGCGTAAACACGTAAACGCAGACGCTCTCTTCAAATTTATTTTTATATTCGTATTCTTAAATATTTTTAATATAAAATTTGTACCAAATTAAAAAACAGAGTGAATAGAATTAAGAACTTATACACAAATGTTTGTTTAGTTTCCTATAATTGCCAGATTAATCAAAATAAGTGCTTATAGAACTGTTCACAAGCATCAAGCCATTTCAGCAACATTGGTGAGTCATTACTGCCGCTGCGCTCACTAAGTGCGTTTATGACCATATATGGTAATAAAGAGTTTTTTCCGATTTCTCTTTGTGAGTCATCAATACTGAAATAGAATACTCATACAATAAACTAGACAAAAGGCGTTCATTTTTATATTAGTCACCTCAAGTATCTACCTTTTGTCGGGTATAAGAAGTGGCAATGGTAATAAAGAGTGTACGGTATATAGAAAAATTAGGCACTCTAAGTAATTTATAACGTGGTTGAGTGACTGTTACACTAAAATAAAAATAAGAACAACTATTATAACTAGACAGTGCGAATAAGAAACTTATCCTTTTCTTTTATAATGGCTACCAAAGCATCTACAAAAAATGCCCTCAATCGTCGTAAGATGGCTCCATTGGTCACATGCCAAAAATGCAAAGATAAAGTTGATATTAAGAACACAATAGAATGTTTGGTTTGTAAGAAGTATTATGAGTTTGATTGCATTGGTTATTCGGAAAAATTACACCGTTTAAAAAACCTGGAGACAAAAAAGTCTTGGAAATGTAAAGAATGTGATGAACAAAAATTAAAAGAGCAAAACACCACAGATTCGACTACGCCAAGGTATGAACCACCTCATTTCACGAGAAGGAGGAAAAAGTGTCCATCGCCAAAACAGAATATAATACCCTCGTTGAATGTCTCACCAAACAAGACACCACAGTCTACGCCAATAAGCACTACTTCTCGTGTAAACGATTCTCATATACTTACCGAATTTGATACGTCTGATGAATCCATAGATACACCAAATAGACTACTGTCAAAAAGTATGGATTATTCAACAACAGACTCAATTACGGTCCAGGAAATGAAAGAAACTATAAAGCATCTCCGATCGGAACTTGTAATATCACAAAATGAATTGGATAATGTAATAATACAAAACAACGACCTCCAAAGACAAATAAATAAATTAACGAAAGAAAATAACACACTTATAAATCTTTGCCATTCTCCAATAAGTGACAGACAACTAAACCACAGCGACAAGAAGAAAAATAAATCCTTTACACAGGTTCTAGAAAGGCAACCTGTCTTTACTTCACCTAAAATATCTCCAACACATAGAACAAATACACAGAAAACTAACACTAACATCGATTATAATATCATAACACTTCAACAGAGGATCGAAGAACTCGAAGTTAACTTAAAAATGGCAGAAGAGGAAATATCAAGTCTTAATAAACACATCAATAACTTGATAAAAACAAAGTCAAATATATCTTCCGAAACTCAACTTCCTACTCCGAAAAATAAAGGTATTCCAGTACAGAAACAAGACATTAAACAAAATATATATATTTTCGGAACTCAGCAATGTGTTGGCCTATCCTCTGCTTTAATACGATCAAGATTGAATACCACATACAATAAATATCTAATCTCATCTATAACAAAACCGTACGCATTGACTACAGAATTTATAAAAAATTGTCAAAGCTCCACCTTGCTAACAAAAAAAGACAAAGTGGTGGTATGCGTTGGGGAAAATGACTACGACATAAACATACTAGAATCACAGTTACGAGAATTATTAAGTACATTTAATGATAATGATGTAATTGTTTTAAATGTATTAAAGAGTAGGTATATTAATATATATGATTTGAATAACTCAATAAGAGGCATTTGTAATGAATATAAAAACTGTCATTTTATAGAATGTAAATATTATCATAACTCATATAACATATGTAAATTAATTAATTATATAATTGACTATATTGATTATGAAAACAAATACTTAAATGCCAAGGAATTAATTAAGCTGGTAGTGCGTGGTAAATCGGCGTCCATAAAACTCCGTCAATCTTCTCCTATCTCTACAGTATACTCTAAAGGAACGATTCCATATTATTTTATACCATTAAAATCGGGAGTCGCTAATAGATCTGATGCAAATAGTACTAAATTCATAAAACAATCTATGATTACACATTACTTTACTAAAATAGATAAAAAAAGCTTTTTCGTGAATAAGTCATACAAATCATTTCTATCTTATAAGATCTTACATCAGAACATAGCTGGCTTATTGTCCAAACATACACTATTAGAAATAACGTTGCAAGAATTACAGCAAGAAGGCAACCTTCCCGATATAGTATGCCTCTCTGAAACATTTTTGAATACAGAAATAAAAAAATATGTTAATATTTATAACTATGAGTTAGCCACTGCATTTTGTAGAGACAAACGAAGAGGTGGAACATGTATTTTAGTGAAAAATGATACAATTTACAAGGAACTACCTAAATTGAAAAAATATGCAATGCAAAAAACTTTTGAAGTTTGTGGTATTGAAATTCCGTTACACAAACTAATAATAATATGTCTTTATAGAACTCCGACATCAGATCCTAATATATTTTTAAAAAAATTAGATGAATTTTTAAATGATATATTGAATCAATTTAAGCGAGATACGAAAATTGTTTTAGCAGGTGATTTTAACATTAACACACTGAAGCAAGGAAAAATCACAACATGCTTACATGACTTGTGTCATAACTATAACCTGAAAATCCACATCAAGGTCCCAACACGGAGAGAATCATGTATACGAGGTCTGTCCGGAAAGTTCGTATAAAAGTGTTCTGGAATGCGAGAAAGAGGAGTGGGGAGGCCATACCCCTTCCTTATGTCCCTAACAATGCTTCAGTTCTGGTCTGACCGCCGTGCGGTGCGAACTGGCTTGTCACGCCATCTGTGAAGTTACCTCTTAACGAAACCCCGTCGGCATGGAGCCCGCTTCCGTTGAAGAGCAGCGCGTCGTAATCAAGTTTCTCTCGAAACTCGGCAAGAATGGCCGTGAAATTTTTGCCGATCTAATTCGATAAGACATCCGGGGAACCACGAACAAAAAAATCAAGAAAATCCCGCTCAAATGTCAAGACAATGTTGATTGTTTTTTTCGATGTTCGGGGGATTGTCCATCAAGAATTCGTCCCTCCAGGCCAGACAGTTGATGGAAAATTCTACGTCGATGTGCTCAGACGCCTCAAAGCTCGTGTGGCACGAGTTCGTCCAGAATTGGCGCGAGAGGGGCGTTGGATTCTTCACCACGACAATGCCCCTGCCCACACCTCTCTTGTTGTCCGTGAGTTTTTGAGTAAAAATTCCATTACGGTGACCGAACACCCCCCTATTCGCCGGATTTGGCCCCGTGTGACTTCTTCTTGTTCCCAAAAACCAAATTGGTACTTCGGGGGCGGCATTTGGGGGACATAAATGAGATAAAAAAAGCTACGACGGGGCAGCTGAGAAACCTACAACCAGAGGACTTTCAAGGAGCCTTCTCACAGTGGAAACGGCGTTGGCACAAGTGCATTATGTCACAGGGGGAGTACTTTGAAGGGGATAAAATTGATTTACCTGAATAATTGTAAAATAAAATTTTTAAAAAACTTTTATACGTACTTTCCGGACAAACCTCGTAGATCATATTTTGAGCAATATCGAAAATGCCCAAGCAACAGTGTTACCTCTACATTTGTCCGATCATGACACAGCACAATTACTAACTTTACCTGTACATGAAAACGACATTAATCTATATTCACACTATATTTATAGAAAGGATTATTGTCATGATAATATATTAAAATTCAAAGAATGTTTAAATAGTACAAAGTGGTCAGAAATATATATGGAAACAGATCTAAACAAAGCATTTGATAATTTTCATGAACTACTGTGTTTGTTCTACAATTTATGCTTTCCTATGAAAAAAATTAAAGTAATGAATAGCAACAAAAGTAAGCAAAATTGGATAAGCAAAGGTCTTAAATGTAGCTGTAAACATAAGAGATCATTGCGATTTAAATATTATAAAAATAAAACACTATTAAATAAAAAAAAGTACACAACATATTCTAATATATTAAAAAAATGCATTGACCACTCAAAGAAAAATACAAACATGAAATATATTAACAACAGCAAGAACAAGTGTAGAGCAACATGGTCGGTAATTAAAAATGAAACTGGTAACACTAAAAGACCCTATAATAACATTACAAAACTCAATATAAATAATAAAATGATATCAAATCCTCTTGACGTAGCGACTGCTTTTAATGATTACTTCATTGAGCTAACAAATACATCCAATGGGTCATCAAATAGCGCTCAACAAACAACAAATATTTGTAATACAATATTCCTTAAACCAGTGACTGAAGAAGAAGTGAAAAAGGAAATCATAGACTTAAATAACACCTCCGCTGAAGGTTACGATGGCATAAGTACAAAAATAATTAAAATGTGTATACCTGAACTAGTTCCCATCCTGACGCACCTAATTAACCTTTCATTTTCTACTGGAACCTTTCCTAAATTGTTAAAGCTATCCATAGTTAAGCCATTACATAAAGGTGGTAAAAGGGAAGACCTTAACAACTATCGACCAATTACCCTTATACCTATCATATCAAAGATTTTTGAGAAATGTATGTATAAAAGATTGGTAGACTTTTGTAACAAATATAATATAATTAACGAGAATCAATTCGGGTTTCAAAAACAAAAATCGACGACACTTGCTGCTTTTAATCTATTAAATACAGTTTTGATAAATATTAATGACAATAATTTGACTACAGGATTATTTCTTGACTTATCAAAAGCGTTTGACTTTGTTGACCATAATCATTTATTGCAAAAACTAGATGTACTAGGAATAAGAGGAACTGCGCTAAACTGGATAACCTCATATCTAACCCACCGAAGTCAATGTGTACTCTTGGAAGAAATTAGTAAAAATGACTTAAAGTCTTACACATCAAATTACAGAGAGAACAAATGTGGAGTCCCTCAAGGAAGTGTATTAGGACCAATTTTGTTTTTGTTATATATAAATGACTTGATTAAAGTGACAAAACATAAATGTATATTATTCGCAGATGATATCACCATAATTGTGACATCTAATAAAAAATCTGACAATTCAATCCATAATCATGAAACAGATATAAATAATACAATTGACAGCATTATAAAATGGTTAGAGTGTAATAATTTAAAAATAAATCTTAATAAATCGAATTATATTCAATTCAATAAATCAAAAAATACAAAACACAACTTCAAACTAAACATAACTAAAATTAAAGAGGCAACACAAATTAAATTCTTAGGCATAATTATTGACCAAGACTTAAACTGGAAATTACATATAGACAACATATGCACTCGAATAAATAAATTTGTATATGCACTTAAAAAGTTAAGAAAAGTGACGAATACCAAAACTACTATCACTACGTATCGCGCATATATAGAATCAATTCTACGCTATGGACTGATAATGTGGGGTAATAGTGTAGAGATAAAAAGAGCATTTATTGCCCAAAAAAAGTGCATTAGGGCTATATGTGGCTTTCCGCCTGGTGTATCATGCAAACCATTATTTAAGAGCCTTGGTTTACTACCACTACCATCAATGTATATCTATGAAATTTGTAATTTTGTAATTAAACATAGAACATTGTTTAAAAAAGCAAGTGATATGAACTATAGATTAAAAAGAGATCCGGACAGACTTGTACTTACCGAAATACCAAGATCAGACAAATATAAAAGAAACTGCCTTACTATGTGCGTTCATATATATAATAAAATTCCAAATGAATTTAAAGATTTGAATGTCACTTTATTTGGGAAAAGATTATATAACTGGTTAAAGGAACAGAATTATTATGACGTAAAAGATTTCCTTGGTAGACGTTTTTGACATTTAGTATTAACAAAAATTTTGTATATCTAACAATGATTGATAGTAGGAAACTTAATTTGCATGCTATATGATTTTAGCAAGACATGTGCACTCTCAAATATAATTATAACATCACTGTATACCATGTTTAAAGCAAATAAATATTATTATTATTATTATTAATGCTTTTAGCATTAAGTCCGCCATGTACACATATTTGTACTAATGAATAAATAAATAAATAAGTCACTTTAAATTACGGTTAAAACCACGTGGAGGTCGACCTGACTATATTGCTAGCAATCGGACTGGTAGTAGTCCCCATTACTAACGATCTCATTCATTCTCGATTCATTTATTTATTATGATATAACAATGTACAGCATATAACGCTAACAAAGAATGATCCAAATAGAACGAAATCGGAAATACTTAAATGACTTGAACATTATCTAGTTAATTAGTATAATGTTGTCCTTTCATTTAAAAAGCAGCGATTATGGTTATCGAAACAAACACAATTCTTAGAATAACTTTAAATAGGGTAATGGCTATTAGGTTGGCCAATACTCAAGCGAGGTCCAGCGGAAATTTGTTAATTCTTTTATTAAACGATGTACGCTGGTGGGGCACCAGTGAGGGATGATAGGCGAGAATAAATTCAACACGATAGTTTCTAGCGGGGACCAAGTGGAGGTCGGCCTGACAGGGGTATATTGCTAACAATGGGTCTGGTAGTCTGCATTTACTAACAATCCCTTTTCCCCCCAAAAAGGCAGCTTAGTTAGCCGACCGTGATGAATAAACTTGGAATTCAGCACGATTGTTTTCAGGGGGGACCACGTGGAGGTCGATCTGACAGGGTATATTGCTAGCAAGGCGACTGGTAGTCCGCATTACTGACGACCCCCATCTCACCTCTAGGAGTCAAGAGTCTATGCATTTTACCTCCCTTCATTTATAAAAACTTAAATTTTCTATAAACCTATTTTAGCTATTAAGTAATTTGTCACTTTTTTTTAAATTGAGAATTTAGTATAAAAGAAAAAGACAAAACACTTGGCAATAAATGTTTTCTATATTCTGTTCTAAAAACACAAACCTATGAGACATTTGACGTTTTTATGAATAAAGAGGCAAGCGTGTATACCGTTATTTTATCCGTAAAACTAAACTAAAATAAATTTATACATTTTGTCATTATAATTCGAATAAAATCTATTTTATATTATTATTAAGAAAATGGAATAAATAAATTTCAGTAGTATTTGTCGTTTTTTAAGGAAGCTTTTTTTTAATTATTATTATTATATTAACCGTTAACCGTCCACTGTTGGACATAAGCCTCCCCCCATAAGGCTGGTTATGCCAGTAGTTGCCAGAAGGAAACATCTTTACTTGGAGGGAAAGGGATTGTTAGTAATGGAGACTAAAAATCCCATTGCTAGCAATATACCCAACCAGGTCGACCTCCTCGTGGTTCCCCCTGGAAACTATCATGGTTAATTCCTGATGAATTCATCATGATGGGCTAACCGGCCTGTTTTCATTCTCATCGATCACCCTTCACTGGTGCTCCGCCAGCGTATCCCGTTAGCGCAAGCGGGGTTGCCATTCCATTTTCATCCACCAAAAAAAAATCTTTACTTTGGATTAATTGCGTATATTTATTATATTAACAGGTTTGGGATTATGAATGTAGGTATTTATCATTTAATAGTTTTATTTACACCTCGTGAAAAATTTACTGTAATTGATATATTAATTAGTAGTAATGACAAACCGATCACATCTGGTTCAATAAAAAAAAATATGACGATAAAATGACGTTTGAGGCTTTGTATATAGAGGCAAGGTCAATGACAGAGAAGCCGTATCTACTCGTAATTTGTTTTGACAGTCTATTAATGTTTTATATAGTACAAACAAATAATTAATAACTTGTTTCAAATTTTAATTCCAAATAATTTATTTGCCAGAGGGAGACTTTGTACAAAAGTCGGTTGCTTGGGTACCTCTGTCCTATTTGTGTTTCAACCGTGAAGCAGTTGTGTTTGCATGGCTGTGTTTCGGTTTGAAGGGTCGGATATGGCAATGAATTTACTGGGTACAGAGGAATAACACCCGAGTCCTCAGGAATGGCAACGCATGAGGGGTATCATGGGCGAAAGAGTATACTCTGTTATGTCCATGGTACTGCTCATGTCTATAGGCGACGGTTACCACTTCCCATCAGGTGGGCCGTCAGTTTGTTTGCCATTCTAATTTGTAAAAAAAAAATTGCAAGAAACAGATACTGGTTATTTGTTTAGAATTATTTTGTTTAATCCCACTAGCATTAGTACGTGTGTGGCGGCTAACACTCGAAGATTGGTTACCACTATTACTACCAGAAGTTCCACAATCTTCTTTTAAGTATGTTTCGTCATATCCAATGGCGTGTAAATCCTTGTAGAATTAGCAGTCATCGAAATACATAAGCTTCCTTATTCATAAAATCTAAAATCTGCTACGAGTCAATTTTAACTATTACATTGTGTTGTCACTTTCTTTCAAATTCTATATTTAGCGTAAAAGAAAGAGATAAAATAGTTTAATAGATGAAATAGATTTATGACTTTTTTTTATGAATAAGGGGGGTAATTATACAGTCGCGTTAGAATCTTGATACGTAAACTTACATACCTATTACGTAAATACTAATATTGGATTGCATTATTTTAGATAGTGTTTCTATGATAATTGCAACATAGTTTTTACTAATGCAGTTATTTACGAATTAAATTGTTTTTGTAACTGACTTTTTCGTAAATTTTAAATAAATTCATAAATTTCAACAAAGCTTGATTACCTTTTTTATCTTATACGTTTCAGTAATTAAAGAGTATTTTTTATACAACTTGACTTAGAACTTAGAAGAACTTAGTTTCGTTAATTTAGTAAATATTACCTATACTCTTTAAAATGATGCTTACCCTAGCCGTGTTGTAAGGTAGAATGACGGGTTGCATCGTGCATCGTTGTTCGTATTCTTGGCTCGGCCAGTGCTAAATGCGACGGGCTACCAGATACTCGTATTAGGATTTATTCCTTGAATATTTAGAAAGTATTTTATACTGTATTTAATTGTGTTATCGGTGGACTCGTGTAAGTTAAAATACTTCAATTTAACCGTTTTAAACAATTACAATCACGAAGCGATTTTATTTTTATTTTTATCTTAAACGACTTGTTTGCTGTGCTTAAATTTTGAGTTTTAATAAAAGTTTAAATTGTTTATGAATTATACCCTTTACAAAATAATCTATTTATTGCTGAATCTATGTAAGCACATAATTTTAGAACTGCTGTAACTATGTGGTTATTTCTTTTTTGTCAATTGACTTCAAAAAGTAGTTTTTTTATGTTGCTTACCTCATAACTCCGTGAGTTATGTACTGATTTAGAAATTTGTTTATCTGAAAAAATATACTTACAGATTGGTTTTATAGATATTTTATCAAAATCTATTAAAAAGTGTAATTTTGTAATTAAAATAACTAACTTTGCCACAATTGGAGTGTTCTTTTTTGTATACTATTTTGAAGTGTTTGAAATATTGATTTCATTATTATTAGTACATCCATGAGAAGTCGAAGCGAAGCGGGGGTAGCTAGCAAGTAATAAAAAAACTAGAGTAACAATTTGTGAAAAGGTTTCTGTTTTCTTTAGAGAAAATTGTATTTAACATAAGAAGAGCTTATGTACTCATGTTTATGATATTTTACGTGACGTTTCTGTTACCTTTTTTTTTTGCAAAATGTATGGACTAACTACATATGTACTATATGTAAAAGTGTTTCAAATTTCAAATAGATAGCAATTGTAGTTGCTGAGATTTGACGCTCTGATAGACGGACGGAATTTGGTTGGTGTGGGACCCTAAAGCTAAAAGGAAATGTTAATTTTTAGAGTTTTGCACGTCCAAGTCCAATCTAACCAAGTCGAAGGAGAAGGTGTCGGACGAGGCCGAGGAGAAGCTACTGGATAAAGAGGAGGAGGCGAAGATAGTGACGCGCGTCGACATGGCCGATGCGAAGTACGTAGTCGGCGACCACAGGAACGGCGATGCCAAGATAGAACTCGACGCCAATAAAAGGGTGAGTTTTATGTCAACTACTAGTTTTAACTTCTTTCAAATTTCAGGTCTATGCCATATTTAGAAATCGCAATTTTATTATTGAAGGTAGTTATACATATTACAAAAGTCGTGTAATTTATGTATTATGAGGGACGGGTAGCAGTGTCCCCCTTCAAATATCTCTAAAGCCTAATTGCGGTTGCCAATCCGCCTGGCGTGGCAACTACTGGCAAAATCCTCCCTAGGGGAAGGCTTATGTTCAGCAGTGGACAATTAAAAGCTGATATGATGATGACGAGTTGCTTTTTTTTATACAACTTAGTATGGCAAACAAGCTGACGGCCCACCTGATGGAAAGTGGTAACCGTCGCCTATAGACATGAGCAGTACCATGGACATATCAGAGTATGCTATTTCGCCCATGATACCCCTCATGCGTTGCCATTCCTGAGGACTCGGATGTTATTCCTCTGTACCCTGTAAATTCATGCCATATCTCACCCTACAAACCGAAACACAGCCATGCAAACACAACTGCTTCACGGTAGAAACACGAATGGGACAGAGGTACCCAAGCAATCGGCTTTTGTTTTATTTAAAAACCTTCAAAGTCATCCTTCATCAATCCTTGTATCAAAAAACGCCATTTACAATGTTTCCCTCTTTACAGCAATTCTCTGGGCTGACGAAGGAGGAGCTACTCAAGTACGCCGACGACCCGTTTTGGGTGCGCCTGCGCTGGTTCATGTTCGTGCTGTTCTGGGCGCTGTGGCTGTGCATGCTGGCCGGCGCCATCGCCATAATCATTAAAGCGCCCAAGTGCGCCCCGCCGACACCCAAGACATGGTAAGTGTACATCGTTCTAAACAAGAACAGGACTGTCAATGTCCTCTAAATCCTCAGGATTTAATTTGAAATGGCAAATAAGATAATGGCTCACCAGGAAAGTGGTAAATACAGACAAACAATATTACGGATATTTTTTTTTTTTAATTCATGATAATGGATCGGTAATCTCGCTTGAGACGGAGTATCAGTGAGCGATGATTCGTGAGGATGAAAAAAACAGGTTAGCTAGCCCACCGTGATGAATTAACTTTTTTTTTTATACCACTGAAGTGCCAAACAAGCATACGGCTCACCTGATCGTAAGCGGTTACCGTAGCCTATGAACGCCTGTAATACCAGAGGTATTACGCGCGCGTTGTTGGCCCTGAAGAAACCACTTACCCCCCCTTTTGAAGAACCCCATGCTGTAATCACTTAGAACTGAGCACGGTTGTTTCTAGGGGAACTGTGACAAGGTCAACCTGACAAGGTGTACTGCTAGCAATAGGCCTAGTAATTCTCATTACTAATAATCCCTTCTCCCCCCACCACATTATGGATATCATAGAATATATTGTTGAGTCTAGAGGATTAAGAGGCTATATTCTTTGTTAAGATTCGTTCATTAATCCTTGATATCAGAGGGCGCTTTTCACACCAGTTGACAGTACTCGTGTGAAAAGCGCCCTCTGACGTCTTCTACCGTAAACTATTTTCTAAATTGCTCTTGTGTGTTTAAATAAACCAGGTTCGAGAAGGGCCCCCTGGTCGACATGACACCTATGGATTCCTATGAGGATATAGAAGAACATCTACCACTGATGCAAGAGTCGAAGGTGTTGGGCATCTTCACAGACGTGCCACCCACGTATGAGGTATTGGAGCAGACTGAACCGCTAGAACAGTTCAAGGCTTTCCTGGAGAAGGCTAAGAAATACAGCATCAAGTGAGTATTTATCACTAGCGATTCGGCCTGGTTTCGAACGGGTATATAGAATTTTCGCAAATAATATATAGCCTATGTTATTTGATGATAATCTAGGTTTCTATAGGTTTAGGAATTTTTAGAATTGGTTCAGTCGTTTTTGAGTTTATCCTTCTTTTTTTATACAACTTAGAATTGGCAAACAAGCTGACGGCCCACCTGATGGAAAGTGGTAACCGTCGCCTATAGACATGAGCAGTACCATGGACATAACAGAGTATACTATTTCGCCCATGATACCCCCCATGCGTTGCCATTCCTGAGGACTCAGATGTTATTCCTCTGTACCCAGTAAATTCACGCCATATCCCACCCTTCAAACCGAAACACAGCCATGCAAACACAACTGCTTCACGGTTGAAACACGAATAGGACAGAGGTACCCAAGCAATGGACTTTTGTACAAAGTCTCCCTCTGTTACAAATAAACAATAAAATTTTTCAAGGCACTTTTTATTCCACGCACAACCACTCTTTGGAATCAACTTCCAGTAGCAGTATTTCCGAACCGATACATCATAACTTTCAAGAAAAGAGCACGTTCCTTTTTAAAAGGCCGGCAGCACACCTGCAATGCCGTTGGTGTTGTAGGTGATAATGGGCGATGGTGGTCACTTACCATCATGTGTGCCGCATGCTCGTTTGCCCCCTGTTTTATAAAAAAAGCAATCAGGATCTTACCTCTTTATAATTCAGACAGGATTAAATTTTGTAGGTAGTTTTTAATCTTAAAAAAAAGGACATTCAGAATTTTTTTGTTGTTACATTAAGTGATTTTGAAAGAATTATCAAAATTGGTTCTAGGGTTAACACTAGGCTTCGAACCAGGATCTAATAATTTGCCTGAATATGCCTCGTTTAGAGGTGAAACACGTGTCGCAAAACCAGTGATAAGGACTTCCGCAAGATAACATTTCTTTCAGTAATATAGTTTTCTAATTATTACCAGTTTTTAGTCGAGAAACCGATAGCTAACGATTTGTCTGTTTGTTGCAGAGTGATAGTGGATTTGACGCCTAACTTCGTGTCGAACACATCTCGCTGGTTCCAACTGAGCGCTAACCGCACCGGCGAGTACGCTGACTACTTCGTCTGGGCTAAAGGGAAGGACTACTCGAGCAATGGCACCCTCGAGCCGCCTAATAATTGGGTAAATATAATTTATAGTGTAAATCGGTTGTTATTTATTTACTAGCTGATTTAGCAGAGTTACCCAAGCAATCGACTTTTGTACAAAGTCTCAACAACTTCATTTGTTGTGGGAGCCTCTTTATAGTGGAGGTCCCTAGGCCTGGATGTAGCCTATGCTTAAATGTGGTGTTACCTTTGACTAATAATATTAGTTGGTTGAAATGATATATATATATATAACTGTGAATTCTTGACATTACCAGGTTTCTACCTTGGATATCCCAGCATGGACTTATAACAAGCAACGGGAAGAATTCTATCTGCACCAGTATGGAACAGACCAGCCCGATCTAAACTTCAACAACCCTGCAGTGGTGCAGCAATTTGAAAATGTATTGAAGGCATGGATGAAGGCAGGTGCTGATGGTGTCAGGTTCGTGAAGTTTTATGCGATATGTGATAGTTGGTTTTTAGAGCATCCATACATCTGTATTGTTCAATTAATTTTGAAAATGCGAGTCTCAAAAATAATTTAATCTCAAAATCTGTTGTATCCATGGTACTGCTCATGTCTGTCTATAGGCGACGGTTACCACTTTCCATCAAGTGGGCCGTTAGCTTATTTGCCATTCTAAGTTGCATATAATAAATAAATAAATAATTGTGCGATTCTCAAATGTTGGCAGTCGCAAGCAACTATATGGACTTTCACAAAATATTACTTAATTCAGTAAATATTTTGCAGATTGCGCAACGCGCGCCATTTGCTAGTGAACGCGTCTCTACCGGACGACAAGATGGCGGTGGGTGCGGGCAGCGCGGTCGGCGTCGACCACCACCAGTACGAGTTCTGGCGCCACCAGCACACCACCGACCAGCCCGGGCTCGATGCGCTGCTGGCGCGCTGGTCCAGCTTCGTCGATGATAACGGACCTTCGCCTGGAGGAGGTCAGTACATTTAGATATTAGCAGGAAGATGGCAAGATGGCTTAGACCATCATGCTGTATCTTGATGTATGCTCACCGCTGGTCCTTTATAAGTATATTGTATAAAACTACAATGTATGTCGTATAGTGCCTCGTGCATGAGAAACAGATAGATGCGACATTTTTGTTTTATATAGGGATTTAGTATTGGAGGCGTTTTAGTATTATGTAATGCAATTTGGAGGGGGGGGGGGGAGGAGGTCCTGTAAGATGTTACGATATTTTAAAGGGGTGGGAGGTGGGTTCGAAGAACGCTTTGTTTGTTTTTTATTTAAATATAAAACTAGGGAATTCAAATCACCCAAGCTATCAACCCTTTTATTTTAAGTTATTCCTTGACTGTATTTTACGTCATTTTTATTTTGTTTTCGTTGTCAGTAGTCGTGTGTGTGACTTGTAGGTAAAAAGGATCACTTGGGGGGGGGGGGGGGAGGTACAGAAAAATGTTACAACGCGTTAATGGGGGAGGGGGTAAAAATCTTAAATAATAGCGTTACATAGTATTACAGCGCTCCTTATAATAAATTCTTGCATTTAATTTTCAGTAATTGTGTTGGTTTAGTACAATAGTTGATTAATTAAATATAATTTGTGATAATGATTTGTCGATGTCAGGTGAGACAGTGTTCACGCTGGCGGAGTCGATGCGTCCGGAGCTGTTCCTGTTGGCGCACAACGCTACCTGGCTGCGGCCGCGCTCTGCTGCACCTCTCACCCTCAGCACCAAACCTGCCACGCTCGCTGCTGAAATCTCGCCTCGCTTACCCTATTGGCCCGCGATGCAGGTACATACTCTTTAAAGCGTTTATAAGTTAACAAACAAAGTCACTTAAATATATATATATATATATATATATATATATATATATATATATATATATATATATATATATATATATATATATATATATATATATATATATATATATATATATATATATATATATATAAAATTAGAAAGGTTAGGTACCCTAGTTTTTTTTTTATAATAGATGACAATGAAATGGTAAACTGCGCCTGCACTAACGCTATACACCAGCGGGGCACCAGTGAGAGATGATATAGGTGAAGATGAAAGCAGGTGAATTAGCCCATCGTGAGGAATACACTTAGAATGGGGGGAAAGATATTGTTAGTAATGGAGACTGAGAATCCCATTGCTAGCAATATACCCAACCAGGTCGACCTCCTCGCGGTTCTGCCTGGAAACTATCATGGTTAATTCCTGATGAATTCATCATGATGGGCTAACTGGCCTGTTTTCATTCTCATCGATCACCCTTCACTGGTGCTCCGCCAGCGTATCCCGTTAGCGCAGGCGGGGTTACCATACCATTTTCACCCATCAAAAAAAAAGTATCCGCATGGGGGGGGGGGGGATATGAAGGAGGCTCTGAGATACAGGAAATGCGCCGAGACAGTATAGGATTAATAAAGCGCATCAATTCGCTCCCAAAGAGATTTATTTAATTGTTATCTTAATATCAGTTAATAGATTTTCTGTACCATACAATATCAGCCGTTAATTGTCCTTTGCTGAACATAGGCCTATTTCTATTGGGAAGTTTTGCCAGTAGTTGCCAAGTTGCTAGGCAGGCGGATTGGCAACCGCAATTAGGCCTTGGAGATGTTTTACGAGGGACGCTGCTGCAAATCCCTCGATCATCACTTCTTACGACACCCACGGGAAAGGAAGGTGTAGCCTATTCTATGCCGGGACCACACGGCAAATAATTTCCATCTGTAATAATATATTTATTATTTCTAGTTGAAGACCGATGAGAACAGTCAGGACACTGAGCTAGCGGAGTGGGCGATGCTTTTGCCCGCTACGCCCGTCATCGACATTGATCAGTTGCGGCCGGCTGAGAATGACTCGCTGGCTGTGAGTACTATTATCAGATTATGATAGATTACCATAATTGCTTCCCTTTGTGTGTTCTACCACTAGTATAATGGATTGTGTTGTGAGGAATTGTTCGAAATGATGATCACAGGCACCACTCGCTATTGACAAGAAATTCATCCTCACATGCTAGGATTTAAATGGTTGCATACAGTGTGATTTCTGAAGTGTTTTCTAGAGATGACAGCATGGGGCTCTTCAAAATGTCAATCAAGGGTGTATTGAGGCTACATGACAGTCCAAGTGTTGCAATCGTCCATAGATTTTACCAGAGGGAGACTTTGTACAAAAATCGATTGCTTGGGTATCTCTGTCCTATTCGTGTTTCAACCGTGAAGCAGCTGTGTTTGCATGGCTGTGTTTCGGTCTGAAGGGTGGGATATGGCGTGAATTTACTGGGTACAGAGGAATAACACCTGAGTCCTCAGGAATGGGCCAACGCATAGGGGGTATCATGGGCTAAACAGTATAGTCTGTTATGTCCATGGTACTGCTCATGTCTATAGGCGATGGTTACCATTTTCCATCAGGTGGGCCGTCAGCTTGTTTGCCATTCTAAGTTGTATAAAAAATAAATTAAAAAAAAAGATTACACTGGCCATTTAGAATAAGTCGGGCTGTATGCTCTTTTGCCATATTTATAGTATAAAAAAATCAAATCCACAGCTGGTCCATATGCTTTCATTAAACAAGTCCCCTGCCTTCTAAAGTTGCAAACGAATCTATCTGTAAATATATATTCATATGTATGCATAAGAAAGTAAAAGTTGCTATCTAAAATGTGACTGGAGAACAATAAAAAACTTACGTCACTTAAAAAATGTATATAATACTAACTTAGGAAAAGATTTAAAAACATAAAAAATATTCATGGATTCATTTACTTACATGGACTTCCTTCTTTCAATTTTCTAATACATAAAATAATTTAAAAATAAAACAGGGTCTTCAATTTAAAGGACTTCTCTAAGGACTTGTCAAACTTGTTTATTTTTCCAGACGACTATGCTGAAACACCTAGTGCCACTGCGTGAAGACGCCACCATCGAGCACGGGCAGTACAGCGTGGTCGCCGTGCCGGCTGTCAACTCTTCCGTAGAGCTGCTCGCATGCGCCAGGTACATTTGTTTTTATTTTTAATCGATGATAATCGAAATGGTAACGAAGACTCTATCATTATACGATAGTAGAGGATGTAAGTTACTTTTTTATATTTTTTTTATGGGATGATAATGGAATGGTAACCCCGCCTGCGCTAATGGTATACATTGGCGGGGCACCAGTGAGGTATGATAGGTGAGAATGAAAAGACAGGTTAGTTAGCCCATCGCGATGAATACACTTGGAATTCAGCACAATGGTTTCCAGGGGGGACCATGCGGAGGTCGACTTGACTGAGTACATATAGTGAATATGGTTGTATAAATAGATGTTTTGTAAACTATTTTTAATTTTAGACAATGCAATTTATATGACGGCAATTCTATACTGTATAGTTGACAAGCAAATCTTTATGTTCGCTTGAAATTTAGATTCTTGGCATAGAAATTTTATTAGAACATTTTTTTGGTCCAGATGGAAGGCTGGCCACACGGGGTACATTGCTGTACTGAACCCAACCACTGAGGACGCGGTGGCTAACCTGACCCTCCCGTCAGTGCCTGCCACGGTCAGCATACACCACGTCACGCAGACTGTGAAGAGGCGCACAAGGTTGGTGTTTGATATTTAGTTCTTTGGATTTTTTTTTATTTTTTTTTTATACAACTTAGAATGGCAAACAAGCTGTCGGCCCACCTGATGGAAAGTGGTAACCGTCGCCTATAGACATGAGCAGTACCATGGACATAACAGAGTATACTGTTTCGCCCATGATACCCCCACGCGTTGCCATTCCTGAGGACTCAGGTGTTATTCCTCTGTACCCAGTAAATTCACGCCATATCCCACCCTTCAAACCGAAACACAGCCATGCAAACACAACTGCTTCACGGTTGAAACACGAATAGGACAGAGGTACCCAAGCAATCGACTTTTGTACAAAGTATACCAATGATTTGGTCTAACTTTGCACGGGTAGATAGATTTAAAAAAAATAATAGCCTATCCTAATTTGTCGTTCTTAAAATCCGAAAACAAAAAAAATTTACTGTGTATGAAAGAATTTTTAAAATTGGTCAAGTGGTTTTTAAGTTTGTCCAATGCTATTTTTTTTCTCTTTTTATAACATTACTATAACCAAGTCTCAATTCGAAAGATAATATTCTCAGACATGTCTTTATATAGTTTCGCTCGCAGTCTAGTGTGGGCACTAGACAATTCTAGGGTGGGTACAACTAATGGATTTTACTATATATAGCTTATACAGCTAACTCGTCGTATGTTACTACTGTACTACTTACTGTAGCTTTTGACAGGAGAAAGATTTTTTTAAATTAAGTATTTTTTAATTTTTTTGTTCAGCTCCTTGCTGGTCGCTAGTTTTGTTATAGGTAAATTTGGCAGGAATTTTGAACCAGAAGAATAAAAGTAGATAAAAAAAAATGCCGTGTATAGAGGTCGTTATTGAGATGTAATAAAAAAGACAAAAGAAACATTTATTTATTTATGAAAAAAAGAAAAGAAACATTCCATGAAACAAATGAAAAACAAAAAATTGTTTCACAATTATGAAATACTATGTATTACAATATTTTTGTTCGTATTGAACATTTATAATAGATATAAACAAATCCTCTTTATTATTCCATCAGGTGGGTTGTCATCTCGTTTGCTATCTCAAATTATTAATTAACTATTATTGTTCCAGCTACATCAACAACATGGCCCTGCCCAGGGACAACGTTACGGTTCCGCATGGAGCCACTGTAGTGCTCTCATACGTCCCAGAGATCGCTGCTGAGAATTAAACAGCTAAATCGCGGCAAAATATGAGATTGCTGTCAAGAATTAAACAGTTAAATCGCGGCAAAATATAATATTTCTCGCTTCTCACGCCACATATAATGGCGTCTTTTTTGCATTTGTATCTTTAATTAAATAAAATATAAATAAGCATTTAAAAGGTCTTTCTTTTAAATAAAACTTCATTTACAAAATAAAGTACATTTATTCCAATAATATCTGCTGTTAATAACATTTTAAAAAGCATAATTCTTTTGTACAAATGTCTTAATAATTGTCATAAAATTGTTACAATAAGTACGTAATATCGAGTCTTAATTAGGTCCCCGATGTTTATGTATATGGCATATTTCCAAGAAAAAAATTAGATATTAAAAAAAGTTTTTTTTTAGTTGGAATGTGTTTGCAATTCGTATGTAAACCAGATTAGTAATCGTGATACTGAAAAACATTCCTTACTCACGTAACAGTCCAGCCTCCCTAGATAAGTTTTTAATATAAATGCTTCTGTCAGCTCTCATATGAGAAAAAACAGGCCCATAGCTAGATCTACGATTAAGTTAGGAAAAAAGAAATTTTTGGTAGGGCCGAAGTCATAATGAAGTGACTTTGAAAAATCGAATCTAATTTTTTTGGGGCCTTGAGAGTTGACATTTTAAGGTAGGGCATCGAGTCTTTTAAGATAGGGCACTGGGGTTATTAAGGTAGGGGATTAGGCCTTTTAAAGAAGGGCATTGTCCCTCAATGCTGTCCCTAGCTACGGACATAAGAAAGAACAACTCTGAGCACTTCGCTGTCTCATTCTATCTCGATTCGCTAACGATTACAACAATAGTTCATTTGTCTTTGTCTAGGGGGCAGTTTTACGAATACTGTAACTAGGACTTGTGTTAGATAACCCTAAAGTCTAAGGGCCCGTTCACAATGCGACGGTACGGCTGTTGCTAAGATGTGAAGACAAGAAGTAAGTTGCATAACAACTTATTTGAAACTGTTCACATATAGAACGATCTAGTAAACAATTCACATCCGGAATTCACTGTATCTTGTTCAGTTGTGTATAAAATACATAGTTATAAATCTAAGTACATCACGTATAAACCATATTGTCATTATAAAATGACAATATGGTTTTCTAGTCACATTCGTTTATGTGATGATAGGAGCCTAACTTGTGTTCTTTCTGCTAGTAGATACACTACCTAGACTTTGAGGGGAACACCCAAAGTTGTGTACGAACATAACGACCATCTGTACACGACCAGAGCCAAACAAATTCTTAGTAGAAATTCCCCAAGAGTAAAAACATTCCTATGTGTGTACTTTGCAATGTATATGCATTCCATGATTTAAAATAAAATAATTTACTCATTTACTTAATTGACAGCGCCATCTGTTAATAGACGGTTAATTAGAGATTACGCACATTTGGGCTGATTATGTCAAAGAAAGTTTTAACTAGGTAAAAGAGGGCGAAGTAAAGAGTATTTGTGTTAGCAAATCCAGTACCCAGCTGTCTATTGGCCAGCCGGATGATCCAGATTCCTTATGGAACTCCATACCAGGCGTTGAGATCTGATTTTTAGGAACTGAGGAGTTAGAAAGCGCGGAGTATCCTGATGTTTCTTTGTAACGATTTGTTCTACAATTAGTACAGCCAAAAATCACCTGGTCGACAGATCGAACCGGTCACAGGGGCTGGTTGACACGACCGTAACCGGACGGTTCAGCAACCGGTTACCGCCGTTTGGCGGCCGGTTTGGGTTTGTTGAACTGGTAGTTCGCACATTTGGGTATGTGCCTTTCGGCGGCGGCCTGGTTGAACCGTCGGCTGCAGTGCGGGCACTGGATGTAGTCTGGATTCTCCGATGGAGGCGGCGGGGGGAGGTCACTGAGTTTACCTGGAACAAATTTTGTAATAATAATATAAATATTATAATATAACGGTTTAACAAGTGACGCTAAAAATAAAAAAAACAAAAATAAAACTATACAAGAGAGACATTTAAGGAAAATTACTAGTGTATTGTTTATGAAATTTGGTATACACATACAATATGGGATGAAGAAGGATATATGTTACTTTCTATCTCGGCCAGCAAACATATCCATATAACGCGGACAAAGTCGTAGGTAAAAGCTTCTATTTTTTAATATATAACGCTTATCTTTTTTTTTTTATACGACTTAGAATAACAAACATGCTGACGGCCCACCTGATGGAAAGTGGTAACCGTTGTTTATAGACATGAGCAGTACCATGGACTTAACAGACTATACTATTTCGCTCATGATACCCCCCATGCGTTGCCATTCCTGAGGACTCAGGTGTTATTCCTCTGTACCCTGTAAATTCACACCATATCTCACCCTTCAAACCGAAACATAGCCATGCAAACACAACTACTTCAGGGTAGAAATACTAATGGGACAGAGGTACCCAAGCAATCAACTTTTGTACAAACTCTGGTTTATATATATATATATATATATATATATATATATATATATATATATATATATATATATATATATATATATATATATATATATATATATATATATAATAAGTAATAACTAACCGCCCGCGTTGAGATGCGCCTGCACCTGCTTCGCGGCCCGTATCGCCTGTATGAACTCCTCGTGCTTCTGCCGCCAGTTGCTGTTCAGCGACTTGTTGCTCACTTTAGTGGTGGGCGGGTTCACTTGACTCTTGCGCAGCTTATTGATGAACGGCTCCGCTTCTGTGCCCTGCGTAGTGTATTTTATGATTTTTAGTAACAGTTGGTAAAATTAAATACTTGCGCAATCGATTGTCTTTGTCATTGACCTGCACTGTTGTCTATCTATCTTTGTCGTATACATTATTCGTTAGACATAGTGATACTAGTCTGTTTCATTTTGACAGACAAAAAGTGCCCTAAAGATTGTTTCTCACTAACTTTAATATCAGACTATTATTTTAACAAAAGTTGCAAATACTTGCTTTGACTTCAATACTGAGCTCGAGCATTATTTACCAAATCTACGAACATCTTAACAAAGGTTGCAAATATTTGCTTTCAACGCTGAGTTACATTATTTACCAAGTTTCCGAACGAACATACGTCACTTTATGGGTTTAAACTTATTTTTTAGATAGAACTTGCTTTTATTGGAGAAAATATCAGATTACATGAATATTAAAATTTATAACTATCTGTGGCCATATGTTCTAGACATCGTGCAGGAATTACTAACAAAAGAATTTAATTAATCTATTAATTATACTATAATAATATAATAAACACTCACAAGTCACAAAATATTTAATGATATTGATGATGCTTAGACATTGACACAATAACAATGATGATAACACGGATATAGTAACAGTTACAGCCAATGCTTGCCTTATAGTTCTCTGCATCAGTGCCCTGTGTGTTTTGCAGTATGCAGCGTAAAGAAATTTTTAAAGTTAGGTTTATTTTATTTATTACATATTGAGATGGTTAGGATTAAATATACATTTATTTACGACTCCTTAATTTGGGCTATCAGTATAAATTACTAACAAGTTAAATTATCTACAAAATTGTTAAAAATAAACTTATTGTTTATTTATTTTTTATTATTATTTGTTATTTATTATTAAATATACTTTCTATATATCTTATTCACTCACTTTTATTTATTACTACTGGGAAATATAGTTCCGTGACTATACATAAATATACTGCCCATTTTGTTTGATGATTATTGTCAAAATAGGTAAAATCAAAATGTTAATTAGGGACTATTCATATTACAACGGGAAAAGGGCGGGAAGAGTGAGTGCACTAGAAAATAATTCTCAATAGATAGGATCTATGTTTGTCTTTAAAACTTAAATTACAAAAATTTTTTAATCACATATATATGTATAACGCGAAAAAGACTATTAATTAGACTGTTAAATCTAAGAAAAAAGACAAGTTAAAGAATAGACATAAACATATACCTTTTTTTTTTATACAACTTAGAATGGCGAACAAGACACACAATGACGGCCCACCTGATGGAAAGTGGTAACCGTCGCCTATAGACATGAGCAGTACCATGGACATAACAGAGTATACTGTTTCGCCCATGATACATCCCATGCGTTGCCATTCCTGAGGATTCAGGTGTTATTCCTCTGTACCCAGTAAATTCACGCCATATCCCACCCTTCAACCGAAACACAGCTTTGCAAACACAACTGCTTCACGGTTGAAACACGAATAGGACAGAGGTACCTAAGCAATCGACTTTTGTACAAAGTCTCCCTACTAATATAACATGTTCTTAGATTTTATGGATAGAGTGTCTTCATACAAATGCTTCTAAAAAAACGGGTCATCTTTTTCATATAATTTTGCGTGATAAAAAGATATGAGTGATTCATTTATAATTTTTATACTTCTTTTGTATTATAAATTCTGCACCTTTTTAATTTGCACAAATTAATTTTATTTATTAAGTAATTAAATATAGATACGTCAAGATACATTGTATGCGGTAGTATATAGAACATTAAAAAAATTGATGATTTGAACTTGATAATTGTCAAATTAGCTGGCAAAAACCGTGACAAAAATGAGTTAACCCGTTTTTGAGGCTCGATGCTCTACTTATAATATATAATTTAAGGGTATGTTAATAATACGTGTGACTTAGAGGAATGATAAGTTAATTTAATGCATTACTCTAATAATTAACTAAATTGTAAACTCACGGCAAGCCTGTGTTTGAGCACGTCGAACGGCTTCCGTTTTTTGGCGTGCGCCTTCTTGCATATCTCCTGGTGCTTGGCGAGCCGGTCCGGCGCGAACCGGCGGCCGCACACGGTGCACGCGGCGCCCGAGCCGGCGGACGACGCGCCGGAAGCCGCCGGGCCGGACGGCGCGCGCGGCTTGCTGCTGCCGGTCGAGCTTTGAGGGGACCCCTATGTTATAAAATTAAATATTTAAATAAAATTTGTGAAAATAGTTTTATATTCGGTTACAATAACGTTTAATGGAAATGTATACGACTATAATTTTTATAATTCTTTTAATGTCCAATAGTAGTACAAATAAAAAGTCGACCGTTATCTAATCTACCATTTTCTACTATTTTTTTTATTTCATTTAAATCGTTTCTATGATAATGTAAACGCAATATTTACTAACTTTATTTTTACTTTACAAAATATTTAATAACTTTTTATTAAGTTTTCTTAGTACTTATTTTCTTTGCTATTTTTTTGTGATCTTTCCGAGAGAAGTCTAATATTATTTTTTCTTTACTTTTTTAGATATGTCTGTCTATGGTACACATTATATATAAAAGGTTATTAAAACGTCACTTTACACGAAGGTTATTATGAACAAGAATTTTTTTTTTTCACTGAACATAGGCCTCTTCCTATTGGAGGATTTTGCCAGTAATTGCCACGCTTGGCAGGCAGGTTGGTACACCGGTTCAAATACGCATCAAAAGGTATTAGGAGCAATTAAGAAAATAATGCATCATAATGAGCTACCCGTATGTGAACGGAAACCGCTCCGCTACACGACCCATTCATCACATTTTCCTGCGACGTTGATACCGTACGGAATCTATGCGGATAGGAAGCCTGCACCGTACCTATCTGTGACCGTCCCGTGATGGTAAGGTAATAGGTACTTAAATATAGATAAAAATAAATTAAAACATACCACTGCTTGCCTTCGCGGTACCTGAAAAATTAAAAATTAACTTTTAAAATAAATTATTTATTTATACATAGGAACAGCATATTGTATTTTTTTTTTAATAGATGATAATGGAATGGTAACGCCACCCGCGTTATCGGTATACACCGGCGGGGCACCAGTGAAGGATGATAGGTGAGGATGAAGCAGGTCAGTTACCCGTCGTGACGAATTCAACAAGAATTGTTCACGATGGTTTCCAGGGGGAACCACATGGAGGTCGACCAATTAAGGCATATTGCTAGCAATGGGGCTGTCAAACTCCATTGCTAACAACCCCTTTCCCCCCCCGCATATTGTATTATAACAAGAATTAAAAAGACAATGAAAAGTAAGCGGCTAATATTTTTGTTTAATAGTCTTTTAATATTTAAGGACATTTAATCTAGTTATGATACACTATATTTTGCACTATTAAAGATATTTTAACTGTCAGTCATGTACGAGGTTTGTCCGGAAAGTACGTATAAAAGTTTTTTAAAAATTTTATTTTACAATTATTCAGGTAAATCAATTTTATCCCCTTCAAAGTACTCCCCCTGTGACATAATGCACTTGTGCCAACGCCGTTTCCACTGTGAGAAGGCTCCTTGAAAGTCCTCTGGTTGTAGGTTTCTCAGCTGCCCCGTCGTAGCTTTTTTTATCTCATTTATGTCCCCCAAATGCCGCCCCCGAAGTACCAATTTGGTTTTTGGGAACAAGAAGAAGTCACACGGGGCCAAATCCGGCGAATAGGGGGGTGTTCGGTCACCGTAATGGAATTTTTACTCAAAAACTCACGGACAACAAGAGAGGTGTGGGCAGGGGCATTGTCGTGGTGAAGAATCCAACGCCCCTCTCGCGCCAATTCTGGACGAACTCGTGCCACACGAGCTTTGAGGCGTCTGAGCACATCGACGTAGAATTTTCCATCAACTGTCTGGCCTGGAGGGACGAATTCTTGATGGACAATCCCCCGAACATCGAAAAAAACAATCATCATTGTCTCGGCCCTCTCTGAATCTTTTTAGCCACTTGTGGACGGTTGGTTCCTTCACAGCATCATCCCCATAAACTGTTCTGAGATCGGCAAAAATTTCACGGCCATTCTTGCCGAGTTTCGAGAGAAACTTGATTACGACGCGCTGCTCTTCAACGGAAGCGGGCTCCATGCCGACGGGGTTTCGTTAAGAGGTAACTTCACAGATGGCGTGACAAGCCAGTTCGCACCGCACGGCGGTCAGACCAGAACTGAAGCATTGTTAGGGACATAAGGAAGGGGTCCTGCGCTTACCTGGCCTCCCCACTCCTCTTTCTCGCATTCCAGAACACTTTTATACGAACTTTCCGGACAGACCTCGTATTAACACTTAGGCTATCTAAAATAGTGCAAAACGCATAGCCCATTTTGAAACTCATATCTTTTTCTTGTTCTCTTATCCTAATAAAAATAAAAGTCTAAAAAACTTATACTTTTTCAATTTACGTTTGTAATAAATTATTTCTATAATAACTTATACTTGTTTGTTGTACGCGTCTGTGTAGCTTAACTTCAGGCTGTAGCTGAAAATCAGTGCTTTGCTTTTAAGCGAAACTATCACTGAGCTGTAGCCTATTTGGGTCACTGCGACACACTTGTAAAAAACATATTTTCATACTTTATATTTTGTTTTATATTTTAAAAAGTGTAAATAATCTGATTGTATAAACTCATTTGTTGATTTACGTGTGTCATAAATGGCTCAAATAAAGTGTTTATCTATCCATTTTTTTTTAAATTACATTTATAATAAATAAATAAAATTCTAAATGAAACAGTTGTACACTTACAGGATTAGAGCCACGCTGCATGGCCCCTCGGCCCTTATTGTTTTCTGCCACCTGTACGCATGGTAAATAAATTTTGCATTTTCAATTTGAAATATGTTTAATCATAATAAATGATATTTATACTTTCAATTTGAAATATGTTAAATTTAAATTGAAAAATGCCAAATGTCATTTTTTGGCAGCTTTCAGCAATAATTCAAATCTGGAAATGTTTCTTAAATTACACAAATTGCAACCTATTCTAAAACACTTTTGTGAACCGACTATGCATGACAAAATTAAAACGAACGTAATTCAAAGAGATTGAATGGTGAGAATAATAATGGAGACATACATTTATATATATGTATTTCACTAATCCCTTTCGCTCTTAGATATTAAATTAGGTATTGTTTTTGTTGTATAGTTATTTCGTTTATTATACAGGATGGAATTGAAATCATCAATACTCTTTTAAAGGAGAGTTCTATTAGAAGCAATAGGGACTCTATTACTCAGAATTCCTTTATTCCTATATACTTTATATACACTATTTATTTCTTATTATAAACATATTATTAAGAATGGAAAAGGAAGTAGGTCATATTTAATTAATCTCGGTAACGCGGATAAAGCCGCGAGTAAAAAACTAGCGATAAATATAAAGGCGTGTACATACTGCATTGTCACTGGTAGTTTTCCGTGTCGCTGTCGCTGCTGGTGGTTGGGGCTTTGCTTTTACTGGACTAGCTTTGGCGGCTACTGCTGGACTTCTGAATATATAATGTATTGTTGAATTATTAACCTATTTAATTTACTATTTTATTTTATTTTGTACCAGAGGGAGACTTTGTACAAAAGTCGATTGCTTGGGTACCTCTGTTCCATTCGTGTTTCTACCGTGAAGCGGTTGTGTTTGCATGGCTGTGTTTCGGTTTGAAGGGTGGGTGGGATATGACGTGAATTTACAGGGTACAGAGGAATAACACCTGAGTCCTCCTGATGTCCGGAATGGCAACGCATGGGGGGTATCATGGGCGAAACAGTACACTCTGTTATGTCCATGGTACTGCTCATGTCTATAGGCGACGGTTACCACTTTCCATCAGGTGGGCCGTCAGCTTGTTTGCCATTCTAAGTTGTATAAAAAAAAAGCCATTAACTGTACACTGCTGAACATAGGCCTCTAATCCAGGATTTCCCGGGTTTGCAATCGCAGTTAGGCTTTGGTGATTTTTAAGAGGAACGCTGCTGTAATCTTTTATCCATTAAATTTGCTTAGTCGCCTCTTACGACATCGACGGGAAAGAAATAGGTAACCCATACTATGCTAGGACTACAACGGCATACTATATATTGCATTTTCAAAAATATTCAATATAGTTTTGGTTTTTGTACCATTTTATTACTATTATTTTATATATTTTATTTTATTACCTGTCAAAGATATTAGAAGCGGCTCAGAAATATCTAGAGTCGGGTTAAATACATTAATTACAACTTTGTATGTTAGCACACTAGATTTATAACATTGATTTGGCATTTGCTGTTATAATGTTATAATTATTTTTAATGAATAAATAAATAAATAATAAATAAATTTTATTACTATACAAAGATAATAACAAATTTATTCGCACGAGGATCTTCACAATTTTTAAGACAGACACGATATAAATGTAAACAGAAACAAGACACTGACCTCCTCTGCGGTTTCTTGGGCTCTGGTTCTTGTTCAGGGGTTCTAGGCGTGGGAATCGGCGCGAGCGCATCAGGGAATGTCTCATTCTCTAATAGGTAGTTGTTATCCGTTCTGTCCACTTCGTCTATACTGCTGATCAGCTCGCCGTTGCTTTGAGGCAGCTGTGTATAGAATCCGGTATGAGTCAATTGGTTTAAATAATGATATTTTATATTAGTGATGAAAATTAAATGGTAATATCGCCTTTAGGGATTGTTAGTAATGCAGACTACTAGTCCCATTGCTAACAATATACCCTATCAGGTCGACCTCCACGTGGTCTCTCCTGGAAACCATCATGCTGAATTCTAAGCGTATTCTTCACGATGGGCTAACTGACTTGCCCTTTCATTCTATTACTATGGCACACGTGTGAAAAAAAAGAAATTGTTGTTTTATATATTTTGCTTTTTGTTTTTTTTTTGTTGCTATTTTTTTGTTTTTCATTCATTTATCTCTTTTACTGTGTATTATGGGTATGTTTGTATTGTAATTTGTGTGCTGTAAGTAATGTAAATAAATTATCTATCTATCTATTTATCATTCTCACCTATCGACGTTCACGCCGTCCTTTCTAGAAACAATTTTAGTTCTTTCCTGACGAATTCGTTATGATGGGTTAATAAATAACCTGACTTCGTCCTATCAACTCTCACTGATAGGTACCCTGCCAGATTGTACCAATAGCGGAGGCGATATATTTTTTTAATGGTTGATAATGGAATGGTAATCCTGCCTGCGCTATCGGTATACACTGGCGGGGCACCAGTGAGGGACGACAAGTGAGGATGCAGCAAGTCAGTAAGTTCATCAAGACAAATCCAGCAATAAATAAATCACGATGGTTTCCAGGGGGAACCGCGAGGAGGTCACCATTGTAGTTAATTCTAGTAGTGATTCTAGTAGTGTAACTGATCTGCTTTCATCCCTCACTGGTGCCCCGCTAACGTATACAGTTAGCGCAGGCAGGTTACCACTCCATTATCATCTATTAAAAAAAAATAGCTAAATAACTTTTTTTTTGATGGGTGAAAATGGTATGGTAACCTCGCCTGCGCTAACGGTATACGCTGGCGGAGCACCAGTGAAGATGAGAATGAAAACAGGCCAGTTAGCCCATCATGATGAATTCATCAGGAATTAACCATGATAGTTTCCAGGGAGAACCGCGAGGAGGTCGACCTGGTTATATTGCTAGCAATAGGATTCTCAGTCTCCATTACTAACAATCCCTTTTCCCCCGCTAAATAACTATTAGGTCGTAATAAGGGTCATCGATAGTATTCAGTAGTGTTTGTTGCAAGCACCGTGTCGAACACCACTTACCGGTGGTTTCACGGAGTTTAGATCCGGCTCGTGATTGTGATTGAGATCGCCGGAGCCGTTCACTATGTTTTCTATTTTCTGAAATGTAAAATATTAACGTTAGAAATGATTAGTTTTCTGTTAAAGAAAGTTACAGATTTTGTGTACCTATTGTTAAATGGAATGAGATGGTTTACCAGAGGGCGACTTTCTACAAAAGTCGATTGCTTGGGTACCTCTGTCCCATTCGTGTTTTAACCGTAAAGCAGTTAGTTGTGTTTGCATAGCTGTGTTTCGGTTTGAAGGGTGGGATATGGCGTGAATTTACTGGGTACGGAGGAATAACTCCTGAGTACTCAGGAATGGCAACGCATGGGGGGTATCACGGGTGAAACAGTATACTCTGTTATGTCCATGGTACTGCTCATGTCTAGGTATAGGCGATGGTTACCACTTTCCATCAGGTGGACCGTCAGCTTGTTTGCCATTCTAAGTTGTATAAAAAAAAATGGTTTTTGATAGTGTAAATTGCTTTGAGGAATAACTTGTATTTGTGTACATAGAAAAATTATAACCATGTCCTTGCCCATGTACGTCCTTTTTTGGCAATGTTTTATCAGTGAAACTGAATATTTTCCGAGAAACTACAGCATGGTGTTCTTTAAAAAAGAGGTAAAGAGATCTCTTTAGGGTCGGCAATGCGGGCGTAGTGCCCCAGTATTATAGGCGTTTATAGGCTACGATAACCGCTTACCAGGTAGGTTGTATGCTTATTTGCCACTTCAGCGGTATAATTTTTTTTTCACAGAAACCTAGATTGTGATCCTTAAAAAAACTGTCTTCAATTGTGGTAAAACCAGTTATTTTATTAAATTTTTTTAATCGATTTTGATAAAGTTTTCATAGAACCAATCTGTAAATATATCCTTTCAGATAAAAAAAGATTTTTCCAAATCGGTTTACAAATAACGGGAGTTATGAAGTAATAAATATATTTAAAAAAAAAAACATTCGAATTGGGAAACTTCTTCGTTTTGAAATTGGTTGAAAAACGAAAAAAATGCGCTCTAATAAGGTGCATTCAACTTTCAAGTTGATATAAGCAACTGAAATTTTTGTTGTTTTTTAAAAGCATGGTTTTAGTTTCAGTTTAGAAGAATAAAAAAATATGTTGCATCCGTAGAGACGCAAACATCTGGGACCCAATTCTGTTGCGTATACATCTGGAACAGCTACATAAGTATTACATATTGAAGCCTCAGCGGAATGCCGACGAAATGATCGTTAAAAGAAAACCCTTTGAACTACAACAATAAAGTCTAAAATAGTTTCACAAATCAAATGTGTAAAACTGTCATCATTGAAGTATTTGTAATTGAGTAAAATGGAACATTGAACTGAAACTAAGATCTACTTCTATGTACAACGAACTTGAAGCATATAGGTAATTAAAATTGCAGAATATGTAGTAAAGTATGAAATGTTTCGTAAGTCATCACTGGTACTTACTTTATTTCATTACAACTGTAATTGACTCACACATTTTAAAATGATGATGATGATTTAAAATGTGTATTGTATTTTACACATTTGTATCAGCCATCAACTATCCACCGCTGAAAAAAGCCTCCCCCAAAGGGGGGTTTGGCCAGTAGTTGCCATGCTTGGCAGGCGGTAACCGCAGTTTAACTTCAGTGATATTTTAGAGTTAGTTACCTCTTACAACATCCACGAGAAAATATTTAGCTCATTCTATGACGGACCCAAATGCTTTTTTAGATAAACAACATTTTGTCAGTAAATACTCACGTGCTGTTGCTTTTTGACAGTATGCGAGCTGAACGTTTGCTTTGTAGTCTTCTTCTCAACGCTGACCCTAGAGGTGGTGGAAACCTTCGTGTAGCCGTTAGGTAGGGGCTTGCGGGCAGGCCGTTCTGTGTTGTGTATCGGTTGCAGGGGATAGCTCTTGTCGATGCCGGCTTTTGTGCGACGCTCTTCGAACATTTGACGGACCTATAAATTGAACGGTTTCTAAATAAACCTCATCAGGCTTCGTGGCATTGTACTCAACCAGCCCATGTGTTGCCTACCATTTTGACAAAAGGGAAAAGGATTGTTAGCAATGGGATCTAATAACCCCATTGCTAGCAATATATCCTATCTGGTCAACCTCCACATGTTACCCCTTGGAAACTAAGTACTGAATCCCAGGTATATACATCACGATGGGCTAACTGACCTACCTTTTAATTTTCACCTGTCACCCCTAACTGGTATCCCGCCAGTGTACAGCGCGGGCGGGGTTGCCATTCCATTATCATCCATTAAAAAAAAACACCAAGAGTTTTTCAATTGTCGCCTACTATGGTGATCGGGGGAGAGGGAAAGAGATTGTTAGTAATGGAATCTAACAGTCCCATTGCTAGCCATATACCCTGACGGTTAACCTCCACGCGATTCCCTCTAAGAATCCACCGTGGTTAATTTTGATGAATTCGTCAGGATGAGTCAATTGATTTGTTCTCATCCTCATCTATCATCCTTAACTGGTGTCTCGCCAGTGTATACCGATGATTGAATATACCGAGAATGGTTCTTACATCACCCTTCTTAAAGTCGTTTGAAAATTATCAATATCTTTTCATGACTTACGGTGATAGTTACAATTTTCAGCCAGTATGTGTTACTCAGTAATACAATTATTTATTTCTCTTAGCTTTGTATATTTGTAAACATGCTGGCTCCCTATGGATAAGTGGAAAACAAATATATCTGAAGTTGCTACGATACTGCGCGAATGAGGAAGAACAGGACACCGAATATTTCTGTCGCGTTCTATTTCATTTTACTATAGTCTAGAAGATAAGTCCTGGTTTCCGTTACCTTCCCAGGCTGGTGTGACACGGGCGGCGGCTGTGGTGGTGACCCAGCTCCGACTCCATTGCTGGGCGAGTGTCGCACGCGGTCGAGGGCGCGGGCTTGCTGCGCTTCATACAGTGAAGCAATCTTCAGTTCCCGCTCTTGGAGCTGCTTCTGTTGGAATCGAGCCTGGTGAAAAGAGAAACTTTTGATCAGAAAATACAACAGTATCGAATTGCTGGAGATTTTTTTTTTGTATAAAAGCATACAGCTTGCCTGGTAGTTTTTTATTTATGAGACAAAAATGGAATGGTAAATCTCATATGCTCTATCAGTGTACGCTGATGAACTACTAGTGAGTGATGATAGGTGAGAACGAATACAGGTTAGTTGACTCCTGGTGATGAATTCATCAGTAAACCGCGGTGCTTTCCAAAGGCCGAGTTGAGATCGATATTGCTTATTATAAGAATGTTTCCTCTAATAGATTCATTCTATAATATATTGGGGATTATTGTCATATGATTGTTGTTTTATTGTTTTATTTAATTGGTATTCTATTTACCTTGTATAACTTTTTTTCCTGTACTTTTCCTGCACTAGATTATCCGCTAATTATTTTCTCTTTCACTGCATTGAGTTGGTTGGAAGAGATCCCTTTCAGAGATAATCCCACCCTTGCTAACAAGTTATTAAACTAATCGCTGTATCTTTTTTTCAAGTGCAATAAAGAATATATATATATATATATATATATATATATATATATATATATTACTAGATTATCTTTTATAGCAAAAATGTATTTGAATGTATCTGATTAAAAGATATATTATGTATGTATTATATTATTTATTATGTGAGTATTTCAAAGATTATTTTGTTAATTTTGAATTACATATATATTTTTTTTATTAACAGTACGATTGAATACGGTCTAAAATGTTCAGATTCTTATTAGAGGAATAATAATACTAAACGGGGGCGGAAGGTCGGCGCCCACGCGCCACTAATGCCCGAGAGACAACCTGTCAATCGTTGCATATTGTTCTATTGACTATTATTTCCGTCATTTGATTGTAAAGGCCGAGTCTTTAGAATGGAAATAAATGCTATCTTCACGCTAATAGAATTAATTGAGTAGATAGACAGAACCAACAACACTTATGTCACAGATGGCTTGGTGAAAGTAGTAGGATACAACTGGATTTCAATTGTTCAAAATAGATTAAAATTGAGAAGGTTGAAAAGGGTTACCACCAAAGAATTATTCGATTAAGGTTTAGGATGATGAGATGAGATGAGGCAGGGAAGACGAAGTGGTGGTAGTAGCGTATTTAAGATTATTTTGCAGGAGGGGGGAGGAAGTGGGCTAGTCCCTTAAAAAAGATGCATATGTACTTTTAGAGATAGGTTTGTGTGGACGAAAATTTCTGCTCGTGATTCTGAGGTGCACATAGCCCATGTAGTGGATCCACTTAAATACGGCAACACTAAATGCCAAAGGTGTCGTCTTACATAAATCTCTTGTTTTATTTACTTATAACTAATTTCAGTTAGACTTATTAGTGTAGGATATATCTAATAAGGAGATCTCAGTTTGATCTTATTTGTTTTTTTTATACAACTTAGAATATCAAACAAGCCTAGGTGACCGACTCAGGTGTTATTTCTGTCTTTTGTCAGGTGCCATTGCTGAGGATTCAGTTGTTTCCTCTGTACCCTGTAAATTTACGCCATATCCCATCCTTCAAACCGAAACACAGCCATGCAAACACAACTACTTCACGGTTGAAACACGAACGAGACAAAGGTACCCAAGCAAAGGACTTTTGTACAAAGTCTTACTCTGGTACTTGCTTCCTTTCATTTTTGCATTGTGTATCAATGCAACAGTCATAGAAAATTAATAGCACACATTGTGTATAAATATCATTTTTCAAGTCTAAACATTGCTTCTTGCGGCTGTGACACCATGACAGGAGTATATATTAGCTGCTAATGGGCTAGAGACGGGAGAAACCGTTACATAAAATGACTATTGACTCAAGATCATTAAGATGTTTCCTTTGGCGACTTTGTCGTATTGTAATATTGAAGTTGTCTATGGGAACGGGGCCAGTAAAAAAGTTACCAGGGCAAATAGACTTACGTCTCTAGTTAGGAAGAGATGCTTACCTCCTTATTCATAAAAAAGTCAAATCTCTTATAAATCTATTTTAGCTATTAAACTGTTTTGTCTCTTTCTTTTACACAAAATTTTCAATTTCAAAGAACATATCAGAACAATTATTACACTATTTAACTACTATTAACTATCAGACTTTAGATAGAATAATAATAACTCCAGCAGTTAGAGTAATTGTACCATTTCTAATAAAAAAGAAGTTTTTTTTTTATGCAACGACAACAAGATGACGGCCCACTTGATGGAAAGTGGTAACCGTCGCCTAGACATTATTAGTGCTATGGACATAACAGAGTATACTGTTTCGTCCATACGTTGCCATTCCTGAGGACTCGGGCGTTATTCCGCTGTACCCTGTAAATTTACTGCCATATCCCACCTTTCAAATTCAACACAGCAATGCAAACACAACTCTTTCATGGTAGAAACACGAATGGGACAGAGGTTCCCAAGCAACCGACTTTTGTACAAAGTCTACCTCTGGTAAAAAAGCTTCTGTTAATTAATACAACTTTACTTTTATTGTAATATTATTAATATTTTTTTTATTATTACATTTGAATATCCAATACAACAAGTATTTATTTAGAACTTTGATTTTTTGCTAATTATTCTTGGTGGCGAATAATCCCACGGTTTCAATACCATTGGCCAAGTTCATTTGGTTGTTTAATAGGTTTCTAATGTCTTCAATTAATATGCGTGCCACACTTGTATTGCATTGTTTAGTTGTTGCATTGTAAACTCTGAATTAAATTGCATTAAGAAGATACACAGTATAAATAAATAAATACATACTACATATAGATAGATATTTTTATTGTTTCCTTGTTTTGCTTGGGCACCTCTATCTCATTTGTGTTTCTACCGTGAAGCAGTTGTGTTTGCATGGCTGTGTTTCTGTTTGAAGGGTGGGATATGGTAATGAATTTACAGGTTACAGAGTAATAACACCTGAGTCAGGAATGGCAACGCATGGGGGGTATCATGGGTGAAAAGGACTCTGTTATGTCTATGGTACTGCTTATGTCTATAGGCGATGGTTACCACTTTCCATCAGGTGGGCCCTCAGCTTGTTTGCTATTCTAAGTTGCATAAAAAATCCTGTCAGTTCTTCTTAGCAAAAATTGCATTCCGAACGGGCGGAGAAAATATAAAAAAAAAACTACTATTATAAAATGCTTACAATGAGGTTTACTTGAATAAAAATTATTTTTAATCCGATAATAAATTGTCGACTTGTTGCGTACCGGAAAGTGAATGAGGAAATGTACAATAAATTGATACAATTAATTGCCGATACCATACTATACACCCGTGTGGGTGTTTAATCGATCAGAAGATTAACAGGCCAAGGCTCGTACCTATGTGACAGACTTAAACGATAATCATTTACAATGTAATCTATTGCTACTTATTCCCACTCTGAATTGTAGTCTGTTCTTCTAATTATCTTTTTACTTTTAAGTTTAATTACACTAATGCTATAACTTATAAATGCTTATGGGTATTCTGGGTTGTGCCTTCAGATATTTATTCCTCACCGGGTATTCTAGCTTGTAAACCAGGACCATATAAAGAAAATTGAATAAAAAAATTAGCATAGAAAACTTAGTTCAGATGGTAAAGAACCAAGGCATACTGAATTGAATTGATTTTATACTCGTATTTAATATTTTACTTCAAAATTCTTTTAAATTGTACAAGTATGCTGCTTTTGTACCATATATGTATTTATATAAATATATTTATTAATAGTTTTTTTTTAATTATTTAATAGTGAACTAAAGCGTAGAAAAACTTATCTCTGATAACATATAATATGTCGAGTTAGATTGTGAACCCAAAATGAAAATAATTGCAATAGAGACTACACGGCTCGGTAATTTCTTTTGCAAAAGAAACTTTCAACTACTTTGTAAAAACAATTATCCGATGATATCATGATTGAATTATTAATTTAGATAGCATTGAAGTTGGTAATTTTGTTTCTATAACGAGAAGGAAACATAATCGATTGTCGTTTGAAGTTTTGGATAAAAACTGATATTTCACAACTTACAAACGAAAATGAAAATAGGAGGAAATATATATATATACATACATATATGTATGTGGTTTGTTTCTATTATTTTGAATTATCAAATACTTGTAATACAATTTGGAGACGTCAGTCTGTACAATTTAGATAATTATTAAAGTGGATATTACGCGAGTAGCGCCGCGGGCAGTTGCTTGTGTGTATATAAAAAAAATAACGCAAATTCAAGGCACCAGAGAAATCTAAGTACGTAATAGGTTACTACTAATCATTCTACGTGAGCGACGTGAGGTAATATCCATATAGGGCGGCGTGCGCGTGCGCATAAAGAAGGACCGAGACGCGCGGCGGCGACCACGACGCGACGCCACCGGCGACGGTTACTCAGGTTAACAGTCATCGACCTTATATGCAGGTAGATAAGGTTAAGTTAAATAATATATAACTTAAATTATGAAAACTATTTGAATAAGATTTCAAAGTTTTCTGTCCAGCAAATAATTCGTTGTTAGAACAGTTCGCATATTGATAGGATTGCTTGCGTAGGTCTACATTGTTGTTCTAAAATTGAATTTTAATTATATGAAGTCATCATCCGATGGGAAATCAAATAAGTAAATAGTGTTAGCAAACGTCACGGAACGCTTGGCGAATATAATAATAATTATTTCCACTATGAAATCATCTCGAATTTGTATGTCACATCAAATACACTGTGCAAATGTTAATTTTTACATATACTAGCGAAATAGAAGACACTGAATACAGATTACAGATACAATTTACCAGATGGAGACTTTGTACAAAAGTCGATTGCTTGGGTACCTCTGTCCCATTCGTGTTTCAACTGTGAAGCAGTTGTGTTTGCATGGCTGTGTTTCGGTTTGAAGGGTGGTATATGGCGTGAATTTACTGGGTACAGAGGAATAACACCCGAGTCCTCAGTTACCACTTTCCATC